GCAACCTTCGATCTTTTAATAGCTGTGGTATAAATCCTGGGGCCCACTGTCCTTGGTCAAGGTGAGATCATGTCTCTAGCTCATCCCTGAGTCAGTCTTGTATCTAGACATGATAGACAAATTCTCAGAAGTGTACAACCTCCCAGGATTTTATCAGAAGAAATAGAAATTTTCAGCAGACTATTTATAAGCAAGGAAGTTGAAACAGTAATTAAAATTCTCCCAACAAACAAAAGTCCTGGGATGAATTCTACTAAACTTTTGAAGAGGACCAGTGTCTGTCCTTCTCAAACTTTCCAAAAATTGAAGAGGAAAGCTTCCAAATACATTTATATGGCCAACATTGCCCAAAAGCAGACAGGATATCACACAACTCATAAAGTGAGTTCCTGTGTTATCCCCATTTACAAATAAGGAAACAGAAGCACAGAGAAGTCATGTAACTCTCACGGGACCATAGTATTGTTGGTTGAGTCCACGTTTGGACTTAAGCATGCTGACTTGGCCATGCTTGTGATCACCAGAGTCTACTCACCTGTTGGGCCTTACCTAGGTGGGTCTTGCCAGTAATGAATTATGGAGAGCAAAGTCAGCATCATGCCAATAAGTCAAGAAGCTATTGTCCAAGTTGAAAATCATGAGGCCCTTAGCTGGGATATATGGCAAGAGCAAGAAATTGGGAACAGATTAAGGAGCTATCTTGATATCAAAGCTTAATCACAGGGAGAGAGGAAGACATTTAAAGTAAAAGATGGTGGCCTGGGTAAAGAAAAGAGAGGATATGACCATGTGGATGTGCTAGGTGAAAAGCATCAGAAGGTGTCTAGCAGACAAGTGGATAAACTGGCCTGGAAGTTAAGACAGAGGTAAGGAACTGACACAGGGCAGTCCTGCACAAATCTACTTGGGAGTTCAGTGACCAAGAACAAGTCACTGCCACTGCAGTGGACTTCCTCCCAGAGATGGCCTTTGGGCCAGGTCCTAAAGAACAAGAATATTCTTCATTGAAAATTGGGGATATAGGAGAGGAGGAGTGGGAGGTTGGGTGTCAAGAGAGATGAGGAGTCTACCATAGGGGAAACCAGAGAGTGAGGTGGGCAGGTGTGGGTGTGGATAAGAGCAGGAAAGCTACCAGGGAAAAGCTACAGAAAGCTTTGGAATGACTTTTGATGACTTTTTCAAATCTGATCAAAATGAAAGCCTTCACAGCATGTTTTAGACTGACATTTCAAAATTCAGTTCAAAATTGCTGCTTCCTCCTTGACTCCTCCAAGGTATTCTTAAGACCAGTATAACCACAGGATGTGTGTGTAAGCCCTCTTTAGTAGCCTACTGTTGGGAGTCTGATAAAGAACTTGCTCCTAGGTACCCAGGCCTCCAGAAGACCTGTCATTTGTGTGTTATCGATAGGAACAGCCGAAAAGAGCGTGAGGACAGGTGCTGAGAGGTGAAACCTTAATTGACAGCAAAGAAGACACAGGACCACGTTTGTGTGTGCAGGGAGGGATGGGGCTGAGTGGGACTGCCGCATGCATGAGCCAGTGGAGGCTGTTGTGGGACAGGAACACTCGCTTGGTGCCTTGATTCCATGTCGGCCTCCTCTGGCTTTCAAGTTCCGGGGTGTGCACTGTCTTGGCGATGTGGCAGACCACGAGTGGGCACGGACCTCAATACTAGTGACCTTTATTTGCTGCAAAGCATAGAACTCTGTTCTGGCCTGGTCTTCTCATAAATACAGAGTAGAAAAGCATAGGAGTCAGTCTAAAGGTTTAGAAGTAGTCTGGTTTCTACTGAGCTTCACAAAGTTGCTGAAGGAAATCATAATAAGACTCTTTGTTTTCCCCTGTTGTTAGAGCAGCATTATATCATAAAACATTTTTGGAAAATATTGGAGGAAAAAAATGTAAACAGCCATCGTTCAACCTTATCTTTAACATCTTGGTCTATTTTTTGCCAAACTTTTCTCTATATTCTGTATAAACACTTTTAATTTTTTTAATTTATTTTTGCATACAAGAACTGGGGTACAGGCCAGAGGTGCAGGGGAGAGGATTCACCAGAGACAGAGTGGGGAGCAGAACAGGCAGATCTACTGAAATACACTGCTGAGGGGAGCACCCAGCAGGTCTGCTGGAGCAGGACAGGTCTGCTACGCCATGTGGATCACCTCCCTGGCCGGAGATTGAACTTGTGCAACAGTGGCTGCAGACAGCTTCATAGTTCTGCTCTTTAACCCCTTGTGCCACCAGCGATGCCCCAGTTCTCTCTCTCTCTCTTTTTTTTTAATTTAATGTTAAAGTGTAAACATTTGTCCATTAAACTATGGATTTTCAATGCCAACAAAACCCTTCCCCAGACAGTTTAATGAGTAAATCAAGGGCCCTTCTGGAATATAGCTGAAGGATTGGCAGCAGATAGGGTGGAGGTGACAGTTATGCTGTTAGTCTAAGAGTCTGTCAGGAACAAATCAGTGCTGAGGGTGGGCTTGAGCTGAGGCTGGTCTCCTTGCCTGATTTGGAGAGTACCAGACCAAGCCCAGAATGATCAGAAAAGGCCCCAGCCTCCTGGTGGTTTGCAAAGGCCCTAGAACTGCTCTTAGTAGCAGGAAGAGGTGTGGATCCACCCACAACCGTAAAGTGAGAGCGGGCACAGCGCACTGAGGGAGAACCTGAGTAAGCGCCTGTTCCACTCAGGGGGTGCTGGCCTCCCGACTGGCTCAGGCTGACTTAGTGACTCCCACAGTGCTATTTGTGACTTGTACTTGGTAAGTAATCAGATGGTGAAAGTTATAAGTAGTTCACTGGCTCCAGGTTTAGGATGTTTTAGCATATAAAAAAGTTTGTTAATTAGTTGGTTATGGGGAAGATGTATGTGATCTGAGTATGAAAATAGGATCTCAAGAAGGTGTCTTTTGGCAGGGCTGTTGCGTCGCTGAGACGTGAATAGAGAGCTGCTGACGTGCAGAGAAATGTGCTGTAAGCTAGGGAAGAGGCCATTTTATCTTCCTCTGACTAAATTATGAGTGTGACATCAAAACCAGAACACCCAAAGTAACGAGACAATTTCACTAATCATGTTTATTGAATATAAGTTTTATGCAATGTTTTCCCTCTCTTTGGCACGTTCCCTTCTCTATCTGACCTCAGTAGCTTCAAGATTGTCTTCAGCATGGTGCATGAAGAAAGCATATACTTTGGGAGGCAGGGGCTTCCCTTGTGGCACAAGGGGTGAAAGCGCAGCACTAGGAAGTTGTCCACAGCCACTGTAGCTCAAGTTCAAGCCCCCACCAGAGAGCCGACCCACATGGCGCAGCAGACCTCTCCTGTCCTGCCTGCTTCTCCCCTCGGCAGTGTACTTCATTGATCTGCCTGTTCTGCTCCCCGCTCTGTCTCTGGTGAATCCTCTCACCCCCTGCACCTCTGGCTGTACCCCACTTCTTGTGTGCATGCATAAATAAATCTTAAAAAAAAAAAGAAAGAAAAGAAAAAGAAAGCCTGTGCCTCAGATTCTAGTCAGCTGGTTTGAGTTCTGGCACACAGTTTGACTAGATGTATCTTCTCAGCAATAAGATAAAAGCAATGACACCTCTCTCATCGGGTAGACTAAACTGCTTGGGATGACTAGAGATGAGGATTTTAAACCACTGGTCATCAGCAAACAGTCATGTTTGCTTCCCCCTCTGCTGTTGCCCACCCAGGCCGCTGGGTCTGGCTTGTAGGGTCTGAAATAAGAAGAGTCTGCCCGTTATGGGGAAGACCCAAAGATTCATGAGGACGGTAAAACAGCCAGAACTCCCAGGGATGTATGGCTCCAGAGCTCATCTGTGGTGAGTGAAGATCCTGAAATCACACTCACTGGGCCATTTGCCCAAACCCAGGCCAGAGACCACCCATGCTTGTGGAGTCACTGGCAAAACAGCTTTTCAGTGCTTTTTCATAATTTCCATCTGAATGCATTTGGTTTTGCTGCTGGATGAAGAAGAGACTGTTAACCGCACTTTTTGGTCTCTTGAGAGGTAACAAATCAGTCAGCTTCAGTACAAAGGGAGTGGTCATGTCAGAGTTGCTCTTTGGGAAAGATAAACTGACTGTTATCATAAGCACTTAAGGCATTGCCCATGGTGGGTTCCTCTGTTCATTCTATCAAGGTCCAGTTGCCTGTGGCCTCTGCTCAGAGCACGGCTGACCACCAGCCTGGTATGTGAAAGGACAGCCCACGTTGCTGCCCCTCCAAGTTGTCATTCTGCTCCCAGGGTGTGTTTCCCTGCTTTCTACCTTTTATTTCTGGCTTGTGGTGGCCTGTCTTGAGCCCTGAATAAATGCAAAATATCCAGCATGCCCTCTGGAGCTTTTGTCCAAGACAAGCCAAGGAATGAGTCTATGGCACAGAGTGGCCCGTGTCTCATGAAGATGGACCTTGCCCCGTCAGTTCAGCCCAGGACGAGTACATGTGTTCTCCGCCCCACAAATGCTGCTGTTTATGGGTTCATTGTAATGGCACCTTCACCCCTGAGTTCTTTGGGGCCAGGTGCTCATGGATTTCACGACAAAAGGCAGTGTTTCAGAAGCGGTGGGGGGGACTCCTGTGTGTCATACACATCTCATATCTTAGCCCATAAACTTAGTCCTTTCCATGGTGACCAAGGAGTGTCTGAGAACCAAGTTCCAGACCCTTCATACCCTTAGGAGAAATACTTCTTGGAGTGTCCAGTCTGATGAGTGCCCGAGAGGATCTTTGTTTTGTAGGCATGTGTAGGGCAGGAGCAGAAGACTTCACCGGCTGGGTTCGGGCCTGCGGGTGGGGCCTGACTGGCAGGACGGGTCTCCACTGACCAGCTGGCCTCTGGGATTCAGATATCGCACAAACAGCCCTTTAGGGTAACTTCCTAGGGGCCCTCATGTTCCCATTCTGCGTCTCCTGGAGTCAGGGCATTTTCCTACTGCATTAAAACAGAGTCCAAGTGCCGTCAGGCCCACTGTGCTCTCTCTCTCTCCCCCCAGCATCCCAGTGCAACGTCAGCTTAAAAAAGCAGAGGAGCCGCAGCATCCTGAGCTCTTTCTTCTGCTGCTTCCGTGACTACAATGTGGAGGCCGCGCCCGCCAGCAGCCCCAGTGTGCTTCCGCCGCTGGTGGAGGAGAACGGTGGGCTTCAGAAGGTCAGTGCTGACGGGAACTCCACTCTCAGCAAAACTGCTGTCGCTGCGCTTCTGTCCACCCCCGAGAAACAGTCTTCGCGAGAGTCTGTAGCGATACGTGTGCCACAACCACTTAACGAGTTGAAATCACCAAAAAAATAAGTCATTTTTGTTGTTCAAGGGTTATCTCAGTCATTCCCAGTTAGCAACCAAAAAATATAGTTAGTTCATGAGAGTTATAAAGTTCACTTCATATCTGGTAACATTTTCTCTTGGGACATTGACATGAAGTGCAAGGCCCCGTGGAAGTGGAAAGACAAAAGGAAAAACAGACACAGAAAAGAGATAAGCACAAAATGGCACGGAATGCCTTGCTTAATAACAAACATATTTGTTACATGTCCCACGTGTGCTAAGTGAAAAAATTTAAGTCAGGTTGTCACAACAGGCAAAGCAATTCTACCCACATGTTGATAGACATGTCCTGATAAACAGTGACTCAGAACAGTTAACGGCAAAATAATACACAGAGACATTGCACAAATAGAGGCAAAAGGAAAGCAGAGGTGATAGATAGTATCGATCTCAGTTAACACAGAAATTCAAGTAAAAATACTGAAGAAAGAAATGAGCATTATTTGGTATAAGAGAGTAGCGATTTAGGACACAAAACTTTTCATGAAACTTTATTTCCCAAATATCATGAACAAAGAACATTAATAGGCATTACACAAAATAAGATATACAGCTGGCCAGTAAACATTAAAAGCTGTCCACTGTGGTTAGTAATCAAATAAATGCAAACTAAATAAAATACCCTCTGCTGTATATTAAAATATAAAAGATATTTTAAATAATATTTGGGTTGTGCGGGGAGCGACAAGAAAGAAGGAAGATATAAATTGGTTATTGTAACAGTGTTAACTAGTAACACCTTTCTGTAGGGAAATTTGGCAATATGATCTTAAAAGCTAAAAAATATTCCTGTTTGTTCCCTCAGTTCTACCTGTTGACATAATTAGGGATATGCAAAGATTTAACCAGAAGGTACTAAGCACAAATATTAACATTGCAAAGTTGAAACAACTTGATGATCAACAATTAAAAGACCAGTAGACTAACCATACAAGCAAAAAGTACACGGCTATGAGAAATGATGTGTTGTAAATATTACTGATTTAAACAAATAGTCACAATATGACACTTAGGGCAATAAAATATATATATGTAGTAAGTCTATGGTGTTTATAGATATTCTTATATATGCACACAAGCATTTATAAGGTGAGGATGATAAATGCCAAAATCTTAACAGATTATCTCAGACTGGTAATATTATATATAGGATTTTCTCCTTTATTCATTTTCTCTCTCTCTCTCTCTCTCTCTCTCTCTCTCTCTCTCTCTCTCTCTCTCTCTCTCTCTCTCTCCCCTGTTCCCAATTTTTACAAAATAAATTTTAATTATTTTATGAGTAGAAAATAAATTCTGGGAAGATGACTTCCTGATCTCAGACTCTGACCATTTCAACTCTCTTTTGGATAAACCCAGATGAGCCTGCTGCAGGCTGGAAAGTACACCAGAGGTTCCAGTTTTCCTGCCATTTCCCAGGGAAAGAAAGCTCACAGGGCTCATTCGCTCTGGTGCTCTGAAAAGTGGGGAGCCACCAGCAGAGGACAGTGCTTGTTTCTCGTAGGCCTAGGACACATTTGAACATACAAGCCCTGTGAGCTGTAGCGGCCGGCAGGCCCGTGGGCCTCCTTGGGAAGGGCCTGGTGCCCACAGGATGTGTGTGGCCCCAGAGAAGCACAGTGCACAGGACTTTCTTCGTCTCTTTGTGGTTTGCCAGTTTGGGTTCTGCTGAGTGTGAAAACATTCCTTGCAATGTTCCCTCATTTGCCACAACTGAGATGACCAAGTTGAAGAACCTAGAATATGAGACTCCTCGTGAGGACTTTAATAGACAACTCAGGAAATATTATTTCAGGAAATGAATTTGAGAACTTCTGTGGCCTTTAGTTAGAAAGAAATCTATGACCGCCCTCCATATTTTCTCAATATACAAATTGAATAAATTGAGGAAAAGGAGAATGAGATGATCATTACTGAGCAATGAGTTAATGTTCTGGAAGAGCAAGTGGAAAAAAAATGTCATACCGTGCAGACCAGAAGCACAGAGATGGTAGTTGTGGTATGGAAAAGAGATACCCAGGAGACCTACCCTGCAAGGAAATAGAAGTTCTAGCAAGAAAAGTGAAGGCAAAAATCTTTCTTGAGCTGGAAAAAAAAAAACCTTGAATGTGCAGATTGAAAGGTTTACCAAGCCTCCTGCAGGTTTAGGGCAAGCTGGTATACGCCAGGTATATGCTGTTGAAGTTCAGGAATTCAAGGATAAAGAAACAATCTTGCAAATTACCAAAACGAGTTATTTTCCAATAAATGAGAGTTATACTAGCACCAGTTTCATTAGCAACACTGAAAGCAAGAAGGCTGTGAAAACCTGTCACAGGCGACAGGGAAAAAGGAATTACAAGCCAAAAATTCTATATGTGACCAAAATAACCATTTCTCTACTAAGGCAGAAGTAGTACATGTTCACATAGGTACTGATTCGGAGAAAGGGTGGCACTGATACTCAGTTACAATCTAATATAGAAAAAAGCAGAATAACCAACTCTTAGGAGTAGAGCTGTAATAAGTAGCACAATTAGAAAATTAAGGAACGAGGAAAAGAACCGATAACATAATAAACAATAAACCTAACATAAAGAGCAGGCATAAAGTTTAATAAGCTAAATTCTCCTAACAAAATATCAAGATTTTGGATTGGTTTGACAAATTTGTCTGAAATTTGCCTGGATGCTGTTCCAAGAATATGCCTGTATCTGATTGGAATGATTTTGGCAGCTGGTAAAAGAAACCTGACAAATACTAGCTTAAACAAATAGGGGATTATTTTTCTCACATAGAACGTCCAGGACTCGTAGTTTCTGGGGTTGGCTTAGATGCCCCGGGAGGCGCTCCGGGGCCCGCTCGTTTCTGCTCTTCAGTCTTCACCTCTGTCTGCTCCACCATCCTTGGCGTGTTTGCCTTCATCTCATAGTTTATTATGTCAGTCACAAGCTTCAGACACCACATCTACATTTTGAAGTAAGGAGACAGGGAGCAGTAGCACCCGCCATGTCTGTGCCTTTCCTGGAAAGTCTGCGCTTTCGCAGAAAATCCCAGGAGCCTTCTGTCTGTCTGTTGACAGCACTTTGTCACATGGCTACCCTCCAGCAGCACAGTGGGCCAGAAAGGCAAAGATTTTAGACCAGTGTGTTCCTACCCTCGACACAAGAAGAGCTCATTTCAGAAAGGAGGCAAGAGGACTGAGCGCTGGTCAGTGTGTGTTCAGCTACCCTGCAGTAACAACCCCCAAACTTCAAACACTTGAAACAAAAGTTGGTTTTTCATTCATGCTACATGTTTATCATAGGTTGACTGGACCTTCTACCCTGTGGCACAATTCAACAGAAATATGATGTGTGGGATTTAAATTTTCTAGCTGCCAAATTTAAAAAAATATTTTATAAAAGGTAAAACTAATTGTAGTAATTTCTTTTAGTTAGCCCAAGATGTCCAAGGAATTATTTTGGCAAGTAGTCAGTAGAACATATTATCATATTTTCATTCTTTTTACCTTAGTAGTTCTTCAAAATCTCATGGGTTTTATAGTTCCAGCCACAGTGCACATGCTCTGTAGCCCTGGCATAACTGTTTTATGCCATTCATGGACCTACACTGAAGAAGGCTTGATCTCTTTGCTTCGGTGATGGTCTCAGCAGGAAGAAAAACGAATGTGGTGAATCACACTGACTTCTAAAGTTCACTCAGAAGTAATATGCCTCATTTTGCCTTAAATTTATTGGCCAAAGCAATTCATGTGACAATACCAACTTTGAAGGACGTGGAAGTATAATTCTACCATGTGTCCAGAAAGATGGCTGGAATTATTTGGTGAATAGTACTAATGACTATCATATAATAGGCGGTTAGTGTTATATGACATTAAAAAAGAGGTGGAAAATAAAGTTGTGGGTAAAATAGACAAAGCAGATTTTTTAAAAAGGAAATCAAAGTGGTAATATTAATGTCAGACAAAACAGAATTCAAGGCTCTAAACTATGCAACAAGAGAAAGGATGTTTTATGATAAAAGTTCTAATACATTTAGTGTACGATAGCCACATACCTTGCAATACTAATTAACAATAATGCCAAATACGCAGAAAAATAATATTCAAACATGATAAAAAGCTGTTTTATGAGGGAAAAATAGCTAATAACACAGGCAGATTACTAGTAGATGTCTAGTTAGTGAAAGATAAGAAAATGAAATAATTTTTTTGAAGATGAAATATTTGATGTAAGTATAGAAAAGATGCAAAATTGGTTTTAATTGCAAATGACATGATTACATAGAAAACCCAAAAAACTGAAAACCAAAAAATAAAATTATGAAAAGGTTTTTACATGGTGGCTCTTATTCATAAAGAATATGCTGTGTTTCTGGATAAAAAAGATTTAAAACTCATATAGGAGGGAAAATGTCTAAGAATAGCTAAAAAGTTTGGGGGGGGGGTGGAACTAAAAGATAACCTGACTTAAGGGATATTAAACCTGCCTCTCCCTTGGTGTAGAAAAATCTACCAGTGGCATATGTATGAGAGTCCACAGCTGTCAGCCCTTTTGTGGCCACAGATTCTGACATGTCCCCAGGGTTTTCTTACTTCGTCCTCTCCTGCTCCCAGGTGAAAGGCGCTTCTGTTCTGAATCCCATTAGTGAAAGGTATATACTTTATATCCTACGTCTGTCAAGAGGGGGGAAAAGAGGAAAGATTAACTGCCATTATAGTAAAAGTTAGTTAAAAAATAGTATCTGCCAAGAGGAAATGACATGAGAAAGTGGTGTGACCCACTGGGAGGCTTTCTGGGATCCCCAACTGTATGTATCAGATGATAAAGTCCTTCACGGGAGCTGAGCTCAGCTGGACTTCGTGTTCCTTCATGGACTTCCGCTGGTTAGTGTTTATCAAAGTAGCTTTTTTTTTTTAAGATTTATTTATTTATTCATACAGAACTGGGGTAAAGACCAGAGATGCGGAGGGTGAGAGGATTCACCAGAGTCAGGTTGGGGAGCAGAACAGGCAGATCAACGAAGTACACTGCTGATGGGAGCAGCAGCGGGCGGGTCAGGAGAGGTCTGCCTCACCATGTGGATCTTCTCCGGGACAGGCAGGAATCAAACTCATGCGGAAGTGGCCTAAGCTTCTTAGTGCTGTGCTTTAACCCGCTGCGCCACCAGGGAGGGCCCTATCAAAGTAGCTTTTTAAGGAATTCAGTTGACTTAGATAAATCTGAAGTGGGGGTTCTGCATCATTTGCATAACACTTGCCGATTCAGTGTGGGAGACCAGACCCCATGAAAAGAGCCCATGTTGAAGTGGGGAACTCATTTCCAGAAGAGGGCCCTCTGCCCTTTGCAGCCAGGGCTCCTGAAACCCAAACCCCAGGCCCATGAAGGTTTGCAGCAGATTTCAGTTCTCTACTGCCGAGCCGCAGCTGTCCTGGCTCTCAGCATGCCCGAGGAAGTGGGAGGCCTGAGCCACAGCTGGCCTCTAGGTTTCTAGCCACCTCAAGTGTTTACTTTGCCCTGGGGAAATGAAGATTTGGAGGCTTTCAGTTTCGAGGTGCTTCTGCAGTGGGGACTTGGGGCAGCAGCTATTGCTGCTATCACCCTCATGACCTGGACCTTTATAAGCCACTTCCCCCCAATGCAAGGATCCTGCAACCTAGGAAGAGTCGGTTGTCTGAAGGCCCTAATTAACAAAGACCATGGAGGACCTTCAAGGACAAAGATAGAGTTATATGATGGCTGAGCGCTCACTTGTACACACAGACCAACTTGTGCATACACTCACATACTTGGAACATCTGTGTAGACAGCCCACTCAGTCAGTCTGTTCTGTCAAGCCCACCAGGTGTGTGGCTGTGAGATCCTGCCACTGGTCACTCATCTCATCAAAAGTGTGGTACTGAAGGTGCACCTGTGTGGGGGGCTGCATCTCCCTGAAAAGGAGTGGTGGTTCTCAACCAGAGGCAGATTCACCCTCCGGGGAACATGTGGCAATGTCCAGAGACATTTTTGATTGCTACTGCTGGGGGGAGGGAGAGGCTTTGCTGTCTTTAGTGGGCAGAGCCCAGCAATGCTGTTCAGCATCCTACAGTACAGTGCACAGGGGCCACCACCCCCCCCCCCGCCGCCGCCCCCAGCAAGAGTGACAGGGTCTAGGTTTCTGTAGTTCTGGGGCTAAGAAACCCCACCCCACCAAGGGTTTATGAGCATCTGGTTAACTCTCCCCAGCAAAAGCAGTGGTCTGCTCCTAGGCCCAGACTCAGGGCTATTAAAAGCGTCTGAAAGGAACTGTTCTGCACAAGTTCTTGAAAACCGGGGTATGATTTGAGTGCACCATTATGATGGAGAACAGCACGGCTCTGCCTTGAGCGACCCAAGACAATGTAGAGTCCCTAAGACCAGCCCCAAGTTTCCTGAAAAGGAAAGAGCCACCAAGAAGATCTGAGGAGACCATAATTGCTGCCCCCTGCCGATGTCAGGACTGGTGACTGCAGATGCCAGAGAAGCTGCTGGTAGGGCCTACGTCAGAGCAGACACTTGTCACAGTGACCCCCCTCCCCCCCCCCTGCTTCCCTTAATCGAAATGGGTACATCTGTCACAAACCCTTCAGTGTGGGGGGACCACTCCTCATCAGCCACTGGGAGGCTGCTACTCACCCCTCCTGTCCCGAGACATGAAAGAAACACAGAAACTGGAAACACTTCATTTTTTTTCTTTTATTCACATTTCTTAGTGACACTGAAATGAAGTGTTTCCATCAACCAGGTTTGGAATGTGTGGCATTCCAGGGCTGAGGAGTGGTTGAGGCCCTCTCTGGGGGCCTGAGTTTTCTTAAGACTCCCTGTCAATACAGGTTCTGTTCCTTTAAAGGGAAAGCTGCCCCATGTCTGGGGCCTGGGAGGAGAGGAGAGGACCAGGGGTGACCAGGGTCCCCCGTAAACTGAGCAATTTGTCTTTCTTTCCCTGCATATTGTGTTGACTTGAAGCTTAGTCCTTTTAGAGAACTATTTAACTTAAAAATAAAAGAAACAAGCCTGTTCATAGAGTAATCCATTCAATGAAAAGTATGCATTTTAAATTAAGGATTAAATTCCTGGGAATAAGCAAGATGATTAATGTGCCTCTGGAATTCAGCCTGATTTGTCCAGGGAGGGGGTGTCTAGGAGACAGAGTGGAACCCAGTACCTAAACTGGGACATCTGGGTTCCTCCTATACATTAAACATCACCCAGGTATTTGGTGGGGAGGGAACTGTCATGGCTCCTGAATCCAAGAGTGCTTTGAAGTTGTTTTGAATGGATGATCTTAGTTCTCTTCAAATCTGACAATGATTTTTTTCTTCTTTCTCCTCAGGGTGACCAGAGGCAGGTCATTCCCATACCAAGTGTATGTATATTTATCCAGTTGTATTCAAACATTCATAGTATCTTGTGGCTTTGGACCTACTAATATAAAAGATTTTTTTAATGGTTTTGGTTATTGAGTTTTATTGTGTGGTATAAATAGTTCTATTGCAAAGTAAAAGAAATGAAGCTACATTTTCAACAGAGCAGGAAGTTCTACACAGAGAGAATTTCCTTTCTCAGGAATAGCAGGGCAACTCACATCTAAAAACCATTCTCACTTTTCCTTTCTCTCTGCAAAGGACCTCACTCCAAGTCCAAAGAACTCGCTCAGGCAGATGCCACCCTTCCCCACCCCGGTGCTGATTAGCCCCAGCTTCCCAGCTCCATAAACTGGGGGAACATCTTTTTTTTTTATTAAAGATTTATTTATGCACACAGAACTAGGATGCAGGCGAGAGGTGTAGAGGCGGTGAGAGGCTTCACCAGAGACAGAGTGGGGAGCAGAAGAGGCAGATTAACACAGTACACTGCCTAGGGGAGCAGCAGGCAGGCCAGGAGAGGTCTGCCGCGCCATGTGATCACCTCAGGGGCAGGGGATAGAACTCGCACTGAAGCGGCTGCTGCTAGCTTGCAGTGCTGCGCCCTCACCCTTTGCACCACCAGGGAGGGCCAGGGACCGTCTTTTGCCAGATGTGGTAGACGTGGTTCTTTACAGCAGGTTCTGCCTCGTGGAACTAGACTTGCCAGACCCAGGGCCCAGGTGAGTGACATGGCTGTGGCTTTGCAACCAGAAAACCACCCCACTCGCCCCGGGCCAGGACCCAGCCCCACTCCTCTCGGGCCTGCCAGTGACTGGCTTTCCACTGCCAGTGCCCCCCACTGCTCTGCTCCTGTCCTGAGCGAGTAACCTGAGCCAGGCAGCAAGCAGACTGCTGACAACTCCCAAGAGTATCTTGCCGCTGAGATGTCTGTATCAAACAAGAACTTTCAGACATTCCAGTGTCCTGAGAGAGATCTAGATTTTAAAGGATACTGTTAAATTGATATTTGACTATAATCTGATTTAAATTGAGATTTGAAGATAATCTGATTTAGATTGATTCAGCTCTATTCACCTATCTTTCCTTGGTCTTGTTCACAGTTTTCTTGAATATCCAAGAACCAACCACAACAGCCTTAAAAGGAATGAAATTTCACTAGGACAGCGTGACTCCCAATTTGGTGACTTATATGTTACCAAAGTGACTCCCAATGTGTCACTTATAAACTGCCCAGAAAGTTTTCAATAATTTCATTTTTCTCAAAAATTCAACTCTCTGTTGACTAGCAAGTTGCTAGGCTTGTGGCTGGGTCTCTAACTGCCAGCCTGCCTGGGATCGGGCTCTCGGGGAAAACTGATCAAAAGGATTGATGGAGTAGCAAGACTTCTTATCCAGGGCTAGAGTAGGATACCCAAAGGGGTTGATGTCAGAGGTCTCTTTTAAACCTTTATGCTTCTCTTAAACTATCCTTATGCATGTGTATTTATGAACTTGAGTGATAGTGTCTATGTGATAGGCTCCTAACTGTGGAAAAGCCAAATCAAAGGATATATTTTACATTTTTGGTAGGTTAAAGCCAAATCATCCTCCAAAGGCCTAATTTAGATTCCCATCAAGAATGTATGGGATTTCCTGTTTTCTTACCAAAAATGGCAGTTATAAAATGTTTTTTATCTTTACTAATCTGAAAGTAAAGCATGGTATTGATGTACTGCTTTCTTTGATTTGCACTTTCTTATGATTGAATATAAACATCTTTTCACAAGTTTATTATTCTCTGGTCTTTTTCTTCCATATTCATTTATTTGAGATTTTATGCTAGATTGGTTATCTTTCTAAATTTCAAGGAAATTAGCACTTCTCCACAAATTTATGACATATATGTTGGCCTTATTTAGACTCATCTTAGACACGGGTTCATATTGTGCAGGTGAACATACTAATCTTATCCTTCACATCTCCTGAGTTTTATATCATGCTTAAAAAGATCTCCCCACTCTGTGACTGTGACCTCTATTTTCTCCTAGTATTGTAATGGCTTCATTATTATATTTAAGCCTTTGTTCCATGTGGAATTGATGTTGATATAGTACAATAAGTACTTTCAGTTTTCTTTCTTTCTCCAAGTGGGAATCAGTTATCTTGACATCATTCTTGAATCAGTCCTACTTTTACATGCCTAGTGGAAATGTCTTTATCTAGACTTGCTAAATGTTCCAGTTAGTAATCCATGTCTCCCACAAAGAGCTGGGACTTGGGGCCCTCCACAAACACATCTTAATAGGAAGCCTCAGGGCCTGTTAAGTAAACTTTAAGTATTAGGGATAAGAAAAAGATGCAGAAGAACAGGTTTAGAAACCACTGAGTTTTGGATCCCCAGGTGGAAGGTAGCACTCCAGGGCTTTGACCCCGTAAGGAATGCCGTGGGGCTGTGACCTGACATTCCGTTCCCACACTCCTGCTGGAAGCACACATGACACCGAGACTGACAGACATGAGGTTGGTGATGCAGTTGAGCCATAAAAATGCTGAAAGGGAAAGAAAACATTTCTTTGTTAACATTTGTGTTTCCATGCTGTTTGCCTAAGCCTTTTAGTTAGCAGTCATATATTTTTGTACCAAAGTCTTATGAAGAACCTATAAGCGGAGTAGCTGTTCTAGTTAAAGTCAACCTGGTGTCCTTGGCCCTGCCCCTGAAGCAGACCCTCAATTCTTGGCCCTGAACGCTGAGGCTTAGGAGCACAGTGCAGACCTGAATATGAGAACAAAATAATGCACCCAGAAGAGGTATGTCTATTAAAAAAAAAAAAAAAGGTACATCTATGAGGGTTGGGGGTTGGGTAATCCAAAAGAAAAGAGCCTTTGAGTTAAATGTTCATGATTACCAGGTCACAACCAAAGACAGGAAACTTCAAGTCTCCTCCCAGGAAGGGAACTGGCATAAGTGACCTTTGCAGACCTTGGGTGGGACGCCACGGCCCGTGTTTTCTGCACCCACTGACCCCACTTCTTCCATCCATCCGGCAGTTCCTTGTATGTGCTTTAGAGCAAGAGATTTTGTGTAGTAACGGCACTTCTAGATATAACTGGTGTTTCTCTTGTTCTTCAGCTTGACGATGGCCTAAGAGAAAATTTGCTGTAAGAAGTTTTTTAGTTTAATTATTCCAGCATCACCTGAACACATCAGTTGAAGTGACAAAGCACTGTTGAAATTATATAGTGTCCTTGCATGTTGCAAGGACATAGCTGCCCAGAAGAATGTTTACCAGTGGCCTCTCAAACCAAGTTCTCAGAAGCTGTGTGCATTTAAGAAATGGGCCGAGGGTTAATGGAATCCTCCTTGCCCATGGCTCTCAGCAGCACACATGCTCAATGGCTTGCTTAGTAGGAGTCTCACCCTCCTCACTCTTCCCTCTGTTACTGGAGCATAGTAGGGGTCTTTACTTACTGTTAATATAGCAAACACTTGTAAAGTGTAAGCTAAATATGTTAAGAAAATTGTCTTTCTTTTTGGTTTTGGAAAATAAGCCATTTTTGGGAGATCTTTGATTATTTCATATATGCTAAGGAATGCATTTCTAGATTCTTAATTTTTGGGCTAGCAATCACATAAAGTTAAAATGCTTTAATATGTCAACTCATAGAGAAATGACTGGACTGGTAGATGCCAAACTAAAAAGAAGGGCCACTGGGAAAAAGAGTGGGAGGCATAGAAATAGGTATAGTTGTGCTTTACATGTCTTACTCTTAAAGTGAGAATTTTTATCACATAGTTGTATGTAAAAATTAAAGCAAATTTTATTCTAGTCACAGCATGCCTTCTGCTTTGGCCCAAACAATAAAAACAAACCAAGTCATCTATTTTTTCACTTATAGAGATTGTCATACTCTTGCTTTTTTGAAATTTTATTTTGCCACAACACTTACTCTTGCAAGTTTAACTTTCTAATAATCTGCTTACTTGCTGATTTATAATGAAAAACAGAGTCCTTTACAGCACCCCCAATCTGTGCCTTTATCTAAGGGACCATTTATTTCTTCCCAGTGCTACAGGGTTGTACTGCTTGGTGAGCTTTCACTAGAACCAAGGGAGTTCTTGGGAAGCCAGAAGGGCTTTTTCTTCTGGCTGGTCTTGGAGAGCCTGAAGCAACCCTCTGACTGGAGAGCGCCTCTAGAGTTAGAAATGCTCATATCTGCACACGAACCTCATCCTAGTCAGCCCTGGACAGTCTCCGCTCCCTCCATACACACCCCCTTATGCTCACTGCTCTTGCATATTTACCCAGCCTGTTGACAGCCTGTGCCACATTCTGTTGAACCAGCCAAAGTCCAAAATTAACATTGACTAGCATTCAGTTGAAACAGAAAAGGGTTTGGGGGCATGGAATAGCCAGCCCCTAAAAGGGAATAGTCTTGATTTTGTTCTTTTTCTGTTTTATTTAATAAACCAAATTGCCTAGTCTTCAGTGACTTGGGGCAGAAATATTCTTGTGTTTTGTTTTGCATTAACTGTTGAACAAGCTTGACCTTTTTCCAGGATAGAAAATTAGCTAGTTAACCTGAGACACTGAATATGCCAGAAAAGTAAACAGAAATACTTAAAACCATTTCTAGAATGTCAAGTCCCAATGAAATAAATATTATAAATGAAGAGAAGGTTGGCTGAAGTTATCTAGATTTTGTTAACTCTTTATGACCTCTTCATCACTGGAGTAGGGTCAACTTCTACAGAAACCTGTGAATAGACTTTCTAGTTAATACAGCATGTGGATTAAAGTATAACTTCCAGAGGCAGAGAATTTAAGGGATAAAATTACTACATTCACTCACTATTATACCACAGTAGGGCTGGCACAAAGTAGGTAACAGTATCTGGACCATGTTATTTGTTTTCTATAATTGTAGATCATTTTGAATTACATTTCACTGGTCTATAGTTTCTTCAAGTTTGTTATCCAGGTCAGCTTCATCTGACTCAGATGCCATTCGGTAATGGCACAGTAGTTGTTTGGTAAAACTTCGGTTGCAAACTTCTTATCCCCAATGTTTTTAATAACATTCCATGATGTAATTGATCAGGCACTTAGATTTTTGCTTTCACTTATAACCTTATTGACAGTAGAAAGCATCGATAAAGGAATTGGTTTGTCTTTTACATAAAGCTAATAATAGTGATTTCTTTTCCCCTTTAGCCACCAGCTAAATTCCTCCTTCCAGAGGTGACGGTGCTTGACTATGGAAAAAAATGTGTGGTCATTGACTTAGATGAAACATTGGTGCACAGTTCATTTAAGGTAAATCAGCGTTTAAATAAAAAATAATGATCTTTTAGAATCTGGTCCCAATTGTATTAGCAAAGAAAAAAAAGACTGAAAGCATGTAGTTGGTACTTTATGACTTCACTATTTATAAAGAAATCCCACTTACAGTTGCCCATTAACTTAGGTGAGCATTAACTCGAGTAGTTGAATATTAACATAATTAGTTTGGGAGAAAATCCTGGGCCGCTGGTATCAATGAGACCTGTCCTTACTTAGGAGATTAAAGTTTTCCAGCACTCAACCTCTGCAGACATGAGGGTGGGCAGTGCTGACCAGGCCACCTGACTCAAAGGCAGGGTTTTGGCAGCCCCTGGTGGCCCCAGCGCCTGCTCAGAGGACATGAACGAAGTGAGCTATGTGAACAGCCTCTCCTGGTTTCCCACTGATGTGCCTACATTTGTAAGCAGGATAATCTATCGTAGGGTTTTTTAATGTTCTGGGCATTTCAGAGCCCTTTGAGTATCCAGAAGCTGTGAGCCTATCCTTGGAAATTTACAGCTGTTCAGTACACAGGCTCACAAACCCAACTTGAGAACCCTAGCTTCGGAATGGCCTGAGGGTCTGATTTTTAGCATATTTGGTAGAGTATGATTTCACAATCTCATGCCTTGGGAGAGTTTCTTTGTTCGGGCTTTCCTTTTTCTTCCCCCCCCCCACCCCTAACCATGTTTCTGTATTTCAGTTGTGCAATTATAAAATAACAGCCCCAACCTTGGCCTACCAACCTTAGGAGTCAATAAATTGCAATCTTAAGCCTCGGGTAGCCTCCGAGAGCTTAGTAATGATTTCACAATCCACATTTTTTCCGTTAACATGTCAAAGAAGAATGTGTGCACACATGCAGTGATGACCCAAGGGCAGAGCCCAGTCCAGAGTGTGGCCAGAGACTACCCCACACCCCTACCCTAACCCCTACCCCTCACCCTGCCTGATCCCCAAAGCTTGCTAATTTTCTTGGACCTGTTGGTTTGAGAAATTTTCTTCCTAAATGGTGAAATTTCATCTAGAATAAATGTCTATCATTGAGAACATCGTGACTGTTAAAGAGTCATATTTGAATTTTAAGTGTCATTAATATTGTCAGAGTTCATTTAAGTATTCAGGAGTTTGTGGGTGTGCTGGGTATTGTGTTATTTAGAGCAAAGTGGTATAGGGTGGGCTGATGCCAGCCCCGGGCGGCAAACTGCGCCAGGCAAGACCTGAAGTCACTGATACAGACCAGGTGGAGCAATGGGCGCTCATCAGACCTGTTAGTATTTTCCCCTGGAATCGAGGAAACCCTGGGGAAGAGGCTGCCCAAGGTCTTGGCCTTTGGCCTCTGGCTGCACCCACATTGGTGAGTTGGGTTCATGTGCTGCACGTCTCCTGCCCAGCAGCCCATCACGGGGGCAGCCTGAACTCCTGGGTGCAAGTATAGTTGGTTCCCCAAGGAGCACTGTGCTCCGCTGGGACTGCCTGGCCTTACCACACACACCCCCAACCCCCACCCCACCCACCTAACCACTACGCCACTACCCCCCCCCCACCATGGCTGTGGTTCTCCGTCATCCTGAGAGGACTGTAGGCACGAGCTGGTGTTTCTGAGCCCTGATCACTAGTAGGCTGCCCCCACTCTTTGTCACTGAGGCCAGACAAGTGATAAGGAGGTTGGACCCAGATGCTGACAACATAAGAATATTCAGAATAGAAAATAATGCTTGTGCTTATTTTAGGGACCCAAGGCAAGTTTCGACCTCCTTCTCTTGAACTTTTTTCCAATAATAAAAACGTTGGGCCAGGCAAGCTTTTTTCTTGCTAAAATTTTCAATTTTATTTTGTTCTTTCAGACAGAGTAATTATAGTTTCTTTTCTTTCTAGCCTATTAGTAATGCTGATTTTATTGTCCCGGTTGAAATTGATGGAACTATACATCAGGTAAGATTTCCAAACTAAATCTGAGTTTCAGTTAGCACTTTTTTAGAAATATTTCCTGTGAACTTTATTTTAAATTTCTATTTCAGTAATCTTATTACCAAGAACACTTTGTTTAAAAAAAAATACACTGATTTAAAAATGCTTTTTTTCTCTCAGATGCGTTTATTTTACTGAGTTGGTAAGAAAAATGAGATCTCTTTGTAAACACAAGATGTGGCTGCAAGTTCAAAAAGTTCTTTGATTTGATGCAAACTTTTGGAAGTTTCCATACCCCTGCTGGCCTACCGTGATGGTCTGATACTTAACTTCTTGCACGGTTGCTCCCGGTTACACTCAGAGCAGATGACAGGGACCGTCACAGTGTCCCGAGTCAGCCACTTACTGGGATTCTCAGGAAAAGGTGTCCAGTACCAGCCCCTCCAGACTGATTTTTTCATTCCTGCATCGTGTCCTCCAATGACTCCTTAGCCAAATCCCAACCTAAAAGGAGGGGGAAGGGTGTGAGTTCTGGGATCAGTAAGCAGCTTTGAACAAAGATGCACTGTGGCATCTGATTCCCCCCCACACACACCTTATATGCATGTAATTTCTCTGGGAATAGAACATATTGGAAATATAGGAAAACTTAGCCTCTGTGCTTTTGTTAGATTTTCTATAGGGATGATCAAACCATCCTCCATGTCAACCTCAGAGCCGTAAGGAGTCTCTGGCCTGGTGTGTTTCTACCCCCATGTAGGAAAAGCTCTTGGTGCTTAAGCCATAATAAGAGATTTTTCCTTTAACAATGTCATCTCTTCCCTTTTGACTGATACATGTCAGAGCTGGGTAGGCCTTGGAAGTCAGCTAGTACAAGCCACTTTCTTGTGCAGGTGGGGAAACTGAGGCTCAGCCAGAGAAAGAGTTGGCTTTGATGTCATAAAGTGGGAGAGACTGCAATGAGAATTCCAGTCTCCTGCCTCCTGCCACACAGCCCCTTCCCACCCCTGCCCTCGCTTTCTCACCTCTTTTCCAGGCAATCCTGCAAGGAAACTGTCCTTGGAAAGGTAGTCCCTGGAAGAGCCACCCTGGGAAAAGCTCTTTCCCTAGCCTGGCCAAGCTTCATGCTTTCAAAAGCCAGGGAGCCAAAGGTGGGCGCTTGGCCGTTTAACATTGAAACGCACTGGCTGAAGTAACTCGGTAGTTGAGAAGCAGTGAGTTTGTGCATTACTTTACTTGTGTTATAAAGTAATGAGACAAAAGGGAGGCCCCCCAGTGGCATGGCAGGAATTAGGAGAGAAATAAACTTTCACCATGTAACTGTGCGCATGACCCTCAAGGCCTGCCCTGTTTTGGCCAGCCCATTTTTATAGGAACCACCCGCGGCCCCGGCCCCTTCCAGAGTTGGCCATAAACGCCCCAGGGCTGGGATCAGAAACTCTCCTGAGGGAATGAAGCCACAGGCGCCAAGAGGAGGACAAGGCCCTGGCGAAGACCGTGGCCTCGTTCAAGTAATCCAGGATAGGCTGTGCAGGTCCCAACGGGCCTATTCTTGGTTACTTGCACGGGGACGCGGGCCTGGACGCCGGCATCCGGGCCCAGGACCCTCCCTGCCAGAGGCACCAACACGAGTTCCCAGACCTCTCTGCTCCCCTTTGCATGTAGCAAGCAGTGTTCCCAGGGAGACAAGAGCTGCCAGCCCCACGTATTCCCTGACACGGGGAGTCTCAGCAAAGTGGAGGCCCGGAGCTTCTGGGGCCTCAGGCCCTGCCCTCCTCCCACCCCTCCCTCCTAGCTCCTTACCCTTGCTGGCTCCCACCCCAGGCCATCCTGCGCCTCTGCTCCCCACCTTTGGCCACAGACCCACGTCGCCCACCTTTTCTAGTTGACCACAAGTTTCTCTCCAGATCCTGGCTCTGTAGGATCCCTCTTACCGCGGCAGGATGCCGGCCTGCTCTGTCTGCCATCCGTGGTCCAGAGGCGCTCAACGACCTGCCTTCCACAGGTCCTCTCCCCTCCTAGCCCCTCACTCACCACATCCTGTGAAGGTCAGGTCACAGTTCCACCATTCTCCGACACCTCTAGTATGTCAGGCCAGTTCTGCGTAGACTGGTCCCTTGGCCTGGAAGCTCCCTAGCCCTGTCCTTACTGACCTGGCGAACTCCTATTCATCCTTCAGGGGCCAGGCCAAATGTTACTTTTGACTCTCCTCTTGAGAAGGGGAGTTAATAGTCCTTCACCTACCACTCTACTACAACTTTGATTCTGCCATGTCTATTTTATGTGTGTTTGCCTATATCTGCTCTAGATTGTGAGCCCTTCGAGGGCAAGGCCTGTGTTGTGTTCCTCTTTGTAACTGCTTCAGAGGGAGCACAGAGCCTAGGGCCCAGGGACTGTGAATTGAATGGTAACAAGTTTGACTTGTTTTAGGGAAGGGAAGTGGCTAATTTAAAATGAGTTTATTCAATCTTTAATTATTTCTTCCCTCCTCCTACCTCCTCTGTCTTCCCTCACCAACTTTGCCTTCTCACCCCTCCCCCTGGATCCTCGGTGTTGTCCAGGTTCTGTAGTGAATAGCATAAAGCCCACCATTCGAAGGAAGGCTTGTCTTTCCCCCACCTCTGCTTGGAGGCCCCCCAGGCTTGCTTTCAGGGACCTGGGCTGATGCTACTTCCCCTGAAGTTTGCATTTCTGTAGCAAGCAGAGCAACCTTTGTGCGGCAAGTTAACAAGGAAGTCGTACAACTTTATTGGGCCTGCACTTCCCTCCCAGGTCTTCCTACTGAGAGGCTGTGCCAGTTAGAGAAGAAGGCAGCCAGGATTGCCCCAGGCCTGCCACGCAAAGGACAATCCAGACTGCCCTGTGTCCACATTGGGATTGGGTTTGACCTAATGTTATAGACAGACACCGGTGAAAAGAATGAGTCGTTTCACACAGACATGGCACTCGCTGGTTCTGAATATCACAAGATGCTCACGACCACGGTCAGCTTCTCTTCTTCTCTGGGAGGAGCAGCTGCACCATACTCAGATCTGGGGCCCTTTCTGAGGAGCGTGTCTGGCCTGAGGTGCCCATCTGATTCTGTGGGCCCTCATGCTGTCTGGTTCTCCACAGCACATATAGACGAGGGCAGGAGGTAGAACCTTCCTCGAGCTCTTCCCACGTGGGTGTCTGAGCCCAGGCCAGCCATCCCTTGCAACTCCTGTGACTGACCGGCTTGCTGTCTCTGCCATTGCAGGTGTACGTGCTGAAGCGGCCACACGTGGACGAGTTCCTCCAGAGGATGGGGCAGCTCTTCGAGTGTGTGCTCTTTACTGCCAGTCTGGCCAAGGTGAGCCGCGCTCCCACCGTGGCACTCCAGCTCCTCCCAGCCCTTCCACCCTGTCTGTTAGCAGACCTTTGTGAAGGTGGGGGAAGCTGTCGCTATGGTGACTGGTTCCCACCCCAGATGGAATGGATGCAGGCCATGTGCACAGCACCAATCTGCAAGGCTTCTGGGTTACCATGGTGACAGAGAGCACTAGGAACAAATGCTCCATGAAGTTGCTGCCTGCAGCCGCCTGAAGCTGGCTGTTCACAGACCAGGAAATCGCTAAGGTGTCCATCGTGACCGAGAAGGGACATCTGCCTCTCTGGCAACCCAGTGTTGGAGTCTCCAGCCTCTGTGCCCATGGGTTGGGCTTACACAGTGTTAGGGGTAAGATCAGTGGCAGAGATTCAGCTGCATGCTTCGCCGTGGCTACCCTAGTGAGCCCTGAATCTCAGCAAGTTCCTTCACTTCTCTCACCTCAGTTTCTCATCTTTGGGATAACTCTGTTTTGTGGGGTAGAGCGACTAAAATAATGCATGTCAGGGACTTCGCACAGAGCCTGCCTCATGCTCAGAGAGACTCGGGGACACCTCCTGTGTCACATATGCTGCGCTCAGTGCTCCTGTGGCCGCTGTTTGCTGCCATAATTACTAGTGATAACAAAAGGACTTACATGTTTTGGCCTGTAACTTGCTGTGAGCCTCTGACCTTCACCTTTATTGCTCTGACGAGCCAGAGTGGCTTCTTCGCTCTCTGTTACTGTTGAAGGCAACCACAGGGGAGCAGAACCCTCAGTCTGTTTAGGCCCGGCCTGTCACAAGTAGACTGAAGTAGAGGGCAGAGTGGGGACCCCACTTCCAGAGGAGATCCCAGGCAGACCCCGCTTCCCGAGGAGATCCTGGCTGTTCGTGACCATCTCTCCAGCTCTGGCACTTTGTTGATAGGCACACTGGGGCAACTTGGGGCCACTGAGAGGCTCCAAAGAGCAGCTTTGGGCCCCAGATTAGCCACCTGCCTGTCTGCAGAGCTGCTCCCAGCCCTCGTCTTCCCCCTACGTCTGTCTCCGGATGGCTCCCTTCTCTGCACTGTGGGGACTCTGCCTTCTGGCTCCAGACGTTCTGCTTTGCTGGCTGGGCATTCCTCGTTTGGGCCATCTCTCTGTCAGGGCTGAGGCGAGGGAGGCCCTGCCTGTGTGACATCCTGCCAGGCTCATTGCCAGGTGTTAACGCCTGACTGGTAGAGAGGGAATCCAAAACCTGGGCCTTGTTTCTGCTCAGTGAGAAGAGAATGTGGCCACAGGGAACACAGCCTGCCCGGCAGTGCTTTTCCAAACGAGTGGTACCAAGACTAATTGTATCTGTAGTGTCAGTGGCTCTTCCAATTGTGCTCTGGGGTGCGAAGGAACCTAAAGCGACAACCAAAGAAATAGCAGACAGGAAGATTGCACTGGTGTTGGTGGGTTGAAAGTTGTTTCATCATTTGCAAAACTGAAAACGTTCTCCCTTGGCGCTGTCCCCAGCACTCGCTTAAACATCCTTGTTTGGTCTCTCTTCCTGGACTGCTCCCACCTGCCCCTCCATCTGTCTCTCAAACCCTTCTCTTGCTGCTACACCAGCCTGGCCCAGCCAAATCAGCTCCCAAATGCAGCCTTCTAGCCCTTTTCCTCCCTGATGCGCAAGTTCTGGGACAGGTAAGCACTGCTCAGTCCTTGGTTCTGGGCTTGGCCCCCAGCTAGCCTCATGGGTGCGTGGGCCTCTGGACCCGCTGCCCAGGGGCCTGCAGGAACCCACCAGTATCTGCAGATTCTTCTTAGTTTCCATCATTATTCTTTTACCCAATAAATCTTTATTTAGCACCTACCATGTTTTGGCGCTTTGCTAGGCTCTGGGGATACAGCACAGAGCAAAAGAGGGAAAGCCTACCCTCGTGAAGCTTACAGTCCACATTCGACTCTGAGAACCCCAGACTAAGACATGCTCTCGAACGATGCATGCCGCTGCCAGTGTTCATGATCAGGAGGAAATCAGTCGGCTTTTCTGTCACGAGTCGGCCTTCTCCAGTCCAGCCACATGGTGCTTAACTCACCCCAGCTCCAGAAACCGCAACGCCCCGAGCTCTTGCCACTCGGTCAGTGGGCATATAGCCTGCTCTGGGACTTTGCCTCCCCTTCGGATGTCTCTGAAGCAGAGAGGACTTTCCCATGGAATCAGAGCAGCTGTTTGTAGCCCCTGGTCCTGCATCCTTTGGTATTTACTCTGCACTCAGTGGCTGGGTGAGTCCACTGCTGGCCTCAGCACCACCAGCCTCAAGTGCTTCCCGCTTCCCTGGCAGAGTCACTGTGCCTGCTTAGCCTGACAGTGCCCTCTCCTTGGTCTTGGTGCTGAGACCCAGCCTCACGTCAGGCTGGGAACCACCATCCTTTCGCCCCCCAGCCCCAGCCACTCCGTCTAGCCCGCCCCTTTGGACATCGTCAATTATAAAGGTTTTCTCTCATTTCTTTCTTGATCCAGGTCACCCCATTTTGGGGGAAATTCCTTGAGAAAGGTCCAAGCAGAACGAACCCCAATTGAAGTAGGCCCAGACTCCCTCCCTAGAAACTCCTGGGCTCTAAGTCAGTGGAGTGGGTGACAGCATCAGCAGTGACGTCCAGGGCTGCGCTGGTGCAGTTGCTAAGAGGGCCTCTAGGGGGCAGTATGGCTTCGTGTCCTGCAAGCCTCATTCCAGGTTTGCTCATTCCCTCACTGATGAAATTAGCCTTCCCTGAGCCCAACAGCGGTTAGATAGGCACTCTACAAGGTGCTAGAGGTGTCAGGGTGAACGTGACAAGCAAGGCCTAGGCCCTGCCAAGAGAAGAGAAAGTAAAGTAAACCCAGATACTGATAAAGGATGTGAGGCAATAGAGTCTCCTAAAGGAAAATGCAGGCGGCCTTCCAAGAGATGGAGAGGGAAGCCAAGATTGAAAAGCAAGGAGACAAGCAAAGACTCATGCAGGGCTGAGGAGAGTTTCTGACCGTGCCCAAAGCCAGTGTGGCTACAGTGACTGGAGACCGGAGTGGAGAGTGGCAGGACACCTGCCACACCCATGGGACAAGGCAGCCCAGAGTGCCAGCCTCTTTCCAGGTGCAGCAGGTAGACAGTGAAGAGTTCTAGGCAGGAGTGAGGTGCTCTGACTGCCAGTGGCCTGACAGCTTCAGCTAGATGGACTGGAAAAGAGGCCCCCAGGGCACAAGGGAGACGCTAGGAGGCTTACACAGCTACCCCAGGCCAGAGATTACAGAGGCCTGAAAGAAATAGAGACATGCAGGTGATTCCGGAGAGTTTGAGAGTTGAGACTGACCAGCATTTTGATGAACTGGATGTGAGAAGTGAGAGAAATGCAAGAATCCAGGGTTTCTTACATGGACAGGAAAATAATCAGGATCCTAAGACATACCCCATGATTTAATCTCTCCTTGGAAAACTGACTCCAGCTGCAGCAGGTCAGGATTTCTGGGCTCGTTCATGCACCCAGCCTTCACTTCCACACTCGCTTTCCAGTACGCAGACCCTGTGGCTGACCTGCTGGACCGCTGGGGCGTGTTCCGGGCCCGACTCTTCAGAGAGTCGTGTGTTTTCCATCGCGGGAATTATGTGAAGGACCTGAGTCGCCTTGGACGGGAGCTGAGCAAAGTCATCATCGTCGACAATTCTCCTGCCTCATACATCTTCCATCCTGAGAATGCAGTAAGTAGCTCAACGAACAAGAGCGCAGGCGTGGTCTGAGCTCCACCAGGCAAGCCCTGCTTTGGTGCCTCCCAACATCTAGGCGAGGTTTCTTGAGCTTTTGGTGAAATCCCTACTCTGCCACTTAGCAGCCATACGGCATTGACTAAGCTTCTAGATCTCACTGTGCCTCAGCTCACCTCACCTATCAAATGGGGCTATGGGAATGTTGTTTTCACAAGGCCACTGGAGGATTCAGCGTGGCAGTACATGGAAAGCTCTTGGAACAGTGTTTTCAAAGGGGAGGTAGTCAGTGGACCTGTATCTTACTAACATTTGTAGTATTACTACTGGAAAGAGTTCTGTCTTTCATTAACCTCCCGATGCTGACTGCTGCCCAGGGCTTCATGCTCCTGTAGCCTCCGAAGGCCTGGGTGACCTCTTCAACACAAGCTATTTCTTAAACAAGAATGAAAAAAACACTTCTAGTAAGGTCTTCAGAAAAGGCTGCCAGGCTTTGCCACTCATAACATTGTCTTGAAGGATCTAGAGGGGACATTTCCCACACAAACCCCTGGAGTGTGGCAGCACACAGCACCTGTTCTCCCCTCCCTCAGAGCAGAAGAGATGCCTCCTCACCTCCATCAGGGGGCAGAGACCAGCCAGGCCCACCGGTGACCACTGACCCCACTGACCCACTGCAGTGGGGCCGCGCAGCCCTCGGCTCAGCAGCTTTCCCTGGGAAGGAGGCGTCTTCCCGAGCCCAGGCTTCCCAGATGCACTGGGGCCGCCCACAGGCTCTCCCATGTCCAGAACTGTTACTCCACTTATAACCAGAAGATGAATTCAAACTAGATTCACTTAGGGTGTAATCATCATCTGAATGAACATTCAAATTTTATTATATTTAAATATGTTCTTTTGAATGAGTTAATCAGATCCAACATAATGCATTTTGTGAAGTGCCTAGAACAGATAAGGATTGCTTCATGCAATCTCAGTTCCATTATCACATCTATCAAAACTAACAGTCTGTAACATTATCTAATAGCCAACTGTGTTCACATTTTCCAGATCATCTTGATATGTTTTCTTTCTTCTGGTTTGTTTGAGTCAGAATCCAAACAAGGTCCACGGACCGCCTTGGTCAATATGTCTTTTAATTATTTTGTGGTCTTCATACATTTGCTTCCCCTCTTGCTTTCTCTTGCACACCATTTATTTGTTGCAGAAACGCTGGTTATTTGTCTTGTGGAAATCTTCTGCATTCTGAATTTGTCTAGATGTGACCCCACACTCGGGTGTGTCAGATGCTTCTCTACTCACTGTTTATTTGACACATGGAGCTCAATCACTACCACTTGGGTAGATTCGGTCCGTATTTTTCCCCAAGAGTGCATCACCAGTGGTGTTTGTACTTGCTGTGGTGTCACGTCAGGGGGCAAGTATGTCAGCTCATCCCGCCTCTAAGAATTGCACATTGACCTTTCAAGTGTTGTTGGCCTGATCCGTTCAGAATGAAATCCTTATCAACCGTCACTTAACAGTGTGAGTGGTGGTTGGTGATCATTGCTACCCACTATCTCATTAGGAATTGCAAAATGGTTATTTCCAAATCCTGTCACTCTTGCTGCATTTATTGGCTAGAATTCTTCTATCAAAAAAAAAAAATGAGCTTTCCCTCATCAATTAGAGATTACCTTGAAACACCATGTGAATGTTTGAACAAAGACAGCAGGGTCAAGAGTAATGAGTGGGTGCTCTGGCCTCCAAGAGTAACCAGTAAATTTTTAGGTATCATTACGAATTCTTGGGGGAGGGGGTGTTTTATTGTTACAATTTAATCCATTTATGATTCTTTTCAATGCTCAGATTTTCCCCCTTTGACCAGCAGACACCCTCCCCGTCACATAATAGTCCTTTTTGATAGCTTCCTGCTTTCTGATACAAGATGTTCCAGGCTCATCTCCCAGCCTGGAATCAGCCATTTTTCTCTGGAACCTCATTCCTACCAGTGGAAATCACATTCAGAGACCACAGGTTAGATGGTTTCTCACTGCTGCTGAGCTGTCCTTGCTTCAAGCCCGTTCTACTGAACAGCATTAAAATACACATATTTTTTTGAAAGATAAATGAAAGATAATAGTAAATTCGTATTGTTTTTTCCAGCTCAATGTTGAGATAACACTTTTGATTTAGTTTCTTTTGATATTTGTATCTCCTCGTGCTAAAACTCTTGATTCCTAAGGATATTAGCTGTCACATTTGACTTACTCTCTGTTTAATACTTTCAAAATAGCATTACTAGTATTATTGCTAATAAAAAGGCCATCTTTTTGTCTCATTTACAGACAGAAAACTGTGTTTTTAAGTCATTTAAAATAGTTCCCTTTGTGAATGTAATTCTATATACTTAGGTTCATTTCCTATTGCATTTTTTTCTTAATGGTTTAACTTTAACTATGTAACATATTTACAAGGCTCCAATATCAAAACACTCCACAAAGATAAACCTAGAAAAGTCTGAAGTTTGATTCCTTCTCTCCCCCCCAATTCTGCTCCTTACCCTAAGAGGACCCTTGTTGTTGTTGTTAATCCTTATCTTATATTTTTATGATACAATGAATTATTAGTTTCTAAGGTGTCTTTAGATGTATGTAAGGGTTGAAAATATTAGTTTCAATTTTAAACTTATTTGGTTTCCCAAGAAATGTCCCCAAATTTCTTTTTAAATCTCTTTGCACCCATTAGCACTCTTCCCATGCTTCTGTCTGAGACCAGAGAAAAAAATCTGTCTTCACGTGTGGCTCTAGAATGTCTTAAAATTGAATGACTCCCCTTTGAACTGACCACTGCTAAGCGAGGAAATTCTACTGCTGTTTGCCACGCAACTTGCCCCCAAGTGGAAGCCCTTATACACCTGTGCATGGGTGCCGTGGTGTGGGGGGCTGCAGGTGCCTCTGGGTGCCAGGACTCTGAGGTGCCAGGAGCTGGCTTGATATGGTGGAAGGAGCTTTTGGAAACTGGCGAGTTAAAGGACTAGTGCTCAGATATTCTGCACTCTGGCCACCGTTTCCACACGGGAAAACAAAACCGGCGCATGTACCCAAAGTAGGTAACCTTGCCTTTCTGAGCCAGCTCCCAAGCCAGGTAGCTTTGGATTGCTCCTAGTTGGAACAGGGGGTAGACGGAAATGACGCTGCTGCTGAGGATGCTGAAGAAGATAATGGCCTCTAGATACCTTTCCTCCTGACCAAAGAAGCTGACAAAGGTGTGGGGACCCGGGCAGCTAGGAGCAGCGCCCGCCCCGGGCCTGGGTACAGTCCCACTGCCCCTCTGTGCACTGTCTTCCAGGTGCCTGTGCAGTCCTGGTTCGATGACATGACGGACACGGAGCTCCTGGATCTCATCCCCTTCTTCGAGGGCCTGAGCCGGGAAGACGACGTGTACAGCACGCTGCACAGGCTCTGCAGCAGGTAGCCCCGGCCTCGCCCTCCTGCTGCGGACTCTGGGACCCCTGCGGGGCCTGCAGGCCTCAGCTTCCCAGGAGCCGAGTGAGGACAGACCATGCTCCAGGCCACAGAGTGTGGCCACACCTACCTGTTTGCTTTTTTAAGAACAGAAACAACTATTTTAAAATGAACTCTTTTAACAGATTTCATAAAGGGACATGCGTTTTACTGGATTTGCTTTTCTTAAAACATACCAAAAAGAAAAAAATATGGGGGGGAAAAAAAAAAAACTCGATATCTATCAGACTTCCATGCAACTGTCCTCCCCTCCAAGCAGACGACCTGTCCCCTCCTGCCCCAGCTCGGAACAGCTGACCCGACTCAGAATCTCTTTCCTACAGGATGAAGTGCCTTTCTGGATGTTATTTTAAGCTGAGAGTTAATTTTTCTATACAGCATATTTCCAGACATCTTTTAGTCTTTTACTGTCTTAGAGTCTCTAAGAAGATAAAGCCGACAATTTTCTAGAACCTGGGGGGTGGGCAGGGTGCGGGAGGGGAGCGATTCGCAGGAGCCTGTCTCCAACACACGGGCTACTCTGACCGCCTGTGCGGGCTGCAGGGTCGGGCCCCCAAGAAGAGTTGCTACGACGGTGTCACTGTCGCCGCGTTTCTGACCCAGTTTGGAATGTATCAGCCATCGTGTGGCTCAACACTTTAGGATGCGTTAGATCCTTTTTCTGTGATTTCTGGTGGTGACAGGTCCGCCTGGAGGTCACATTCCCCATTGCAAAGTGACATGCCGTCACTGCGCTTTCACACTACTGCCATACTTCGTATGTTGTTTTATTGTCGTTTGGGGTAGAGCAGTTACAGGAAACCCTGAAACCCTTGGATATAATTTTTTTTTTTTTTTTTCTTATTGAACTTTAAATCTTTCCTTTCCTTTCTGAAAACTGGATACATGTGGAGCTGTTTGGGAATTTTCTTTGCTGCTACTGTGCTGCCACCAAATGGAATTGACCAGCGGCTGTTACACTGTTCTTTGCCACTGTGCCTATGCTCAGAATCTGCTCACTGCTCAGCTGCAAACTCGGACAGGGTCAAAGTCACAGGTGTCCCGCCCCATTGCAGACTGCACCGACATAGCCCTTCCCTGGCACCAGCCGTGGGAGTTCCGGGGGTACAAAGTCAAAAGGGCCAGCGTACCATTTTGGCGTGAATTTTAAACTGCCATCAACATCAGATCCTGTGAAAACCGGTGGCCTCAACCAGCCACTCCACGCCTGTGGCCCAAGTCCACCTCTCGACCTTCTCTTTTGAAGCACGGCCTGTTTCTGAGCCCAGGCCAGGGAGTCTATCTAGATGTGGGACTCGGCGCCCCAAACCAGGGTGAGGAAGCTTCCTCCCCTGAGCTGGGGCCCCTTTGCAGCTCTTCGGTGTGAGATGTTGTAAGCAGTGCCACGTTCCTTGTTTGACAAGACAGTCTTTAAAGTATTGCTCTTAAAAGTAATTAAAAAGAGCCCTCTCACGCTGGCCCCACTGCTCAGTCCCCTGTGGGCTGGGCCTCTGCCAGAGTTGTGGTGGGAGCAGCTGGCACTGAGAAGACTGGAAATCGGGTCAAAATGAACCTTCTCTTTTTGCCTCTACTCACAAAATAATGAAGCCAGCTGCCAGTCACGTCTCCCAGAAGCAGCATTTTGGTCTGTGGATGACCATGCGTTCAGGAAAGTATTCAGGGGAACCAGGTCTCCCATCATGCTGAGGGTTCCAAGCCCCGTAATCCACATTTAAATAGAAATGGCCCTTGCTAGGCATCCCCACAGATAGTGACAGTTACGTGCACTAACTGTCTGCATGTGCCATGAACCTGGATTTGGAAGATCAGTCGTTAAATGAACCCGCTGCCTTAAATGTCTTGAATGTTATAGCCAAGTGTCTGTGCCGAAATCCGCACTGATGGAGCCTTCGACCCTCACTGTGCCCCCTTCTCTGTTGGCATCGCGGGGTCTGGTTTGGAGTAGGGGGCAGAGAAAAATTGAAATTCTAGACTATTTTAGGGAAATTAAACCTAGGAACACAGCCTCCTTCAGAAAGATGGAGTGAAGACGCTTGGCAGGTTGGAGCCAGACACTTGACCTTGCAGTTCCCGAAACCGTGACCGCCATTGCACTAATAAGCCAGTGAGGAGCTGTTGGGGGCGGAGCCCAGTTCTGCCACCACAGACACAGAATGTCTTGGGGGGGCCAGCAGACCCTCTGAGGGTTCTGGATTCTGTGCACCTTATTTGACCACACTCCAAAATAATGTTTTTATTTTAACCCCAGATTCCCAGATTCTGTTTTATGTACATAATCAAAATATCGATCTCTATAGCTATACATATATATATATATATATATATTTTTAATCACCTACATGTAAATGAAGCAATAGAATTCTAACATAAGGCCAAGAAATGAGACGAATGTTTGGGGTTTATGTTTTTTAAGGTAAATACGGGTATTGTTTTTAATTATTACCTTTTAGTAAGTGGTGGACTCTAAAACCTAATGAAGCCTGTTAGCTATTTCTCTGTGCCATATACTTCCCCAGTTACCAAAACACCCACAATTCTTTAGCCAAAAGAGAAACCTGACCTGAGTTTCCATGGTCCTCTCTGTGCCAGGTTAAAATATAGTCTCCTAGACAAGTATTTTTGACACCGAGATCTGGAACAGAACATCCTGGGGCATGGACTCTGGCCTCAGCGATGCTGTGCCATGTCTCGCTGGGCCTGGGGTGGAAGGGCCCGGACATACCTGATGCTGTTACTGCTCTGTCTTCCATTGCTCGGAATCCTACATGTTGGTCTGTGATGTCGCCTGTTAGCTGTTTGTCGAGAGTGCACTTGTATGCTGAAAAGGAACACCACCTGTAGCGGCTGAGGCTGCTGGGGAAGCTCCTTTGATGTGGCGCCCTGTTGATGAGATGCCTTTGGAGACGTGAGGATGCCCAGGTCTGGTGACACCAGCTCGTCGTGAATGCAGTGTTTGCGCTTTTGGTAGAAAAACGCGACCCTGTAAGTCTGTAACTCGGCAACATTTTACAATCCTCTATTTTAAAGATGGTTTCCTAATAAAATCCAGAACCACACAGCCCTAGGGTCAAACACTCGTGACGTTTGTGCCTCTGCTTTTAAAGGTGCTGTGATGCAGTTGGCACGCCAGGGATCTGGGAGAGGGGAGGGCTTGAAGCGCCGGCCCTGTGCAGAATTAACCGGCTGCCTCTGTTCCTATTTTACTGTAAATCTGATGGTGTCTCTTCCGGTCCCATCCTCCAGGGAGCTTCTCTGCAGACTAACGGCCCCCAAGTAGTGGAGATGTGGTGTCTGGGTGGTCGTAGGTTTCTGTTGGACATCTGAACGTGACAGACAATCCAGCACCACTTGGGGAACACTGCATGCCGCGATGTGCATGTTCCCAGGGGTGAACGTTGTCAGTCAAGAGGTTTGCGATGATTTCCTTCCTGCCAAAAATAAACACATAGAATTGCGTTCTCTTGTGGCTGGACTGCTTCTGTAGCTGCAGCGTCTCTCCTCACTTTACCCCTGCTCTCCCCCTGCACAGTGCCTGGGGTCTCCTGGGGCCCCTGCTTCTGGAGAGCAGGAGTGGATTGGAGTGAGGCTGCAGGATCCCAGGAGCCTCGAACCTGGACCCCGGAGAGCACTGGAAACCCATCCTCAGCTTCCCCCCGTGAGGGAGGGAAGCTTACAAATGCAGCTTGAGGGGAGACAGCCCAGTCACAGGCACTGGGTGGTGCGTGTGGTGCCTGGGCCCACAGCCCTTGAGTACACACTGAGATGCTGAGGCGCTGTGGGGACCAGATGAACATGACGAGCCATCAGAATAAAAGGAAGGAGAGCCGAGAGAACGTCTCACAGCGGGACATGGTGCGGGCACTGTGCTCAGCCCAGCTCCTCTTCCTGAAGGTGACAGGTCGCGAGTCCCCTCTGCTAGCGACTGCTGGCGGTGCCTTGGGCCTGTTCTCTCAGCACTGTTTCTTCCTCATACAGAATTCAGATACCAGAGGACATCAGCGTTCAAGCAGATTGATGTGTCCTCATTTATGGATGAGGAAACCAGCCCATGAGCCAGCGTACTGCAGCCTCGGCTGTAACATGGAGACAGGCCTCTGCCAGGCATGTGTATCCGCCCCAGACAACACAGGGCAAGGGAGGGCATGTGTCCACCAGGGAGACAGATGTCGACCCAGGAGCAAACTCAAGGCAGTCCCCCAAGGCGTGTCTGCGCCATGTCTGCACAGCAGCCCCTGGCCAGCCAGAGAGGTCGCCCCACTTTCCTCTCCGCTTCTGGACATGCAAGCTGTGTCCTGGCTCGGATCTGCTCTGCTCTCAGCCTCCTCCTTTTCTCCTTTTGTCTCTGATATTGCCCTGATGCCCACAGTGCTTCGCACCTTTGCAACAGACAGTGGTTAAGGACCAGGGCTGCCCTGAAGCTGGGACTCCCCAGTGACTGTCCACAGATAGCCTGAATATATAGGAAGGAAACATGGGTCTCCGGAGGTCACTTAATTGGGACTTGAGCACACTGAGATTTCGCTTCTTGGTGTTTCCCTGTTTGAGCATATCACCTGCATTTCAGGACCAGAGAATAGGCAGGAAGCTGGGAAGGCGTGTGTGGAGCTGTGGTTACGGGGCAGTGGGGCGCTTGTGGCAGGAATAACCTGGGATGCTCTGGGCTAAGCAGGCTGCCCAAGACTGGGGCCACCAGAGGTGCAGTCACCAGCCTGGTCTGCCAGGACAGAGGATACATGGGCTCCAGAGGTTTTCAGCCCAAACTGCCACTACAGCTTCATCTCCTCAGCTCAGTGATCTCATCACAGCTCACTGAGCCTTGGCTCTGGCTGCCTGCTGGGTCACTGGAGGCCTCTGAAAATCTCAGATCCCTCAAGTTCTTCCCAAACCAGTTAAAGTTCTGAGAGTGGGCATCATATTTGTAACTTCCCCAATGACTCAAAGGTAAAGCCGGGACTGAGAACCCCTCTGGCTGACTGGGGAGGAACAGCCTCAACCCCTTCCAGGGCTGACACCCTGGCACCGCAGCAAAGGAGCTGTGAGCAGGGCTCGGGGGAAATGGCTTGTGTTGCTTCCCCTCAACGATCAGTCATACGTGTTCGTTGCTGAAAATTAAGGAAAGCACAGAGGAGACCCCACACAGGCACGGGGAGGCTTTCCAAGGCAGAGGTGAGGAGGTCCTGAGAAGAGTGCCAGCTCCCTGTTTTCATTCTGGGGTGGGGAGCAGACTGGATACCCCCACTTCATCTTGCAGTGGAGGGTCACTCTGCCCACTTGGAAGGGTGCCCAGAACCGCTTCCCCACCCCACTGGACAACAGCCCCCTGGTGGGGCAGGTGCAAGGTAGGGCAGACACCTAGGGCCCTTATGTGGGTGGCCCTCAGGCTGGGTCACCTATAGGCCCCCACCTGAGTGACAGACTGTAACAGGGTGGTCCCCAGGAAAGGGGAGCTCCCAGGTTCCCTCCCTCCCTGCCCTGACCTATAGTCAGGCTCCACCCTGCCAGGTCCCACAGCCCCCAGGCACACCCAGTGACTGTGACCTGAGGCAGGACTGCAGCCAGATATAGGGGTCCCACACGGGCCCATACCGCAAGGCATGAGACCAGGGCCCCACCCCGCCCAGCCCCACATGTGTGCTCGGAGGGTCCCCCTATAGGACCTGTCTCCAGAGTGACAAGGTGCTGCACCTGTCTGGGAAGGACTCTGATGCATCCTGGGCCACATGGGGGTGGGGCCCGGAGCCGGGGCTGGCTTCCCTAGTCTGCCCTGCCCTCTTGGGGGCCGCACCGACCCCTTTGTCAGTATTGACTTGGTACAGCTTGGCCTTCCAGATAAGCCAGGAAGAACAAAGTAGTGGCGGAGAACCCTGGAAACCTGCCCAGCGGTGAGGCGTGGGGGCCCTGGGCAGGGAGAGATCACTGGGAGGAGAGGGTCATGGTCAGGACTGCGTTGGCCGAAGCAAGCCAGGCTGGCTGCCCTTCAAATACGGGTCCCCAATTGTGTGAGGGATGGCTGAGCAGGAGGAAGGGGTGGCAGGACCCCCTTCTTGTTCTGCAGGAAGGATAGACTGGGTACCCCCACCTCCTACAAAGCACCCTAGCTGCCTTTGAGCCCTACCCTGGGCCTCTGATTCCCCTTTCTGAGCCACGGTTGCCCTCTGGTGGAGCTTGTCCATGTCCCAGGCCAGGCCCACTGCCATCCCCCAGGGCACAGCTTTCAGGTGACAGTGGGGCTGTTTGGAGCAAGGCCCCAGAGACCCAGAGAAATCCAGTGGGGAGGCCTTGGAGAGAGTCTTCTGCACTCCCCCTCTATGCCCCACTAAGCTGCTGCGGCTGGATTGTGCCAGGCAGGGCGACCTGCGCCCAGCAGGGGTAGAGAGAGTGACCCCTGCTTTCTCAGAGGTGGGAGTGTCAGCTCAGAAAAAGCCTAAGAAACATCTCCAGAGTCACTCGGCCAGACGGTCCTGGAGCTGGGTTTGAACCTGACTCTGGAGAGGACTCAGTTGCAGACCTGGCTTTTGCCAGTGCCCAGGGAAGGTTCAGACGCCCTCATGGGGCCATACCAGACTGCAGGAACACGTTGATAGCAGCACCATTCTAGACAGAGACCAGAGGTGAGCGAGGCCTCACGGCAGCTGGAGACCCGTACTCTAAACACGGCTCAGATCGATGCGGCTACCAGCCGAAAGAAGCTAGGGAAAGAGGTGGTGTGACTGCTTCGGCTAAGGCAGGGGCAGGCCCCTCTGGGAGAGGCCATTTGGTTTAGATTTGAAGGCAGAGGAGCAGCTGCGAGAAGCTGGGTGAGGGAGGCTGTCAGGGAGAGAAAACCACAAGTGCAGAGGCTCAGGACTGGAATGAACTTGGCCTCTTTGTGGGACAGAAAGAATCTTGTCTCTAGATTGAACACAGTGAACATGGGAGAGTGGTAGGAGGTGCAGCCAGAGAGGGACTGGCGAGTTGGGGCTTTATTTTAAGGGAAAATGGAAGTTCTGAGTCAGGAGAGTGGCATGATCTGATTTTCTGTTAGAAGAGACCCCTGGCTCCTGGGGGAAATGGGTACAGGCTTATGCTGCCACCACAAGAGAGAGAGCAGCCAGGGCCACAGACTGGCCGGGGGTGCCCCGGACGATGGGAGGAAGGAGAGGAGCCCAGGGTGGCCCGCAGGTGGTTTCCTGAGGCTCGGAGGAGGTAGAGCTGGGAAGGGCCTGCGGTGGGTGTCAGGCAGGCCGGGGGCAGTGGCCAGACAGCTGGGCGACAGAGACTGAGACTAAGGTGGGTTCCACCGGTGTGAGAGTCGGCGTCAGAAGAGACACTGGAGTTTTTATTTACCTGCTGGGACTAGAACTTGGGCAGAAAATAGAAAGGAGACAAGAGGTGAGACCTGAGCTCTGAGCCCGCTGACATTGACACTGGAGCTGTTTCAAGGGGGAGGGGTCTCCTGAGGGGTTCCCCGCCTGCGAGGGAGAAGGCCACTCGCACCACCTGCACCTCCCAGGGATTTCGGGAGCCCAGACCAATAGAAGAGACGGAGGGGAGAATCAGCAATGAGGAAGTAGGGACTTTTGCTGGGCGTGGGACAAAAGGCGACAGAAAAAAGGGTCTGCACAGGTGGAGCCAGCGGTCACCGCAGGGACAGAGGGTTAGGCCGGACTTCTCCCACATGCAGGGTCAGACAGGGCTGAGCCAAGGGCCCGCGGCTCCCCACACGGGCCGCTACTCCGTCTGTTACACAGTCACACACTGGCCTCAGGTCCCGGCCTCCTCCCCACCCTGGCAGGAAGCACTGGAGGGGGAGGATCGGGGAGCCAAGGAGCAGCACCAGCAGGTTAGCAGTGCCTCGGAAAAGACCACGACAGGGCAGGGCCTTGACCACTGACACCATGACATGGTGATAGGGAAACGTGCCTCTGTTTCCAGCAGGAAGGAAAGGAACGGGCAAGCCGAGGTGTGGGAGACGTGTCCTCCCTGCAAGGGCTGGACTGGCCTCTCCCACGATGGGTATCAGGCTCCCTGGGGAGGGCCATGCTGGGCCGGCGCCCACGTGGGCTGGGGAGGAAGCCCTGGCTACCTTCCCCCGCCTCCTGACCTGACCTGAGTCCCTCAGAGCCAGACCGGCCGCCGCTACCAGCAGCCCGGTCCCACATCCTCCTGAAGGGGCCACTGGCCTTGGGAGTCCAGGGAGACCCCACCTCCAGCAAGGCGGATAACAGGACCCCACCCAGGCTCTCAGAAGGGGAGCTACAGCGTATTCTACACCCCATATTTTGGCTCAGCTCAGGACTCCATCAGCTGGGCTCTGCCCCCTGGAAGGGAGGAGCTGAGGCCTGGCGGACCTGCTATGGCCCTGGAGAAGGGTTTGGCTTTCAGAGGGCTGGGTCAATATTTGTTGACTGACTGATGGACTAAGTCTGAAAGCCCAGCCCACGGAGTGGCAGGGTGTGTCCTGCAGGGTGGAGGGAGAGATTGTGTTTCAGTGGAAGGGGGGCGGTGGGCCGAGCCCGGCCCTGTGCCAGGCCCAGCACTGCCCACGGGCTGGGCGAAGGCGCCAGCAGTTTCCAGCAGGTAAGCCCGGCAGGGAGGGGGCTCAGGGCGTCACTGAGCAGGGAGGGGTCGCCAGGAAGCCAGTGCGGAGGGGCTGTCCTGATTCGGGGTGTAAGGCATCAGGTCCCAGGGTCAAGGTTGCCAGGGGCAGGCAGAATTAGGGATGCATGAGCAGCCTGAGTAAGAACCTGTTGGGGGGAGGGAAGCCATCTTGGGACTGACCCGAGAAAGAAGAGGCAGATTTGGTGTCCGGGTGGGGGGGCCTCCATCACCACAGAGGCCAGATGCCTGGGGGCACCAGGGCTGGACCCTCGCTCCCTCCCTGTCACACATCGTACTTGGACAAAGTAACCTCGGGTCCACTCCTCTGCAGAAGGAAGCTGTATACTTTGGGGAGGGGCCCCCAAGGAAAGGGTGCAGAGGGGGAGAAAAGGGTGTCAGGAGGAGGAAGGGAGAGCCTGGGGGTGCAGAGAGTGCACCGGGAGAGAAACGGGGTATGGGAGGGGTGCCTGGGGAGAAGACGGGGCGCTGGGCAAAGAAGGGTGTCTGCAGGAGGAAGGGAGCAGAGCGGAGGAGTCAGAGGTCAGAGGAGACTGGATAGGAGAGAAGTGGAAGGTGGGGAAAGTGGGTGCTCAGTGGGAGGTGGGCCCCTGAAAGGAGGGGTCACAGAACAGGAGGGCTGTGTGGGCGGGGGGATGGAGCCGACAGGGAGAGCAAGTGGGCCCCGGGGAGAGAAGGGCTTCCGGTTGGAGGGACAGGACATGGGTGGGGACGCCCACTAGGGAGGTGATTGAAAGACGCTCCCCAGAGGAAAGGGGGAGATTTGTGGACCAGGGGGCTTGGAGAGTTAGAGGGGAGCTCTGGGGAGGGAGATAGCCCCCCGGGGAAAGAAAAGGGTGCTGGGGCAGAGGGCCCTCCCCGCTCGCTCTGAGCCTGGGTTCTAGCTCTAGAACCCAGTTGGAAGACAGTGGCATGGGCTACCTGGGGGTGGGGCCTCGCGCCCCAGGGCCTCCCCACGCTGGAACTGGCCCTAAGGGAGCCCTCTGCGCCCCCGGGGGTGACGCTGTCCTGTCTCCTCCCAGGGAGACGTGCCCAGTAGCAGCCTTCTGGCCACCGGGTTGACTCTCCTGTCCCACATGAGACAGGTGTCCTGAGGCCAGTGGGTCTCGTTGCTCTGTCGCCGTTTCACACGGTCACCAACATGCGGGTGACACAGACCCCGCGGGGGCCACTGTGCTCTCAACACCCTACCACGGCCACTAGGAGGGCGACATTCAGAAAGGAGGGACAGGGTCTGCGGAGCAAAGCCTCAGTGGGAAGAAAAAGCTGCAGCTGTCAGGATTTAGGTTAGCTGTAGAAAGAACTTCCGCCAGGTGGAAGAATGACCGAACTTCTCATAGACGTTTCTGAATGAGTAGCACAGGGAAGCCTGGGGTATTCCAGGGTAACCCACTGAGAGGTAGCAAGCCTGGGAGCCTCTAGCGTCCTTAGACGCCTCTAACCCTACGCCTCCTGCCTCCTCGGCTCACTCGAAATCATGGCACAAGCTCAAGTGAACTAAGGCGCTTTGCAGAGCCTGCAACCCCTGTGCAAGAGCTTGAGGGTAGAGCTGGTTTGCCCCACCTGCTGTGCTGGCTGGGTCTGCAGCTCGGGGAAGTGTGTCCTTCGCCTCCCTTGCATCTGGCCTGGGTTAGCAGAACCTTTGTCTTGTCTGCAAAGCCTATTTCTGTCCTGAGCCATGACTACGTTCACTCTCTTTTTCCAGGACCTTACTTTCTGGAAACACTCTGTCTCTGTTCTCTGTGTTTGCTTTCATTGCAGAAGCCCCTGTCTGCTGCACCCCAAGCTGGGCCCTTGCTTGGGACACTTCTTTCTGCCAAAGTCACGCTCCCTGTTTGCACAGCTTTGTCTCTTTGCTGCGCCTGTCCCGGGCAGCACAGCCTGTTTCTTTTGAATAAGTGTCTCTGTCTCCAGACCGTGTCCCTGTTTGTAGAGTCTTTTCCTACTTCAGAGCCCAGTTCTGTCTGCAGGCCCTGAGCCTAGTTGTCATATCTATGATACTCTGCAGGGCCTCGGCCTATTTGCACAGACTGTGGGAATTCCCTTGGATAGAAACCATCAGCTCGCAGGATGGATTCCTACAAAGAGTCTATCACTGCCAGGGAGCACCGAGTCCGGGAGCACCTACATCTTGTGGAGAGCACATCCTGATGCAGACCTTTACGGGTCGGCACACTCAGCTCCTGTGTTCACGTGTACCTGTTCGCCTGTGTCTGCAGGACCTGCCCCTACTGACACAGCTTTTGTCCATCTCCAGAATGTGTGCCTCTTCTAGATTGTTGCTGTTTGCAGAACCCGGGCTCTCTAGAGAACCCAGCCGTGTTCCAAGATCTTGGCTATGTTTGGGGCTGACTTCCCTGCCAGCTCATGTCAGTAAATCCTGTCTCTCTCTGAAGAAACGCGCTATGTGTAGAAGCTTCACCTGCAGAGCCTGTGTCTTCTATCAGAGCTTGGGTCTGTTTGCAGAGCCTCTTCCCACCCCCATGCACGTGTTAAAACAAAGGTTCTGTAAAGCCAGGTCTGTTTGCAGGGCCTGTTCCTGTATGAAGAGCCTGACCGTGCTTTTGCCTGGTGCCAAAAGCCGGCCCCTGTCAAGGAAGCATTTCCCTGACTGAAGACGCTGTGCCCGTTGGCAGGACCTAGCTCCAATGCACCTGTGCATAGCTGTGCAGTCTGTCCCTGCCCAGGGGTCTGTGGGACTCGTCTGCGCCCCCCACAGCACAGCCTTTCCCAGCCTGCAGAGCGCCTCCCTGGCTGCACACCTGTGACTGTTTCTAGAGCCTTTGTGTGAGAAGTTGACAGTCTCTGCTCAAGGGCCCAACATGTCCGCGTCCCTAGGTAGGGCCTGTGTGCACATGCTGTCCTCGGGCACGAGATGGACCCAGATGCAGAACTCACTTCTGTCCAGAGAACCTGTGCCTGTGGCAGCCCTTTCTTCAGCCTCGGACAGGTCTCTGCAGAGTATCTACGGGGTAGCAGAGTCTGCGCTACAGGCAGAGCCATTTCCTAGCCACCCGGCCTGTCGCTCTCTGCAGGTGCCAAGCGTCTTTGTGTAACCTGTTCCTAACTGTCTGAAAGACCTGTGCTTGTGTGCGGCTCTGTGCTTGTTGCGGAGGCATGCTTTGTCTCCGGGATTCGGTTCCATGTCAAGAGCCTGCCCCTGTTTGCAGAACCTGCCCCGCCTGCAGAGTCTCTTCTCATTGGCAGAGCCTTGCCTGACGAGAGCCCCCAGTGCAGAGCCCGGTCTGCCTGCTGAGTCTGCTTTGAACTCCCTGTCGGCTGGCAGAGGTGGACCCAGTGGTCAAAGCCTCCCCCTGTCCACAGAACTCAGCTGTGCTTCCAGAACACTCTCCCCAACAAACTAGGTCCCTGTTTACAGACCCTCTGCGTGCTGACTCCTGCCACAACTCTCCTGGCTTCCTGGCTTCCTGGCACCTGTCTGCAAAGTCTTTACAGCGAAAGCTGTGTTCCATGATGAGAACTGGAGGTGGGGAGTCCTCACTCGGAGCCCAGAGTACAGTCCTGCAGCCTGAGAACTCTGGCTCTTGTTGTCTCCTCCCTCACCCGCTCCTGGCCAGGATGGACGTCAGAAAGGACCTCCTACCCTTCGACAGCCACAGGACCCTCCACATATGGATCATTGAGGTAGGGGCCTGGCCACACGGTGGAGCTGGTGCGGAGAATGCTGTGCTGGGAGACTAGTGCCTCCCCCCACCCCACAGCTGGTCCCGGGTCTGGTGGGAGCACCTCTTGAGCTATTACTAGGTCTCCTGCTCTTCCAGAACCTGGAGCTGGTGCCAGTACCGGAGAAGGCTTACGGAAACTTCTTCAAAGAACACTGCTACATTGTCCTCCATGTGAGTACTTGGGGGGGGGGGGTCTGCCTGAGGGGTGGCACAGCCCAGCCTCTAGTCTGATGACACAGACGACGGGCCAGAGGACTGCATCTTACAGGCAGCTGCTGCCTTTGAGGCCACTTCCTCTCCCCACCCCACCCCCCCCCCCCCCCCGCCTTGGAAGCACCTGCCTAATCTCCCCAGGGCCCTTGTTGCATCCTGACCTCATCTCACCCAGGCCTTAGCCCCCTGCCCCACCCCTGCATCCTAGCCCCTCCTTCCCCTAAGTACACAACTGCCTGGGCCCTAGGTCCCCCAAAGCCTGAAGGCCAAGCAGAGGGCTCCCTATGACCTGCACTATTGGGTCGGGAAGGAGGCGGGCGAGGAGGTGGAGATCGCCGCGGGTACCTTTGGGCGACACCTGCAGGGGGCGCTGGAGGAGGCCACCGTGCAGCACCGGGAAGTCCAGGGGCATGAATCTGAGTGTTTCCGCAGCTACTTCCGCCAGGGAATCATGTGAGCTGGGCAGGGCGTGGGGCAGAGGGGAAGGGGCAGGGGGTAGGTAGAGTATCTGGGCAGCCTGGGATGAGAAGTTCCTGTATCCCTAGAGCTGGGGAGTTTTTGGTGGGTGAGGATAACACATTTATTGAGATATATATCACTTACCATACAAGCCCCCATTTAAAGTCTGCAATTCAGTGGTTTCCAGTCTATCCACGTACTTGTGCAACTATCAACCTTTTTAGAACATTGTCATTATCCCCCGACAGCCCCGCACCGTTTAACAACCCTCCTTCTTCCTGCTTCCCTGCCCCCAACACTCCTCCCCATCTGTGTTTACAGATTTGCCTGTTCAGGGTATTTCCTACAAATGGAATTATACAACCATGAGCCTTTGGCTTTTTCACTGAGCATAATATTTTCACAGTTCATCAGCTCTTGTAGTATGTATCAACACTTTGTCTTTTTTCTTGCCACATAATATTCCATTGTGTGGATTACCACCTTTTTCTACACCCAGTCATCCTTTAATGGACATTTGGGTTATTTCTACTTTTTGGTCATTGTGGATAATCCTGTTAGTAACATGCGTATACAACTTTTTGTGCTGACATGTTTGTTTGTTTGTTTTTTACTTCTCTTTTGCAAGTTTCCAGGAATGGATCCTGAGTTTACTTTTATGTTAATTGTGCTTGCTAGAAATATCTTTTACTGGAAATTGTTTCAAATCTTTAAAAAATTAAGTTCTGCAATATTTGATCATTTCTGTCTCACACATCTGAACCTAATGCCTGTGTGCAGTGTATCTATGAGCTCACACAGAACCACCCCCACTCCCCATATGTCTACCTACAGATGGGGCAAACCTCCACATGCATGAATATTGATCTCCCCCTACAGCACATAAAAATGATGCCTGAATTCCATGCACTCACATCTGTATTCACATGGATAAACATACACCTATGCCCCCACTTAGTTACAGAAATAGGGTATGCACCCAGGCACACATGTATTCCCACATGGAATAACAGGCACCGTGTCTGCAGGGACACAGCACGTGCCCATGGACGCGAATCTGCACAGAGAGCCAAACGCACACTCCTGCCCCATGTGCATACCATGTTCATCTCTGCTTGTGCTTGTGTGTCAAGCAGGCACGTGTGTGTCCCTACATGTGTGCATGTAGGCGCTCACATCTGTGCTCACTCCTGCCCTTGCTGGTGTTTGGGCCGATGTGGGCCCCACTCCCTCTCAGCTACCGGAGGCGAGGCCTGCATTCCGCCCTGAAACATGTGGAGACCAATGTGTACAACATTCAGCGACTGCTGCACATCAGAGGGAGGAAGCACGTGTCTGCCACCGAGGTGAGGGCTGCTGCTTGACCTGTAGACTCAGCTGAGAGTGTCTGTACTGAATACAGAGGATGCCAGGCTGAGGGTGGAGGCGAGAGCCTCGAGGTGTGCCCAGCCTGCCTACTTGAATGAGAAGGCAGAGCCAGGCTTCTGGCCCCATCCTGCTACTGTCCCCCAACCCCTGTTTTCGCTTCTGTCTCATGGGCACATTATAAATTGGGGAGGCGCGCCATGTAGCACCATGGGAGATGGTATAATTTGGGGTGGGGGTACACAGCCCTGCACTCTCCCACACATTGAAACTGTCACCCACAGGCACGTACGCTGCCTGCCACTGTCCCTCCCAGGGCTCCTCCAGGCCACTGAGTGCCCTTGGTGGATAGAGAGCCTCTGACTTCCGTCCTGAGGGAAATTAAGAGAAAGTGCTGATCTTGCTAATGTGAGATATTTTGCTGCCGTCCGATGTCAGGGCCATTCAGGTGTCTGGTGTCTGCAGCGAATGGGGACATCTGCACGTGACTCTGTGCATGGCAGGTGGCAGCTCTGTGACTCACAGACCACCCCATGCAGGATCGCACGTAGCCACCCACAGATCCAGGCGGGGACACCATGCAGTAATTCGGTTACCCTGGCAGTTATTTAGAGCCCCTACTTTTACTCTCATTCTCTGCAGAGACACACTGTCCCCCACGCAGGTGCACATGGACCTAGACACAGCGCACACGCACCGTCACCGTGAGCTCACACGCTTGCTCACACTGATGTGCCCCCAGCTTGCACACGTGTGTACACGCACAGATAAAGAGGTGTGCATGCCACGCTTTGTGTGCACATCTGTGCTCACGCACCTAGCTGCCGTCACGCATGGGAAATGTCATCTCAGGCACGTGCATCCTGGGAGAGGGGCCCCCACTCCTGTGGCTCGTGCCTGGAGGTGCACACAGCCCTCCTCCCCCACGGTGACCCTCGTAGTCACATGTGTTTATACACATGCATGCCCGCACACCTAACACTGGGCTAACACATCAAACACCCGGCTGCGCAGAAGTGACACAGCCCAGCTATGCTCCCTGGGGCACAGGCTTTGGTAGCCCCTACCGGGGTGCTGGCAGTGATACCCCATCTCCTCCTGCCCCCCCTACCCTGCTCCTCCCTGCCATGGTAGGTGCAGCTCTCCTGGAACAGCTTTAATAAGAGTGACGTCTTCCTGCTGGACCTGGGCAAGGTGATGATCCAGTGGAATGGGCCCAACACCAGCATCACCGAGAAGGCACGGGTCAGTGACAGCTATGGAGTGTGCGGAGCTCTGGGGGGGGCGAGGGGGGGCTCCTGCAGGCGCTTGTCCTCCAGCCACCCCAACAGCTGAGCTTGGTCTGAGAAGTACCTAAATGCAAGCCGAGCGCAGATGCTGCACCTGTGGTAACTGGATGCCAGGGTGAGAGGCCACCACCCTCAGTCCCCAAGCTGTGTGAACAGTGACAGGAAGTCTCTGAGGTGTACTAAGGAGGGGGGGGGCTTGAGGGAGCCCTGACTGCCAGGTCCTTTCCCACAGGGACTGGCCCTGACCTGCAGCCTGCGGGACAGGGAGCGAGGTGGTCGTGCACAGATAGGAGTGGTGGATGATGAGCGCGAGGCCCCTGACCTCATGCAGATCATGGAAGCTGTGCTGGGCCGCAGAGTGGCCAACCTGCAGGTGGCCGTACCCAACGAGTGCATCAGCCAGCTGCAGAAGGCCAATGTCCGCCTCTACCAGTAAGCAGGCTTGGGAGTGAGCAGGTGGGTGGAAGAGTTCTGGGTAGGTCGACGTGCCCATCATCACTGCAGTAACACCGTGTCTCTAGGAAGCTGCCAGAGAAGATTCACAGGTTTCTGAGGGAGATCATAGGAAACCTTGGCCCCAAATGGCACTCTCTCATGGCAGCTTTTCTGAGAAGCCCATCATACAGACAGGGTGACTGAGGCCCTGAGAGGGCCAGGGAGCGGCCTGCGTTTCCACAGCAAGGCTGCAATGAAGACCTCAATTCAGGGCCCCAGCTCCTATGCCTCCTGTATGCATGGAGGGATTGGGGGAGAGGCAGATGGGGTAGGGGGCAAAGGCCAGGCCAGGTAGGGGCTGAGCTGTCCCCATCTGGATGTCTGTCCCCCAGTGTCTACGAGAAGGGCAAGGACCTGGTGGTCCAGGAGTTGGCAACCCGCCCGCTGACCCAAGACCTGCTGCAGGAGGAGGTGAGGCAGCTTGGCCCAGCCCCCTCTCCATCCTCACCCACCTTGCTGTGCAGCGCAGGCTGGGTCACCCACTGACAAGCTCCACTCTTGCTACCAGGACTGCTACTTCCTGGACCAGGGTGGTTTCAAGATCTACGTGTGGCAGGGGCGCATGTCCAACCTCCAAGAGAAAAAGGCTGCCTTCAGCTGGGCTCTGGTGGGCTGTAGGGCCTCTTTCTGAGGGACACGGCGCTGCCCTGGGAGCCCCGATAGCATCCAAGGAACCATGTGTAGGAGGGGGGTATGGGGGTACCTTGAGATCTGAGGAGCCTGATGCACTGATGCCCCTCCTTTGGGGGCGGGGGCGGGAAGACAGGGCTCCCCAGGGTCTCAAGGGCTGCGAGGAAGGCCCGCCCTTCCCCAGCCAGGACAGAGCCCCCCCTCCCCTCCCTGCTCCTTCGGGAGCTCAGAGCCAGCTCCTTAAGCGCTAAGTGGGTCACAAGCCGGTTAATTAACGCTGCTCAGGGCTCAGCCGCCCAGCAGCCTGACCCAAGGCCCCGTGGGGCGACACCCCTGGGGACCGCAGCCTGAACTAGCAGCGCTTCAGGGCTTCATGCAGGCCAAGGGCTACCCGCCCCACACTACGGTGGAAGTGATGAGCGACGGCGCCGAGTCAGCCTCCTTCAAGCAGCTCTTTCAGACATGGACAGAGAGACTCGGGAATGCCCCCAGCTGGACAGGTGACAGGCTGTGTGTGTGTGGGGGGGGGTGCTGCTGGAGTGGGCGGGGCAGGGGCGGGCCTGGTGGGGTGACCCTGAGCTTTTCCCGGTGATGGGCTGGGGAGGGACCAAGGCAAGGGCCTCAGTGACCCTTTTGCCCCACCCTCAGGTGCCCCGAATCTGGTAAAGCCGGACTTGGGCAAGCTGCACAGCCAGCCTGAGCTAGCGGCCCAGCTCAGGATGGCGGATGATGGCTCCGGGAAGGTGGAGGTGAGAGGCAGCCAGGCTGGCTTGGCCGAGGGGACATGGGTGTGTCCATCAGCTCTGAGGAGCGGGTTTTGTCTTCAGGTGAATGATGAGGCTGCTCAGGTGACCCAGGTGACCCAGGTGCACCCTGCACTCGGCCGGGTGTCATCCCGAGGGCGATTCATACCCACCACTCCTCACCCTGCCTACAGCCATGGAGGCGCCTCCGTGAGGTCATGGCACATAGACAGTAATCCTTGCTCCTGACTGTGCCTGCTGGGCATGGGTGGACACATCATACCTGTGATAGTGCAGGCACACGACTCCCACCTGGCAGCTGCACTGGGTGTGCCAGGTACACATCTGTAAGAAGTCAGTGCACAGCCTGCATCATGGGTGATCATAATCACACCAGCTACCTACAGAGGACACCAGTGAACACAGTCACACACACCACCCATAGCCCCTCACACCAGCTGGCTGGGACAAAACAGAGGACTGCCAGGGAGGGTCATTTGCAGGCTCTACAGAGGGCCAGGTGGCATCTTGACTTGGCTGATGCCCGAGCAGCTCCCTTAATTCCTTTGGGCTTCCGTCTGTCTAGCTATAAAACAGAAGCAAAACCAGTGGTCCCATCCTGCCCTGAGGCTTGTGCTGGGATGCCGAGGGACTCTGGGAATGGATTGTTGGGCTCTAGTCCAGCAACCAGTGGGTGAGGGGTTCTGGGCCTCAAGGTGGGTGGAGGTCTGAGAAAATACCTCTTCTCGCAGGTTTCCTTCTATTTCCACATTTACAGGTGGACAGAGGCAGGAAGTGGGAGGAGACCGACACAGGAAGCAGCACAGGGATATAAAGGGACAGAGAAAGGAGGGAGAGAAATAAGAGGGGGTAGAGGGTGGCAAGGAAGGTTTTAGGGCCCAGGCCTCAAGCAGGAAGGCGGGGAGGGGACCCTCCCAGCAGGCCGGTGAGTGGACTGGCAGGCCGAAGCCAGGCCCAGCCAGGAGGCCTGTAGGTCGGGTAAGTGCTGCTCCTGGTTATGGGGCGGGAGCCAGGCTCCTCGGCAAAAGGCGGGCTCCCGGAGCTGGCCCTGAGACCTCAGGGAGACGTCGTCAGGCTCTGTGGCACCGGAAGTGCAGACGTGGTTTCCTGCCACATGGGGTGGGTGAAACAGGAGCTCCGAAGGGTCCTTGTGGATCGTGGGGCCAACCTAGACTTTCCAGGGTCAGCCTGGTTCCAGAGCCCGTATTCAGCTGCCTCAGCAACAAGGAGTCACGCTGGCAAGTGTGAGCAAGTGTTTTCATTTTAGTCTTTGAAAGGCCTTTTTTTGTTTTTTTCTTAAGTGACACTTGAGAGAAGGGAAATTTTTCCAAGAGCCCTGAGACCTGACCGCTGCTCTCCTGGTCTGAGCAGCAAGCGGCTGTGTGAGGGCCCGCCTGCCTGGCTGGGGCAGTGAGGGCTGCGGCGGCCTCTCTGTCCTGGCACTGGACCCTACTGGGCAGGCCAGCACGTTTGTGGTGCGGCCCGGGGTGCACAGGGGAGGGTCCCCTATGGGTCCTTGCATATGCCCAGCATGGAGAGTGAGGTGGCACTAAGCTGGGGGCACTCCTAGCCCCCCAGAAGAGGCAAGCCTTGGTCTGAGGAGCTGCCTGAGTGGGCCCTGGGTGGAGGAGTCCCCTGAACCCATCGGTCCCTGTTCCCCAGATATGGTGCATCCAGGACTCGTGCAGGCAGCCAGTGGCCCCCAAGCATCACGCACAGTTGTGCTCAGGCAACTGCTACCTCGTGCTCTACACCTACCAGAGGATGGGCCGTGTCCAGTACCTCCTGTACCTGTGGCAGGTGTGCTGGCCTGAGGGGGTGGCAACCCCTTAAAACCCCGAGTTAAAAACCCAAGGAAAGAGCTGCACCCGCCCTCATCTCCCCTGCCTGCAGGGCCACCAGGCCACCGTGCAGGCGATCAAGGCCATGGATGACCACGCTGAGGAGCTGGACTCCATGCACCACAGAGCCCTGGTGCTGGTGCACGTCACCATGGGCAGGGAGCCCCCTCACCTTCTCTGCATCCTCAAGGGCCAGCTGGTCGTCTTCCAGGTAGGGCCCAGTCGCCCCTGGGGCCACAGCCTCGCTGCTCCTCCCTGTGCCCAGGCCGCCCCCACGCACACGCTGAGCGCTGCCTCTTCAGGTCAGCGTGCGCCAGCTGACCACTTCCAGTTTCTCTGGGTGCCGGGAGCCTGAGGGTGACCTCCGCTGAGTCTCTTCCCCCCGTGTCCAGAGCTAGCCACAGGGCAGCAGTACAGGGGGAGAAGGGAGCCAGGCCCTTGCCTGGAGTCAGGTGGACAAAGCGGGGTCCTCCTTCCACCTTCGAGTTTGGGGGGATCGTGCCCTAAATGGGTGGAGGGTCCCATCTAGAAAAGGCCTGTTCCCTGATCCCAGACTGACACTTCTCACTCAGCAGGTCCAGGAAACAGTGGGGCTCTGGGGCACTGTGGCAGGTGGGGCAGGGGGTGGCCCCCAGAGGCCCTTGCCTCAGCCCACGGCCCTGCCCTCTTGCAGGACCACACCAGGCAGTGCGGGGCGGCGCTGTCAGCTGCCACGAGGCTGTTCCATGTGCAGGGCACCGACAGCTACAACAGCAGCACCATGGAGGTGCCAGCCCGCGCCACGGCCCTCCGCTCCAGTGACATCTTCTTGCTGGTCACGTCTGGCATCTGCTACCTCTGGTTTGGGAAGGTACCCCCAGCCCTGACTACGTGGCTCCTACCCATAGCAGTGGTGGCAGGCTGGGGGTGGGTCCCCTTCACAGGGGTACGCATGTCAAATCCAGCCTCAGTTACCCAGGAGGGATGGAGGGAGAGGCCACGGTGTCCCCTCTCGAAGCTGAGTGACCAGTGACAGGGGGACCAGGGAGGCCCCTGACCAGAGCCAGGCCAGGCTCAGGCTGTGCCTCCCTCCTTCCTGCCTCCAGAAGGGAGCTGTCCCTTCCCAATCCCCTGGGTAAAAAGGAGACCTAGTCCAGTGTGCTCGTTTTTCTCATCTTCAGCAGACACCATGGAGCCTAAGGATCCCCATCATGCTCTGAACCCAGAGAGCGTCCCAGGACTAGGACCCGGGTCGATGGTGGAGATAGCGCCTAGGGGTTGGGGGCAGGGGCAGGGAGGAAAGGACCTCCCTTGGTCACAGCTGCCTAGCACCATTTAGGGTCTCCGTATGGGCCCCTGAGTGGGGGGTGTGGGACTAGAGACCGTCCCAGAGACTGACCCAGCTCACTGCCTGCCAGGGCTGCAGCGGAGACCAGCGTGAGGTGGCGCGGGTGGTGGCCTCGACCATCTCCAGGAAGAACAAGGAAATGGTGCTGGAGGGTCAGGAGCCCCCCCATTTCTGGGAGGTCCTGGGAGGCTGGGCTCCCTACCCCAGCAAGAGGTAAGGAAGAGGGTGTTTTTTTCAGTGAGGAGGAAATAGAAGCCCGAAGAGAGCGGGTGAATAAGGGTGACAGAAAGATGAAGGGGCCAGATGGGAGCTGAGACCCTTGACCTCCACCTAGGGGCCCCCCTGGGCTCAGCCCCTCCTTCCACCACCAGCTCTGGGTAACCTGCATCAGGAAGGCAGCGGGGAGCACGGGGCAGAGGCACCCTCTGCTGGCCAGAGGTGCTCGCTGCAGGGGTCCAGTCCTGGACCTCCCCACCTGGCGAAGGACTGGAGGGGCAATGTGCCCTTCCCCAATCCCACCACAGCGCCAGGGGGTGGTGATACCTCTGTGTGTGTGTGTGTGTGTGTGTGTGTGTGTGTGTGTAAGTGGATAAGGGTTTTATATAGGATTGCGGGGCAGCAGGAGGCCTTAGAAGGAGGCCTGAGATCTAGGCCTGATTTATGGGCTGCATTACCCATCCCCCAAGTCTCCTGCACCCTGAAGTACTGCTTCTTTCTCAACTTAGCTTCCCACCTCCCAACAACTGGGTTTGAGGCTGGCTCCCAGCCAGGGCTAGAACCAGGGGCTCCTCCCCCAGCTCCAGAACCTGCCCGCCCCTGAGAAAACTGATGGGCCAGCCTGTGCCATGGCTGACTGGCACTGGCTCTGAATCTCCTCCCCCCATGCCCCAACACATGGGAACACTGAGGTCCAGAGAGCAGGGTATCCCCAGAGTCAATGAGGGGTGGGTGCAGCTTAGCGGAGGGGTTCCCAGCCCCTGGGGTAGGGCTCCCTGTGCTGAGGGCTGGGGGCCAGCCTGGTGAGAGGTGCCGACTCCTGCCCCTCACGGCCCTGTGCCCACACCGGCCAGGCTCCGGGGCGACACCTTCGACGTCCAGCCGCGACTGTTCGAGTGCTCCAGCAAGGCGGGCAGCCTGGTCCTCACGGAAGTGGTGTTTTTTAGCCAAGAGGACCTGGACAAGTATGACATCATGTTACTGGACACCTGGCAGGAGGTGAGGCCACCCCTAGCCCACTGGGGTGTGCACGGGTGTCCGTCGCTGTGTGACTGGGTGTGTGTGAGACTTTGTTTCTAGGAATGGCACTCCACCTGAGGCCACGGGCAGGTCTGTGACGGGGCATCCCACGGATACGAGGTCTGTCACCGCAGGACGGTGATGGGGCTGTGGAGACTGTCTGGTCCCAGCTGTGACTGAACAGTTTCATAGTTGTGTGTAAGTGCCCTGGAGATGGCGTGTGACTCCAGGGAACTGAGTGCCTGCAACCAGTTCGGGTCATGTGCTCACTGGCCAGAGGCATCGTAGCAGGGAGACCGTCAGAGGTTGGCGGCTGGGGCGTGACTGTATTCTTACAGCCGGGTAACCATGTTCCTGGCTAATCATGTTCTGACTGCAGCTGTTTGTCAGGCTACCTGTGAGTGACTGTGTGGTAGTGTGATTATTTACAACAACGCTGAGTGACCGTGTGTGGCCGTGATGTGCTGTCACGGAGGACTGCGGATAGCTGTGATTTGTCTCAGCCGCACTGTCTGGGACTCTGAATGCGGCGATGAAGCCTGAGCAAAACCCTCTCTCTCAGCACAAAACCCAGGCCACCCCTACTGCAGCCCCGTGTGACAGGGCCACCCCCGCCCTTGCCACGCTGCAGCCTCAGTAGCCGCTCCTGCCGGGTGTGCACAGTGCCCCTGCGCTGGCTGTTGTCCAGCGAGACACACAGCTGGCTCACTCACCTCCCTCGGGCCTTGGCCATGTCTTCTAGTAAGTCTCCCTCTAACCCTAGTTTAAAATGACAATATCCCCCACACACCCACGACGACCTCCTTCCCTCCTGCTTTATCTCTCTCCACCTAATATACTACATAGTTTACTTATTTTATTCTCTCTGGCGGTAAATGAAAATACTACGAGGGCAGGACTTCTGTTTTTTCATTGTTGAATGCCCAGTGCCTAGAACTGTGCCTGACAGACCATAGGTGCAGAGCAGATATTTGGGATGGAGTGCCTTCAGCTGGTGTTTGTGCATGCGTGTGTCTGTCTCTTGGGGGCGATGTGTACATGTGGGGTGTTCTGAGACTATCTAATGACATGAGTGGGAAAGAAGAGGTCAGGTCTGGGCGGCCCCTCCACCCACTCAAGGCCAGGCCCCTCTGTGACCCAGATCTTCCTGTGGCTTGGGGAAGCGACCAGTGAGTGGAAGAAGGAGGCGGTGGCCTGGGGCCGGGAGTACCTGAAGACTCACCCAGCAGGGAGGAGCCTGGCCACACCCATCGTGCTGGTCAAGCAGGGCCACGAGCCCCCCACCTTCACTGGATGGTTCCTCACTTGGAACCCCTACAAGTGGACTGTGAGTGAAGCCTGAGGGCCCTTCCCCATTTTAATGCAGGGGAGAGGGGCCTGCCCTGGGCTGACTGTAAGGAGGTGTCACCCTGCTTGGGACTTCCAGCCCGCGGGCGACTGGCCTTGCCCTCCGGTCTCCCCCCAGGTCCTTGAGCGGCTTGGGGGGTGGGGGGGTGACTGGCCTTGCCCTCCGGTCTCCCCCCAGGTCCTTGAGCGGCCGGGGTGGGGGGGTGCGGGGGGGGGCTGGCCTTGCCCTCGGGTCTCCCCCCAGGTCCTGTTGCTGCCACTCCATCCCATCATGCTCCCCCCATTCTTGTCCCAGAACAGCCCGTCCTATGAGGAGGTGGTGGAGGGCAGCCTGGGAGCCATATCTACCATTTCTCAGATCACAGCAGTGAGTACTGGACCTCCCAGGTCCCTCCGGGGGTCTGGGCTCTGACGGTGTGCTCCCAGTGGGCAGGCCCTGCCAGGGGCACGGGCTGCAGTGGGGGCAGGAAGGCCAGGGGGTTCCGTGCACCTCCCTGTGGGAGCCTAGCTCCCCCACCCCCCAACCAGAGTCCTCTCTCTGGACAGGAAGTCAACAAATTCCACCTGTCCAGATGGCCAAGGAATGACAGGGCAGGCTCCTTGGGCCTGCAGGCCTTCAAGAGCTCCCAGGACAGCTTAGAGAGTGAGCTGGAGCTGGGCCCCCAGGCGCGTGGCAGCACCAGCAGCAGCCACAGCAGCAGCAGCTACGCCAGCAGCCCCAGAGCCACCCTCAATGGGGGTCTGCGCCCCGAACAACTCATGCACCTGGCTGCCAAGGACCTGCCAGAGGGCGTGGACCCTGCCCACAAGGAGGTAGGCATGCGAGACCCCCTCATCTAACGCATGCATGCACCCAGCAGTCTGAGGAAGCCAGAGCGCCAGCACTGATGGTGGCAGTGGGCGGGGCCCAGGGAGAGGTGTTGGGGGGTGGGGGGCCACACAGATGTGGGCCAGGAGCACCTGCAGTTCTGGACGGCACCTTGCGGTGGGTGGGGCAGGGTTCAGGGCTCAGCTTCCTCTGCAACTGCATACTTTCTGCACCTCCCCCCAGTCCTACCTCTCAGACCCCGACTTCCAAGATATCTTCGGGAAGTCCAAGAAGGAATTCTACAGCATGGCCAAGTGGAGGCAGCAGCAGGAGAAAAAGCAGCTCGGCTTCTTCTGAAGGCAGGCCCCCCCTGGCCACACTCCCCAAGGGTCCCTCCCCCACACTGAAGCCCTGGGGAGACCCTCGCTGTGACCCTCTTGGGTTCTCCCTCCCAACTTGTCAGTAAAATCTTGCGGCCCTCACAGGGTGTGGTGTGTGTGCTGCCCAGTCTGGGGGTACACATTGGGGAACACACGCTGGGGCCGGTGGTGGTGTAACATTCTAGAAAAGGACTGAATGCTGCGCCCCCTCCGTGGAGGGGTTTGTTTCTTGCTGGTCTCTCCGGCCCAAGGGTTAGAAAAACCCCTGAGCCCGTGTGAGCACGGAGAAGGTGGAGAGGGAGGTGTTGGAGTTCCTCTTGGGGCACACATGCATGCACACACACACATGCACGCTTTACAGAGATGTTTCTGATATGCAGGTGACGAGACCGCAAAGCTTAGTGTCAAGATTTTTATAAAAACCTTCATCCTCGGGCTGGCCCAAGGAAGAGAGGGCTGCAGTGTTGTTCCTAATGGAATCGAGGCTCTGGGATGGCTCTGGGGACCCCAGAGAGGCAGCAGCATGACTGTGTTAGAGCTGACGGCGGGGCCTCCAGCTCCGAGCGAGGGGGCAGGAGCAGCCAGCCCCGTGTGACCCCCAGACACGGACAGGGCCCAGCCCGCTCGGGGCAGCGCCCATCAGACTCCCTGAGGCAGGTCCTGGAGGGACACCTTCACAAAGAGGGTGGCAGACGGGTACTGGTCTCCGTTCTTGGACAGGAGGTGGACGTGCCGGTACCCTATCGGGACAGGCAGGAAGGAACACGTAGGGAGCGCTCCAGTCACTCAGGAAAGCTGCGTCGAGGGACCCCAGCCCACGAGATGCCAGGCCCTGCCTCCCCCACCCCACCCCACCGTCCCCTCCCCTGGACCGATGCTCACCCTGCTTGAGGCAGCTCAAGGGGATGGTGCACTGGCCGATGAAGTCATTCTTGGAGGAGGCGTCGTAATCCTCCACCACGAAGCGCACGAGAGCTAGCTCAGGCACGTTCACTTTAAATTCAAACTCCTTGTCCCACCAAGGGTTGAAACCTAGGGGTGCAGGCGCCGGTCAACAGGGGGGCCGCCAGCCCCAGCCCCGAGCCCGCCAGGGCGCAGCGCGTACCGTTATTGGTGACGACGGCGGTCTGGCGGCTGGCCATGTCCTGGGCCATGCCGTGAATCTCCACAGTCACCTTGGGGTCCACAATGGAATTCTTACTCTTATTGACTTTTGGCAGCTGCTGCCCTGTGATGACCTGAGGAAAGACAGGGGCAGGGAGGGGTGAGGAGTGGCAGTGGGTGAGGCAGAGTAAAGGGCCACCTTTCCTTCCTACAGCTGGCCATACCTTGATATTGAGCTGCTTTTTATTCAACCAGGACCCCTTAGTCAGGGTATGTGGGTTGAAGGTAGAGTTGGGGTCTCTCAGGAAGGCAGGCTTCAGCACGTAGCCACAGGACCCGTTTTCCTGGAAGCGGCCCAGGTACACGTCCATCTCTGGCCCCGGCGTCTGGAAGTTCATGGCCACTACAGGCAGGACAGAGCAGTCACAGGCCATGGGCTGGACTCGGGGGCCGCAGAACACAGCCTGCTCAGCACGCACCGAGGCCTGGAGTCACTCAGGGAGGGAGCAGCAGGGCCCAGCCTCGCTCCCAGGTTTCTGCCGTCCTGCCGCTCTAACTGACACACCCCGCCAACCTCACATGTAAGCTCTGGTGAGATTTCAAAGCACTAGTGAGCCAGCCACCAGTGGGGTTCAGGCTTGTGACTTGAGGCAAGATGTCCAAACTGTGGGCTTCTAAGAGCAAACATCCTGCTCCCCAAGCAGCTCGGCTCCAGGTTCTGTCCGGCCCCTGGCACTCCAGACCCGACCCCCCAGCCGAACAGCCCCCACCTATCTGGCAGCCCCCATTCCACATCTCGACTGGGTGGTAGTTGGAAGAGTCGGTTCTCCTGCCGGCCGGGTAGATCCTGCTCAGGTGAGTCACGTTGTGGCGGACAAAGCTGCTCCCTGCGGGGATATGGGTTGGTCAGAAGAGGAGGCCTCCTGGGAAGCTCCTCTCCACCACTCTGTGTGGTAACGACTTGGCATGGGATGATGTCTGCAGGGTGGGGGCCAGACTCACCTGATTCTTGGAGCAGCCGGAGGGCCTGGTTCTCCGAGAAGGACACCATCTCATAGAAGGCCTGCCCGGGGCTGGCGAAGCCCCCGAAATGGACGCTCTTGCAGTAGATTATCATATCCGAGAGCTCCTTCGCTAGCCTGAGCTTGACTTCCTGGGGGCCACCGGGAGGCCCGGGTTAGTCAGAGGTTGGGGCAGGTCACTGAGGGAGCCAGAAACCCAGACACACAGAGAGAAAGACAGAGAGGGGGGAGCAGAGGGTCTGAGTGGCAGCCACAGAGTTTGGGACACGGCAAACACCCCATGGGGTGTTGTGCAATGACGGGGAGGCAGGGCCCCAGGGTGGGCCCCAGGGTGGACCCCGCCCCCTGCCCCCAAAGCCCCGCCTCCAACCTTGCGCATGAGCTGCACTTGGCTCCTCACTGCCTCATCTTCCATCTCTGCAGCCTCGTCCTCATCAGACACGGTGGCCTCAGGGCCTCCTTCCCCTCCTGGGGGTAGGAGCCCTCCCAGCTTCTTCCCCTTCAGCAAGATCTTCCCCTTCAGTTGCTAAGGACGGAAAGACAACTGATCAAGACCCTCCCGCCCGTCCCCGCCCTCTGCGGGGGCTTCCTTGCCGGCTCACCTCAGGGGAAGGCAGGCTGGTGGTCACTCCCTCCAGGGGATGGGCCAACAGCAGGGGCCCCAGGATGTCGCCCAGGTGCTTCGCCATCACGCGCTGCTGCATCAAGCTGCAGTGGTTCTCCAGGGACAGGATGACGGGGTAGGGGGAGACCTGGAGGCCCTGAGCAGGTTAGGGGCGCCAGCCCCCCACCATCCTCCTCCTCCTTAAACCCCTTTCCCCAGGGGCGCACACCTTGAAGGCGTAGTCCCGGATGGCCCTGAGCACGTCGCAGAAGAGGATCTTGGAGGTGAACGTGTAGCCGTGGTAGATGATGGGCTCCAGTGCTGGCCCGTCCCAGCAGTCGAGCTCCAGGCAGCGGCAGCCTTTGCACAGCGCCCTGCGGGCAGGGCTGGCAGCTAGTCCCTGGCCGGCTCAGGGCTGCCCCCGCGGCCACCGTCCAGCCCCACGGAGTCCCACTCCCGGCCCCCGCGCCCGCACCCACCGGATGTAGGCTTCCGTGCTGCTGAGCCCGGTGATCTGGTGGTCTGTCAGGTAGGTGTTATGTGAGGAGGACACTAGGTAGTGGCTGAGCGGCTGGCTCATGTCCTGGTACACTCGCCGGTGCGCCAGGCTGAAGGCGCTGCCGTCCGCGGACAGCAGGTACATGAGGAAGCCGTCCTTGCTCATCTGCCGCTGCGCCTTGGCTGGGCAGGGGGGAGGCCAGGTGGTCAGAGCCTGCCGCGGGCCAGTGCCCTCCAGGGGCCCTACGGTTGACCCCGCTGGGAGGGGAGGCTCGCCCCCACATGCCTTCCCTGTACGACCCTCCCACCCGGTCCGGTATAGAGCTGGTCCTGGCATCTCATGGAGGCCAGTCAGTTGGACTCTCCCAGTCAAACTGTGACCACCTCAAAGTGAGGCCAGGTCTCTGCTGCAAAGCACCACCCTGTGAGGACCCCCGAAGGCAAGGCCTCCCTTCCTTCTCTGTGGCTCGGGACTGGACTTGAGCCCCTACAGGACAGGGCCCCACCTCTGCTGGGCTCAGGATGGGCTCAGAGAAGCAAGAATGTGTGGGATGTCCGCTTTTCCAGTGCCCTCCCTAGTTCCTGAACCCTCTGCAGGAGGGTAGAGTGGGGTGGTCATGCTGGAGCCCTGTGGCCCATCTCTATGCTTTCTGGACAGGCAAATACTGACCACGGACCCTGGGGTGGGGTGGGATCCCCTTCCCCCTTCCCTCTAGCTTCTCTCTCTGGCTGCAATCTCCCCAGGGACCTCCCAGCCCCGTGCGACCCTGGGGCTGCAGATCACTGGCCCTGGCCAGGCCCTCACCGTTCTCGTTAGGCTCGTAACGGTCAATGAGGGAGAGGGCCATCGCAGGCCCTGCATCCTCTTCCCGCTGCTGATGCTGCAGGAACTTCACTAACTGATCCACCGACAGGGTCTTGTCAGAGCCCGCAGCCTCAGCAAAAGCGTGGTCAATCTCCTTCCGCTGGGTCAGGATCTTGTAGAAGGCTTCAATCTCCTCATCCTCCAGGGAGTCTGTCTGGGAGTGGTCACATTCCTGCAAGGCCAGGTGGACAGGGCTCAGAGCAGACCCTGGGCGAGGGGCGAGGACCCACTGTCACGGAGCCTGGCCCTCACTTCCTGCCTCACCCTGAAGATCTTCCGGGCATAGCTGTCATCCACCTGGATGTTAAGCTCCTTCAGGAAGTTCTGTAGCTCCTTGAAGCTCATCTTATTGTCCTTGTTTTTGTCAGCTTTTCGCAAGCAGGAGTGAATCCAGCTGGGTAAGAAGTAAGGAAAGAATCCAAGAGCCCTGGTAGCCAAGGTCCCAGCTAGAGCCACAGCCCAAAGCCCAGGTCAAGTCCAGGCGGACTGCGGCCACCTGTAGATGTAACGCCTTCGAGGGGCAGGACCTAGTGGTCTCTTTGGAGGAGATATGGAAGCTCGTTAAGGGCTCTTTTTCCTGCTAGCGGGCTTTGAACCCATTCAGATTTTTATTTTATTTTTCTATATGGGCCTTTTCAGGTTTTTAAAAGCATTTCGTTTCTCACTATAAAAGGCAAAACACTACATGACATACATCTCAGTAACATCTTTAAAGACACATCCCCCAAAGCAAAGAAAGTGAAGGAAAAGATGAACAGCTGGGACTACATCAAGTTAAAAAGCCTCCTTGGTGGCGCAGCAGGTTAAAGCACAGCACAAAGAAACTTAAGCCACTTCCGCATAAGTTCGATTCCCGCCTGGCACATGGCACGGCAGACCTCTCCTGGCCCGCCCGCTGCTCCCCTCAGCAGTGTACTTCGTCGATCTGCCTGTTCTGCTCCCCACTCTGTCTCTGGTGAATCCTCTCACTCTCCGCATCTCCGGCCTGTCCCCCAGTTCTATATGAATAAATTAAAAAAAAAAAAGCTTCTGTACAGCAAGAAAGACATTAACCAAAACAAAGAGACAACTTGCTAAATGATAAGAACTGTTGCACGCAACACAGCTGAAAAGGGGCTGATTACAAAGATCTACAAAGAGCTCACAAAACTCAACAAAATACAATCCAGTCGAAAAGTAGGCAGAAGAGGTAAAAAGACACTTCTCTGAAGAAGAAAGGCAACTAGCCAACAGGCATATGAAAAAATGTTCAGCATCACTTGGAATCAGGAAAATGCAAATCAAAACCACGATGAGATACCACCTGACACCAGTGAGAGTGGCTCATATTGAAAAAACGGAATGACAAGTGTTGGTGAGGGTGTGGAGAAAAAGGAACTCTCCCGCACCGCTGGTGGGAGTGCAGCTGGTTCCTCAGACGACTAAAAATGGAGCTTCCATATGATCCAGCAATTCCACTCCTAGGAATCTACCCAAAGGACACACAAACAGTAACTCAAAAGGACACCTGCATCCCTATGTCCACTGCAGGGGTGAGATATGGAAATAATGCAAATGCCAAAAAATAGATGACTGGATCAAGAAGACGTGATATATAGCTGCAATGGACTATTAGTTAAAAATTAAAAAGGATAAGCTTATGTCATTCGCAGCAACATGGATGGAGCTGGAAGGGATTGTGCTCAGTGAAATAAACCAGAAAGAAAAGGAAACATACCGGAGGGTTTCATTTATAGGAGGAATGTAGGGGAACCAAATAAGGGATCAGGAGAAAAAGTAATTGTAACAAATTAAAAAACAACAGGAACAGGCAACTAGTAATCAGAGACACTCTGCATGGGAGGGGAAGCAAGGGGTGTCACAGCGGGGGAGGGAATGTGTTCTCACACAAGGGACTATGGTGTGGTGCACGTGAACTGGCGATGGGAATTCTGTGAGAACTACACCTGACAGGAGAAAGCATGCACTGTACAAAGAGGAAACCCTATGTAAAATATATATTTTTTAAGAAAGGGTTTACTATAGATAATTCAGAAAGGGCAGACAAGTAGACAAGCAAATCCCCTGTTGTTCTGTCACCCTGGGGTGACACTGTTAACATTTCAAGGCATCTGCTCAGCATTATTAATCATTAGGGGAAGCCAATCAGAACTACAAGCGTACAAGTATTGTGGATGATGTGGAGACACTGGGGTCTTGTGCCCCACTGGTGAGAATGTAACTGGTACAGTTTCATTGGAAAACACTATGGCAGTTCCTCAAAAAACTGAAAATGGAGTATACCATATGACCTAATAAGTTTGCTTTGGGGGATAGGCCCAAAAGTATTGAAAACAAAGTTTTCAATATTCATATTCATATTCATAGCAGTAAAACTCAAGATATCCAAAAGGTAGGAACAACTCAAGTGTCTGTTAATGGACAAACAAAAAATTACATGGGATCTGTACATACAATGGAATACTATTTAGCCTTTAAAAATAAAGGAACTCTGATACCTGCTACACATGGATGAATTCTGAAGACATGCTAAACAAAATAAGCCAGTCACAAAAAAATAAATGCTATATGATTCCACTTAAAATGATTAAATTCATAGAGACAGAAAGTGTTTGCCAGGATTTTGGACTGAGGAATGGAAGTTGGACCAAGGAATGGGTAGTTGTTCACTATCTTAGACTTTTGACTTTGGAGATTAAGAGTTCCGGAGACAGGTTATGCAAAGTGTGAATGTACACAACGCTATTGTACTGTACACTTAAGATTGGGTAAGATGGTAGATCATTGTATTATATATATTTCCCCAATTAAAAATTATAAAGGATAGATTTTTAAGAAAAAAAATTAATAACAGCACATGGGCAAAGGATCTGAATAAATATGTCTCCAAAGAAGATACACAAATGACCATTCAACATATGTAAAGATGCTCAGTGTGACAATCAAGGAAATACAAATCAAAACTATAATGAGGTATCACTTCACACTTGCAGGGTAACTAAAATAAAAAAAAAAGATAAAAAGTGTTAGCAAAGGTGTGAAAAATTGCCACCCTCATACACTGCTGGTGTGACTATAAGGTCTCTCGGGAAAGCAGTTTGGCAGTTCTAGATATATACTTCAGAGAAATGAAAACACAGCCACACAAAAACTCAGACATAAATGTTCATAGCAGCATTATTCATAAAAGCCTAAAAGTTGAAACAACCCAAATTCCATCAATTGATACTGGATAAGTAAAATGTGACTGTCCATACGACAGTATAAAGCAACAAAAAGGAACTACCACCTTTAAGACCTGTCAAGTGGAAAGAAGCCAATCCCCGGAGTGCATGAGTCTGTGAAATGTCCAGAACAGACAGAAGACACATTAGTGTTTGTCTTGGGGGATGGGGTGGGGGACGAGAGGGGGAGAGCAGGAGTAACTGCTGAAGGGTAACAAGGTTTCTTTCTGGGATAATGAAAATGTTCTAAAATCATGGTGATGGGTGGCTACATAAAAAGGCAATGCATGGGTCCTGTTAAGTGGGTAAATTATAAACTATATGAATTGTCTTATTAAGCTGTCATTAAAATAAAAGACCTGGAGTCGATTCCACCATAATCCTGTCCTAGAAATCTGACCACTTGTAGTTTTGGAAAGACTTTCCTGTAAGCCTAGAGGCTGGTCTGCAGATCAGGCCAGGAAAAGCAGATCACTCCCCAAAGAATGGCATGGGGTGGGGGGTGGGAGGTGGGGGCATCTCACAGCTTCCCAGATTCCCAGAGGGGAACATGTAGTAGCTCTAGGAAAGAAAATTGAAACCTCCAGGCCAGGTCTGCGCCACTCAGCCTCCCAAGGCCATGCTGCTTCCAAAATGGGCGCGCAGGACCCGGGGCTGCTGCGGGGCCGGTTATTGGGCGGAACGACATCTCCAGGCACCGTTCTGCTTCCCTGGGCTACCCACTGAAGGTGCGCCCCCCAATTCATATGTTGCAGTCCTGATCACCAGGGTGATGGTAGGAGGAGACGGGGTCTTGGGAAGTTAAGATGAGGTCGCGAGGGTGGGGCCCTCACGATGGGATGATTCTAGGACCCTGGAGACGTCTCTCGCTTCTCTCTCCACCGCATGAGGACGCAGTGAGAAGCAGCTGTCCACACGCCAGGAGGAGAGCCCTCCAGAGCCTGACCGGGCCAGCACCCGGGTCTTCGGCCTCCAGAACTGTGAGAAAGTTCATTTCTGTTGTTTAAGCCTCCCAGTCTATGCTGTTTGCGAGGGCGGCCCCAGCGACATCCCTACCCAGGCTGACCTGGGAAGCCCCGGGCCGGGCTCCACAGGCTGGGCCTGACCCCACTGCCCCCAGAAGGATACTGCTGCAGCTTCTGCTGCTGGTCCATGGAGCCCGAGTGTTTGATGATCTTGAGCAGCCCCTGCACCCAGTGCTGGGCGTCCGCAGGCGATGGGGCAATGAGGTCCAGGGTGTTGCGCTGGTCCTTAAAGACAATGGCGAAGCAGCGGTCCTTGGGCACGTCTCGCGCAAACCTCTCCAGGCCCTCAGTGCGGTGCCCCATCCGCACATCCTGGATGTCCTCGATGGAGACTGCGAGGGTGGGGGAAGGGCAGAGAAAGCCTTGAGGTCAGCTCCTGCCGTATGCAACTGAGCCACGGGGAGGGGCCGCCGCTAAGAGACACAGACGGAGGGCGGGAGCTCAGGCCCGGGAGCCAAGAGAAAGGAGAAGGGCAGGAGGTAAAATCAGGGGAGAGAGGTCAAATCAGGAGGAAGGTGGACAGAAGGAGGTGGAGAAAGAATGTGAGGGTCAGCTGTGGTGCGCAGAGCGCCCGGAGAGACAGATTGACCTCAGTCAGTCAGTCCCTCTGGGCCACTCTGTTCCCTCTGCCCCAGAGGGACTGAGGCCTGCTGTTCCCATGTCAGGAGGGAACGGAACCCTGGGGAAAGGGGTGAGGCAGGACACTCAGAGGTTGGGGTCGGGGGGAGCCCTGCACCCGAGTGCTAAAGGGTAGCCTAGACACCTACAGGCCCTGTGTGTGTGGCATGAGCATAGACTGGCAGCAACTCTGAGAGTGGCATAGTGAGCCCTGGGGTTGTCCCTCGGCCCCAGCCCCTGGGCCCTACCAGCTGACCCAGGTGGCTTAAGCTGGGAGTAAAAACAGGAAGCCAGGCGCGGCTCCCAGGTCAGCACCCCCACTCACACCAGAGGAAAAGCCCAGATGTCATCACTGCTGATACTGTGTTAGCCTCTGGGAACCAGAGCCAGGGGCAGGGCAGGATGGGGTGAAGGGAGAGTAGCTGGTGATGGCAGGGCCGTGGGAGGCTGGGGGACAGGGCACAGAGCCAGAGGCCCTGTTCCACTCCTCCCTCACCCCAGTTTCCCTGAGTTCAGCTGAGGACGGAAGGATGCAGAAAAGGGAAGCCAGCACTCCCAGCACAGGCCCATCTCAGTCCCTGGCTGGGAAGAGCGCTCTTTCAGGCCTCACTCCTCGCCTCAGGACACCTGGTGCCCTGCTCCCATGTCCCCCACCCTGGCAGCCCTCCTGCCAGAGTGCAGGCCCCTCACTCCCTCAGTCCTGCCTCGTCCTGCTTCTTGCCTCTGCTCAAAACCTTTGCTCACACTGGTTCCCCTTCCTGGCGTGTCCCTCAGGCCCTTGTGCTCACAGCTGCCCAGCTCAGGTCTCCCCCTCCATCTTGCCCTTGCCAGCACCCAGAGGAAGCGTGCACTTGGCTCTGGGCTCTGGGGACTTCCCAGGCCTCAGACTATAAGATGTTCGCTTTCCACCTTGCTGCCACCCACCAGAGTCCAACAGGACACCTGATGGGGCACCGCCCTGTAAAGGAAGGAGGCTGGCTGGTGCCAGGGCAGAGGTAGGCCCCGTCACTCCTGTGCTGTGTGCCAGGCCCAACCTGGAGAGGGCTTTCTGAGTGTTCTCTGGGCACCATCCCTTCCTAGCCTGCCCTGCTCTGCCCTGCCCACCCCATTTCCCCAGGGACCCAGCTAACTGTCTCCACCTGACCCTGCTCCTCCATTGGAGCAGCCGGAAGTCGGTGCCTACTTGTGTCCTCATGCCTGGAAGACCCTTCACATGTTAAAGTCACCCCACAGGCACCCTCAGTGAGCTGACCCTCCCCTTTCTCCTGTGCCCCCTCCTCTGGGGCTTGTTGCCCACAGACCTGCCAGGGGGCTCACCCTGCCCCACTTCTACTCCAGATTGGGGCAGATGGGTGGATGAGGGCTTTCCAGGCATTTGGGCTGTGAAATCCATGGTCTCTGTGCAATGCCCAGTACAGCAGCCACCACCCCACCACACACATCCACCACCCTCCACACACACACACACACGTGGCAATTTAAATGTAACCAGTTAAAATTCAACAAAATTAAGAAGTCAGTTCCTGCGTCACCCTAGCCACATTTCAAGTGCTCAGTGGCCACAGGATAAAGAGCATTTCCATCAACACAGGAAATTCTTTTGCATGGCATTGGTCTAAATTTTCCCACCAAGCAGTTATGCTTGTCATTACACAGAATTCAGCAGAACCTTCTCCCTCAGGCTTGCAGGGAGCCCTCTCCATTTGCAAGTGTGAGCCTTGGGTTCCTGGACCTTTTTGAAGTTTCTGGAAAGTCCTCAGATCCCCACCCTTGAGGGATTGACCAGTCGATGCCCTCCTCTGTGTATCTGGGCCCTGTTCTGTCCCAGCTATGTCCCAGTACGAGGGAGGAGCTGTCACTTATGGCCCCACCTTATACCTTCCGGATATCCGGAAGGGCCTTATCTGCCCTGGCCTTTGGACCTGGCTTTGGGCCTCACCACACCTGGAGTTCTAGTCCTCCCACTTTCCCACAACTGACTGAGCATCTGCGTGTGAACTCAAACCATCTTGCCTAGCTTCCTCCCTACAAAGTCTGCTTTCCCCATCTACAGAGCCTGGGTAAGGACCTGCCCTGAAAGCACATCTCCATAGTGGTCCAAGGTCCACATCTCCCTCTCCAGCCCAGCCTGTTCTCAGTTTCCCTCATGTAGGACTGACCTATGCCCCACCAGGCCAGGTCACCATTTCCTTATCTGTGGTCCATGATCCATCTCCAGCCCCAGCCAGTGTAGGTTCCACCATCTGCACAAAGGTTCCAATCCCTGCCCCTGCCCCAGCCATGGCACTCACACAGCTGGGATTCTGGGCTCCGCATGACTTTGCGGGACTCCTGCCAGATGGTCTTGCAGTCTTCTTGCAACTTGTAGAAGCGCTCTCTCCGCCACGAGCTGGACTTCACCTTCAGGAGCTGGCTGCCTTTCAGCAGTGCCTGGAGGTCCTCGTCGTCCTGTAGGCCTAGGGGACGGAGCTAGTAAGGTGCCAGCCCCGCCAGCACCCACGCTGGCCACGCCCACCTCTGGATCTTCTCAGAGCCCATTTTTCACCAGCCCCATCCTCAACACTCAGTTCACTTCTTCCTCCAGTCATGCTCCAGTCTGATCCCAGAGTACTGCCTCCTCCAGGAAGTCATCTCTGATTGTCAGCTGAGATCAGGGCAAACTTTAGGGCATTTGCCCATTCAAAGCCACACTTTATACACTGTGACCTGGACTCATAGCTCAGTGGCCAAAGCGTGGGCAGCGATTCCCAGGACACGTAGTTCTTGGGAGATCAGACCTCTAGGAGGTGGTCTGACTCAGAAAGATAGTCTTACCCTTAGAGTCAGAGTGACGCGAAGGGAGTTGGGATCAAAAGATCAGGCAGAGCACGAAAGAGAAGGAGCCGCTAGCGTGGACTCCAGAGGGAAGTCCACACCAACAGCTTCCCGCCTCCAGTGGCTCTGGAGTCATGGGTGCTGGACCCAGGTCCCCTTCCTGACCAACTGTGTGACTGGGCAATCAACTTCATGTTTCAGGGCCTCCTGTCTATAAATGGAGGAAATAATAGCATCCATGTTGAAGGTTAAATGAGATGATGTGTGAATCTGGCTCCCGGGGTACTGACAATTGTAGTTGCTGTCAATGCGTTGGTCGCTGCAGACATCCCTGACTCCTTCATCCCTGCTGTCCCCACCCCAACCTTGGGCCTGAGTCCGTGTGTCCCTGATCCTTGCCTCCAGGAGAGACAGACCCCACCGCAGCCTGTGCTTGGCCTGCTGGACGCCTCTGTCCCTCCCTGCCCACCCCATCTCCAAGAGTCCTGGGTCTGGGACCCCTCATGGTACAGCGGCCCTAAAGCACAGTGCAGCCCTTTCAGAGGCTAAAGCAGAGACCCCCAGTGAGGACCGAAACCTGGCTGCCTGCCCAGCTCTTTCACTGTTAATCAGAGACACCCTGACCTGAGGCCTGGGGTCCCAGAGATGGGCCTGGGGTCCTAGCAGGCCCATGTGGGAGGCCTCCAAGTACACCGAGCCCCCATCCATGATCAGTCCCTGTAGCCACAGTAACCCTGCCCCGCTCAACGATCATCAAGGTAATTTAGAGACAGGTACATCTACATATATCTATAGCTATGGCCAGTCCTGTTTAGAACAAATTGGCCAACTCACCACATGTCTGTCACCAAAGCTAAAACAAAACTGTGTGGTCCTTCAGCAGTCTCTGTCCTCTTGCTTCCTTTTGCAGAGGTGGGAGTGGGAGGGCATCATGCCAGGCCAGTCTAAGGGGTCTATATCCAGACCACAAGGCTTTTCTGAGCCTAGACCCCCACCCCAGATCCTGACAGTCTCTCCCACTTAAGTCATGCCCCCTCCCCCACCCGCTAAGCTGGCTTCTATACCCACAGGACCTATAATCTGAACCACTTGCCCAGGCTTCGGCCACCCACATCCTGAGCCCCCTGGGCCCAGTCAGGACACAGCCTATTGCTAGTACCCATCCCTCTACGGATTTAGGCAGCTGCCGTCCCTTGCTGTGCCTCTGTCTCCCCATCAGCACTGGGTGAGAACAGGGTTAGAGGTGTCTCACAGTCTTTTCAGGTGACAATCTGATGTGACTGTCCCCCATCTTTGTCCCAAGTCTCTCCACCACTTCCAGGACATTCCTTTGCCTTCATGTGAGCAATTTCTCTACAGGCCCAATGTGGAAGGCGGCCAGTGGAGAAGGGGGACCCCTGCAGGTGGTCCTCATCTGCTGGCTATGAATGTGGGGCTTAAGACGGCAAAACGGGGCTTCCAGGCTGCCAGGGAGACACCTACCAGCCTGCTGGGGAATTCCATTGCCCTTCTGAGGCTAAGCTCGGACATCTCCTCACCCTCAGCTACATGCCACCCCCAAACTGGACACACAGATGGGATCATGGGGTGGGGGATCAGAAAGTAGAAGCGAACCCCACCCTCCAGTTCTGGAAAATACTGGGAGGAGATGACATGTTCATCCTGTCCTGGAGCCAGACTGTGGCCCTATCTGAAGTCAGGGCAGAGATAAGACCCCTGGCTGCCAGCGTGGCTTCTGAACATGGTCTCGTCCCAAGGAGGGCCTGACAAAAGCCAGTCCTCATGGCCACTGTGGCACTGGGCGGATACCTCTAACTCTGAGCCCTTTTTGGGGCCCTTGGGCAGCCCTGAGAACTCTAGGCTGCCCACCCTACCCCACCCTAGTTCCCTCAGCACCCAGAGAGTCTGAGGGCACCCTCACCCTGCCTTACTCACTCATCTGTCATAGTTCTCCTCCTGTGGAGAAGGGGTGAGGGGGAGCGCTGTGCACAAGGCCCCAGATTGAACTTGCAGCCTCACCAGCAGGCCCAGGCGAGCTGCACTCAGCAAGGGACCAAGAGCAGGAGGGGTGCTGCCCCAGTTCCTCGGGTGATGTGTCACAAAGACACGCTAGGCCTGGGACCCGCGGCCACACACAGAGACACGCTACCACAGGCCGCCACACTGCCGCACACCACCGTGAAAAGACAGGTCGTGTCCCACGGAGTCGCACGCAGCCCCACCACACGCCGCCACGTGGCATCCTCCTGGAGACGATAGCAGCCTCCGTAACACTAGTAGTTAGTGCCTGAATAAGAGGCTGTTCTTGGCACATGTATTTAGTGCCCCCAACAATTCTATGGGAAAGGCACTGTCATTATTCCTACTTTACAGATGAGGAAACTGAGGCTCAAGGACGTTCCACAGTGGAGTCGGGACTCTGAAGCAGGCCCAGAGGGTGCTAGGAAATCTGATGTCACCACGGCTCAGGGACACGCTGCCACAAAGAGTAACAGCAGAAACCACGTAAGACCCACACAATGTAATACACAATGACAGAATCTGTCCCCTAGATCACCCACAGTCACAGGCGATTGCACAGCACCACACTGTATCACACAGTCACACTGGTGCCACAGTGTCACACATTTGGCTACACAGCATTACACCACCATTGCCACACACTGTCCCCAGCAGTCGCCACTGTGTCACCCACTGACCACTTGTCATAGACAAGCACACATTTGCTAGACCACACAGCTGTCTTGGGTTACACAGTCCTACCACTTGCACCCCAGGTAACCTATCCGGTGGAGCCTAAACAGGAGAAGTTACAGGTGGTGAGGCCAGGGAACCTGGAAGGACTGAGGTAGATCTGGAGCAGAGGTCACCAATCCTGCAGTACCCACCCCGCATGCCAGCCCTGCACAGACAGCCCCACAGTGGATCACACACTCACAGATACTAAAGGGCCCAATCAGAGGTCCGGCAGGACGGGCCATACTCACACAGGAACACAGAGCCTGCGTCCTGCCCAGCTGCCTTCCCGGGCTCCACAGATCTGGGTGCACCACCCACCCCCAGTCCCTTACCCAGCCTCTGCGCATTTAGCGCCGCCACCTCCGGGTGGGGCTTTCCTGAATGGCTCTTGCTCGGGATCCCCAGACACTGCATGATGCTCGGAAAAGTAGTGCCTGCCGCTTGCCGCGACAGTGCAATCCACCGAAGCCGGCCTTGCGGGGAGAGCCGCCACCGCGGTCGTCGGCCGGGGGGCGGAGCCCGGGGGCGGAGCCCTGGCGGAGGCGGGGCCCTCGGGGGCGGGGCCCTGGCGGGGCGGGGCCTAAGTGGAGAATTCCAGCTGCGGAGCGCTGGGCGAGAACCAGCTGGAGCGGCGGCTGCCCTCGCAGCTGCGAGCAGCCGGGGTTGGAACCTGAACCAGCCGAGTTGGCTGAGTATTTTACCTCAGTTACTCAACGAATTCATTGTGGCTCAGCTTGCTGTTGCCTCACTCCTGAGCCTCAAGCAGGCCGCTATCCTTTTCTCAGTGTCTCAGGCCAAGTGGGATAATCCCGTAGGTCCCGAATGCGCACAGAGACTCGAAAAAATGCTGATCTTGCAATGAGTCTACTAAAAGCAGACTCGCTTTGATAAATAGATGAGAAGGGCTGCAACTTTATACAAAACTGTGCTGCCAGTGTGCTGGGGAACAGTGAGTCCTTTCATGTAAGTTACAACTTCCCTTTCATCAACCCTGCAATTATTTTTTAAGCCCCTACTGTGTGGCAAGGTCAAGACACCACCCAAAAGTCTGACTCATTCCTCTCGCTCACTCTCTGGCTCTGAATAGTTCCTGCATTTGCCTCACTAACAATGAGTCACTGGAAAAGCTTGTTATTAGCAAAGACAAGCACAGCAACAACAACAAACTGAGGCTCAGAGTGACTGAGTTCACAGAGAATAAATCATGAGCGATATGTTAGTGTCGATGAGCTGAAGTGGGGGTACGGCCAAATTGTTCTTCCTTTGGAGATGGGAGGAAGTAGAGTGTGAAGGGAGCCTCTGTTTTACAGAAACCACACAAAGGTTCTTAACTGGAGGATCAAGGATAAAGTCACCTTTTAACTTACTACCTTTGAATTTTACGTATTTTATTTTATGCATATGAAAATATGAGTCTGGAAAGGGTCCACTGATGTCACCTGACGGCCACAGCAATCAGTGTGGATCACTGTTTCTGTGTAGTGTGGGACTGGACCTCCAGGGACAGGCAGCTCTGAACCATAACTGATGTGGGGAGGGGCTGGTCAACCCAACTTGTTACAATGGCTCTAGGACTGACGTCTCTTAGAGTACCAGCTCTTTAACCAACCTTGCCCACTGCAGCTTTATCCTCAGAAAACCGCCTGTGAGATACGTATTGTGAGCCCAAGATTGAAGAAGCAGGCCCAGAAAGCAAAGGTACTTGCTTAGGATGTCACAGTAAATAGCAGCAACGCTTGGACTGGAGTCCAGGTCTCTTGGATCCAAGATGAAGCCCCTCCTCCTGCGTGCTTCCACTTTTATAAATGCCATTTGTTACAATGAGATAGGAAGGATTGGGGCTAAGAGAAGCCAGTGGAGGTGTTCAGTGAGGGGGTAATGTTTTTTGTGCACTTCTGAGAACCTGCTGGAGAAGTCAGTGCCATCCTGGCCAGAATGGAGAGAGCAGGAGAAGTGAGTGAAGGGAGACAGCTGGGAGCCCTGACTATTGATTTATGGGCTTCACAGGCACAGGAAGGAGCCCCTTAATTCGTGAGCCCAGTTATGTCATATCTTTCCTGGGTTGGAACTTCCTTATGGTACCCCCTCATTTCCCAGAAAACGAGAGAGCAACGCACAGGGCATGCTACTTTGGGGGGGGGGGGGGGGGGGTCATTTCCCAGAAAACGAGAGAGCAACGCACAGGGCATGCTACTTTGGGGGGGGGGGGGGGAGGGGCCTGCAGAATATAGCACTGGACTATAGAACAGTACTGAGTACCATTCTGATTGCCTCACAGGTATTATGTCATTCACTTTCACAGCAACTACCTATGAAGTATGTAGTGTTCCTATTCCCTGTTTTACAGATCAGTAAACAGAGACACAAGGAATTCAATTGACTGGTTTGAGATAAAAGGCCAAAATTTTGAACTCAGGTAGCCAGAACCCAGTGCTATATTCCTGTGCTATATAATTCTGTGCTATATTCCTCTGTACACATCTGCAGCAAGGTCAGAAGGACCTTGGGCATCTCAGACCTTAGTGGCCCCCTAGGCCAGTGGAGGGGCCTTTCTGCAGCAGACCCTCGAGTACCCAAGCCAGATAGTGTGGTCCTACAGCATGCATCCAGTGCTGTGGGACCCAAAATATAAAAGGGGTACAAGTGGAAACAACCTGGAATATCACAGGGCACAGAGACCAACCGCCACCCACCACTAAATCTGCACAGGTTGTTGCTTCCCCATCTGGTTTGCAGGAAGACAAAAAAAGAAAAAAACCACAATAAAGGGTGATAATTTGGAGTGGTGCACTAGAAGTGGCAGATCTCTAGGGAAACAGTTTGGGGTCGCAGTATTCATGCCAGCCCCACAGGAAGGGGCTGGACAGAGTGAGGCACTTAGGAGGCAGGTCTCAAACAGGATGGGCCAGATGATTGGAAGCGCTGACTGAGCCTCCATGTATTTCCTCTCTAGAGGTCCCAGAATTGTCTGGGGGACAGGCTGGACAAAGGCATCGTCTCCTGAGGATGGAGCCCTCCAGCCAACATGAGCTGATGCCGCTGCCATGCCAGGGGCCACTAAAAAAGGCCTGAGTTTGAGGCAGGTGTAGGGCAGGTGGCAGGCCAAGGGTGGACAGCACTAGTGAAGGGGTGATGAGAGGGAAAGCAGGTCTCCACTCTGGTCCTCTGAGCTGCCCAGCCTCCCTTCCGGCCAGTTTGGCAGGTGCACTAAGGACGTCTCTGGCCTGGGAAGAGAACAGGAATGATGAAAGGGGCAGGGATGCAATGACTCAGCTGCAGGAGGCTGCCTGAGGAGCCCAGGCTGTTGGTGGGAGGGTAGCAGCTTTGCGCACTGAACGAGGTTTCTTTGGGCCATGGGGACAGGTTTCGTCCACTGGGAACACTAGGCTGGCTGACGGAAACATCGGAGTCCCCCTGAGTTCCGGAGGGCCTCTAGCTGAAGGTCTCTGCCTTTTTCTTTCCCACTTATTATTTCCATATATTCTTCAGAGCGCTAGGTGGTGGGCACCAAAGTCTCCAACCCCATGGAGCCTAGAAAACAGGGTGCTATGGTTAAGCAGTGATTGGTGTGAGAGAGGCAGGTTTGCCCAGCTGGCAGATACTCTTGAGAGGCAGGCTGTGGGGTGGGGGTGGAGGGACCAGGCCCCCTCCCTAAGAGTGGGAGAAAGCCCAGACTGGAGCAAAGAGCTGTGACACGACTGAGGTTCCTGCCCAGCCAGAAGACCTCCAAGCCCCGCAGCTGGGAGCCTGCTGCTGCTCTCTCCTGGACAGACCGCAATACGGCAAGGAGCTGGCCCAGACCCGCAGCCCAGGTCGGAGGAGACAGCGCCGCTGCACAAAGAAGGGAGAGCAGGGAAATCGCAGCGAAGAACGACCCTGTCTAACCAAGAGGGTGAGTCAGTGAGAGGGATCTCAACTTCGGTAGCCACCGTGATCGCGGTTAGAGTGGGGAAGCTGAAGCCGTGAGACCCGACCTCCGCCAACCTCGCACACCTCCTCTCCCCGCCTCCCCAAAGCGCCACGCCGCCACACCCGCCCTGCCCTACGCCGTCCAGGCGCGCCTAGGTTTGGGGGAGGCTCTCAGGCGCTCGGACAGGAGCTGGAAAACTTGGTTATTCGCGGATGTTGGTTCCTTCCCTCCTCGGTGCCTCTGGGCACTTGGACCTTGGAGGCCAGACCGGGATAACGGGGGGCTCAGATTGTCTTCAGAGAAGTCTTCTGCCTCGAGTCCTTCCCCTCCCCCCAGGGTGGGAATCTAGGGGACAAGCCTGGAAACGCCCAGGGTCGTGCCAAGCTTGCAGTCCCACCCCGCGAGCCAGGACCCAGATTTCCCCGAAGTGACAAAGGGACAGCGGGGCGGGCCTGGGGAGGGGCGGACGGTAGCCGGAGGCGCTGGAGATCCCCGGCCCAGGTCCGGAGCGGCTTTCGGGAGGGTCGGCCCAAGTGGGGTCTCCCCGCGCCAGCGGGCACTCACCGTACAGGGTCAGGAAGTCCCGGCCCGAGTCCATGCCTGACGGGCAGCGCGGCGGGACGGCCACGGCGGACTCACGTGCGAGGCGACAGCGCGGTGGCCTCGGGTCCGAGCACCGTGTGATAGAACGACGGGAAAAGACCGCGGTGGGAGGAGGTTGGAGGTGGGCGGGGGAAACCGCCCCGCCTCCCGCCCGCCTGCGCCCCCGCCTCTTGGGCCCGCCAACCCGATGCTCTCCCCGCCCCCTCTTGGGGACCGGGGGGGAGGGCCCAGATTGGGGCCAGGAAGCTCAGCCAACCCTGGCTTTGGTCGGTGGGCGCGCCCTGCCCAGAAATAGCAAGACCCCTCCCTCTTCCTCCACCACCACCGCCCACCGGCCGGGGGCCTGTCATTACGGCGGGCCGCCAGACCACACACCCCGACTGTGGGCGTCTTGCAGGGGTTGGGGCGATGCCCGAAAGAATCCGGCGTCGTCCCGGGGAAGTAACCCAGTCAAGTCAGGTGCCAGCCCGTCTGCTGCTTCAGGGAGCCAGACAACCAGGCCTCCAGTCAGAGATGCCGGGATAATTGGCTTACCCTTCTGCAAAATGGACTCATTGACATGAATGAGGGCGCCCTCAGAAAAGAAGGCCGGAGTCTTGTGCTATGGAGGGAGCTCCCTCTCTTGCTGGGAAGTTTGTAACCCCGGAAGCACCTGCAGAGGGGGCTGTGGCAAGGGAACACTTAAAAGCAAGTAGGCTTTTGGAGCTTGACTTTGTTTTTGAGTCTCTGGCAATCTGTGCAGTAAAATCTGGAAAAGATGCTATCTGGGATGTGGTGATACCACCAGGGACTCTTTTTTTGAGTAACCTCTCAAGGGGCTGTCTGGCAAGGTGTCTCCACATGGACCTCCACTCCCACCCTCAAGTCTGATGACCCAGGCACTCTCTTTATAGGGTATGTAGAAATCCCCAAGGGAAGTCCAGGGATCCAGCTGCCCATCATCCTTTGGGAGAACCCCTTGGGAGAGCTGGCTCTGGGTATGAGAGAACCCCCACAAGAGGGTCCGTATAGGCCTCTGTGCAGCAAATCAGATCCTCCTCAAGTCCTGCTTTTCCCAGGCAGAGACATATGAAATTCCAACACCAGCAGTTGACTTGGCTTCATGTCAAACATCATTCCTATTTACTCACATCACCTCCAGCCCTGAGTTCCAGGTCCCACACCAGGGCACTATCTGGACATGTGGCCTCTCCCTCTACCCGGGTGCCCCTGGTGGGAGTTGCAGGTAGCTCTTCCTTTGCATACCCCAGACCCATCCTGCCCAGGGCCTCTTTTTGCCTCTGGCCCAGGCAGAGGCTCTGCAGCCTCCTCCATGGTTTGGAGTTGCTGGACAGGATGGGCACGGCTGACTCAGAGTTGGCATATGCAACCAGGTTCTGCCAGAAAAGAGGGCTGGACCGCCACGCCTTGTTCAGAGGAGCCAGGCTGCTGCTCTGACCTGGGGGTCAGCCACGCTCCAGTTCTCTCCTGGCTGCCTGCTGCTCCCTCTCACAGACAGGGAGGCACTCTGTTCTCTCTGCTGGATCTCAGCCTGCAAGGTCTTGGTGGCTGTAATTCTTGGGCGTGTCTAGCAAGAGCCTTTGTACTGAACCACAAAGTTGCTAGATTCTGCTTCCTCTGTCCTACCTCCCAGAGTATTCTATGCCCAGCCCTGGTCAGTCCTATAACTGAAATAATGCTTTGCCTACCTGAAAAATAAGTGCCTTCTGCACAGGCACATGCTGGTTTCCTTGCTCTGCATAGTTGCTCCCCATCAGGCCTCCTCTACTAGTCATGGAGGTTACAGAGCCCAGCCTAAGGCCTTGACGCCCCTGATATGCTTAGGAGTCCTGGGAAAGCGCAGCTGAGCTCCCTCAGAGTGCTGGCCCCGTGTCCTTATGCATCAGGAGGTAAAGTGAAGGCGGCCTCTGCCAAGAAGCGGCTGTGGTCAGGAGTGGGTCCTCTGACCATGCCAGGAAGCCGCGAGTGACCTCTCAGGGATCTGGGATGGCTTGACCACAAAGTTTCTGAAACCACTGGTAATCCCAGGGCAGCATGGAATAATTTGGGGTTACTGTGAATCTAATTGTGATGTTTATTTCACTGTAGACTAAGTCCCTATGCTCACCCACACCCCACCCACAGTGAGTGCAGAGACAAGTGTTTGATGTGAGGGAACAGTTAGGAGACTGGCCCACAGGCCCCATCGAGGGAGGAGCCCCAGTCCAGCCCATCTGAGGTTAGAGACATACTTAAAGGGGGTGTCTGCTGAAGAAGACACAGAAACTCCAGTTTGAAAACTGTTCTGCTACTTGACTTATTCAACAAGTATTTACTGAGCGCCTGCTATGCACCAGGCACTGTTCTAAAGACTTGGGAATCATCCATGTACAAACTACACCAGGGAACAAAACCCTGGCCTTCGTGGAGCTTAAATTCTAAAGGAAAAAAAGGAGACACTCTAATAAGCTTAAGAAATGAATTGTTTAGGCTATTAGGTTTAGGGACAACTTATAAAGTAGAATAAGGGAATTTAGGAATAGGGGAGGGTTAGAATTTTAGTAGGTTGGTCAGGCTGGATCTTAAGGGGAAATGGCATTCGGGCCAAGAGTCAAAGGAGGTGAGACAGTAAGTCAATCAGCGCTATTTGGAGAAGGCTGAGAGGACGGGCAAAGTCAAGGCCTTGAGGCAGGAAAATTGCAGGTGTGGCTGCAAATTCAAAGACCAGCAAGGACAGTGTGGCTGGAGAAGGACAGAGACAAACATTCAGTTCAGCAAAACAGGTTGCTCAGACAGTGGGGGGGCAGCTCATGCTTCAAGGGGCGGTCCCAGGTCAAAGCCCTGGTTACTTGGTGCAGGGTGTGCACTCTGCAGCTATTTGGTTAGTCAGAGAGCAAACACAAGTTGCATGCTAGGCAGAGTGGGGGATACTGCCAGCTCCTGGGGAGGCAGAGATGAATTTCTTAGGGGAAAGCAAGGGAAGCAGTGTAGCTCTTAGAGGGAATCGGTTTACAAAGGAAAAACGCTAGTCATCAGTCCCGTGCAAAATGTTAACTGTAGAGTGGTTGGCTGATCTTTCGCTGGCCTTAAAATGTTATGATTATTGAGCTCTGTTGTATTTATTCTAAGCCTCTCTGACCCCCCTCCGCCCCTCAGTGATCTAGCTGCTGTGAATTTGCTCACTGCTGTGTATTAACAAAATGTGGAGTTCTGTGGGGGAAAAAGAAAACTTTGGTTTAGAAAGAAGAAAAAGAACCCTCCGTTCTATAGCAGGGAACAGCTACAAAATTGCATCTTCTTGAGAACTTGCCCAGTAAGAATTCAGTAGCAGCAGGTGTGATATCATTGGTGTTTTTGCTAATATCTCCAAATTAACATCCTTTGAATTCAGAATCACTTCTTAGTTGTTTTCCAAGTCTCCTGATGTTCTTCACACATTAGCGGTTTGTGATTAGTGGGTTCGTGATTAGTGAGAGGTACTTCCCTAGCCTGCCCGCAGGCCTGAATAGGGGCTTACTTAAAACGGGGGGGGGGGTGTCCCCCTAACTTGTGCATAGCAGCGCAAGATTTGAGCACTGCTGGGTTTGATTGGAGACAGTTTGGTGTGGTTCTCTGAAGGCTGATAAATGCAACTTAACGATGCTTAATAAAAAATCTCTATTCCTTTAGTATTAAGAAAGGAGGGGATGGGCCTTAGCAGATTGCTGGTAGGTTGAGGAAGATCAGGACTATGTGTGGCCACTGCCACTGGAGGGTTGGAGGGTTTCCAGAGGTCTTGACCCTGATGGAACACAGGGGGCTATAGCCAGAGGGTGAGAGGGGGATCACAGCTAAAAGGGGTGACCTTACCCAGCCTGAGTCAGACTCCTGTGACCTTCTCAGAGGCTCTTTGGAGGCAGGAAGGAGAGGTCAACAGTGGCACCAGAATCCATTGTCCTTTCCTTCCATGAGATAGGAAAGGCAGGAGTCTCCACAATCAGGACTGCCCTGGCGACGGGACCACTGGGGTCATGCAGATCTGCTTCGAACGATAGAGCGGAGGAAGCCCCCTCGACTATTCCACCTCTCATCCCACCCACAGTTCCTTCCTTTGCTGAGGGTGTTACCAATCTGCAGACAGTCAGACCAAACAGCCCACTTACCACAGCTTCCTCCAACCCCACCTTCTCCTAAACCCACCCTTTAGGGTACATACCAGACAGCCGTGGGAGGAAGGCCTTCCAAGATAGGCCTGCATAGACCCTGCCACTGGGCTTATGTTTGGGCAAATCATATCGCGGTGCTGGATAGCTGGAGGGCAGGCATGTGACACGTCAACTTTGTGACCTCCTCACTCCATGGAAAAGGGTGGCGCTGGAGGAGGGGCAGAACGGGTTCCTGTCAAGTACTCAGTCAGGGCCTGTCACTGTCTGAGGAGAGAAGAGATACTGGAAAAAAACAGACATGGGTGGGGCCCAGGTCTGTGGGCAGCAGCAGACTCCTCCCAGGAAGTGGGTTTCAGGCTATAAGGCACGCAGAAGCACCAGGACCAGCGGGTGCCTGGTTGCCTCCTGGTGTGAGCAGAGCTGTGGTGTACTGATGATGAGGGCCATGTGACGTGATGCTGCTGTTCCACACACAGGCAGCTCTCTTCCCCACCTCAGTGGGTGACATGACTGTGTTGCATACACACTCACATACACACCCCTCACGTCGGAGTCATTCTTGACCCTTCTCTCACTCCCATGATCCATCTGCGGTTCTTGTCAATGCACCCTTTCTCTCCATTTTTATCTCACCCTAGGCCAGGCTCCCTTGATCTATTTTCTAACTTATGCAGTAGTTTTGGAACCTCCCTAACGCCTCGGTGCTGAGGCGCTGGTGCAGCCAACCAGTCTGTTCTCACACAGCAGCAGGCTTATCTTAGTAAAACACAAAGCTGACCAGACACACCCCGCTTGAAGTCTAAATTCTCTAACGTTGCACCAAACTCATTTATAGTTGGCTCTTGCCTAACGGTTTCATTCTTCCCCCTGAGTCGCTTTAAGTCCCATTCCTGACTTCTTTCATTTCTTCCACATGTGGTGCCCTCACCCAGCTTTTGAACAAAGGGGTCCTTCTGCACAAGGATCTTTCTCTCTTGGTTGCTCCTTCCTTCCTTCCTACTCGTCCTTTTTTTTTTTTCCTAAAAAAAAAGGTATAATTTATAATAAAGCAAAATTCACCCTATGTATGTATAGTCCACCACCATCGACATATAGAATCACCCACCACGCTCCTTTCTTGCCGGCCCATCGGCTCCTGGCAATATGACCTGTTTTGTTTCACACTGTTGAATGTGAAACAATGCCCTGTCTTTGAGTCATTCAGTATGTGTGTAACCTCTTGAAAACGGTGTCTTTATCTAGCATAATGCATTGGATATTCCTCTCTGCTGTTGTAGTATCAACAGTCTGTTTCCTCTTTATGGTGCAGAGTGTTCCCTTGTTCGAAGTACTGCAATTTATCCTTTTCCAGTGGGAAGGTCATTGGAGGGTTTTCCAGTTTTTGGAGATTATAGACAAATCTCCAAAATATTTGCGTGTAGGGTTTTGCACGCACCTAACTTTTAGGTAAAATACCTGGAAGTGGGATTGCTGTATGTGTAATTTTCTAAGTGCCAAACTCTGTTTTCCAGAGCTGCGGTGCTCATTTGTATTCCCATCACAATGACATGAAAATTTAAACTTAAATTCCACTTGTTTATGCAGTTTATTTCTTGACTTTCTACTAAGTATGCAATGGTATCACCTTGTGGTTTTAATTTCCACTTCAGTGATGACTAGTGATGGTAGCCAATTCATTTTTTTTTAAGATTTATTTATTTATGCATACAGAACTGGGGTACAGGCCAGAGGTGCGGGCGGTGAGAGGATTCACCAGAGACCGAGTGGGGAGCAGAACAGGCCGGCCCACGAAATACACTGCTGAGGGGAGCAGCGGGCGGGCCAGGAGAGGTCTGCCGTGCCATGTGGTCACCTCCGGGGCAGGCAGGAATCGAACTCATGGAGAAGTGGCTTTAGCTTCTTAGTGCTGTGCTTTAACCTGCTGCGCCACCATGGAGGGCCTGCCAATTCATTCTTTTAAATCTCTGCTTGGCCTTTAGTCGTTGGGAAAAGCCTCTATTCATGCTCGTTCAATAGGCTTATTATGTTCCTATCCTTTGTGATTCCATGGCAACCAACATATATCTCACCTTGACCGTAAGCCACTAACTGCAGCTCTCTTCGATTGCTCTCTCTTTCTTTCTCTTTCTCAGACACCCACAGAAGTAACATCCTCTTTTAGAATAGTGTTTTCAAATTTTATTTTGATTTTTTTCAGAAGTATTATCTTACTTTCCTTCAGTATCTCCAGCAGCCTAGACCTGAAACAGAATTCTATATAATAAATATTAAATAGGAGACTATAATTACTGAACAAGTAAGAGAGTGGAGGGGTGGAGGTAGCTAGGAGGAAGGTTTTGCACTCAGACTGGCCTTTTGCAAATTAGCCCTTTCCTCACTGGCGCCCCCAACATGCAGCTTACAAAAGGTAAACCCAAAGATGCGAGTGTTTATTAGTGTTGAGGATACCACACGCCCACGAGGGCGAGAAAGCGGAAGAGGCGGGGCAGGAAGAGGAAGCGCGACAAAGGAGTTAGCGGCTTCCCAGTTGCCATGGAGACTGGATGGCCGAAGGAGGTCCCGACCACAGAGTCTGGATCCTACGCGTTTGCCGGGGCAACGTGGACGCCGAGCCCGCGCCTGGCCCGGATCCGCAGCCCTAGCCACTCAGTCTGGCTGTCCTCCCGCGCCTACTCCGACGCCTTCAACTACAACTTAGGGGCCCGGCCCGGCCGCTTAGCGCCGCTGCCCGAGCCGCACCTGCTGCGTCTGCGTCCCACCTCTCTGCGCACCCAGGAGATCTCACACTTGCTCACGGGCGTCTTCCGCAACTTGTACACTGCCGAGGTTATCGGCGAAGAGGTGAGCGCCAACTTGATCAAGGCCCGCGGCAGCGAGGATGTGCACCACGAGGAGTTCGTGGACCAGCTGCAGCAGGTAAGCTTCGGGCTGTCCAGGTAGCGTCTCCTTAGCTGACCTTCCAGGGGAACCCAGAGCTCCCCCCCCCCCCCCCGCAAGCCTACTCCCGCCGAACTCAGCCACTCGATAAATGTCAGCGCCTGTCTGGTGCCAGATGCAGGTCCAGGCGCTGGGGTTGCAGCTGGGACAGGGGACGCCGTCCATGCCAGCGTGTGACCGACCTTCTAGTGGGAGGATACTGTATACGTGCGTGCTAACACACGCACAAATGCAGCTCCCCACAGATCTGTAGCACTTCTCTAGCTTTAAGCCTCTATGCACACACAGACCCCACCCCCACCTCATACCCCCCAATAATGTGTTGAGTATATAGATGGCTGGGGCGTCTAGTAGCTAGCTGTTCCCGGACATAACGCTGAGAGTCACCCCACTTTTGGACGCCTGCATCACAAACCACAATCTCCAGGATGGCATTCATGCCCGGGGGCTTAGGAGGCATGGCCAGTCTCCGGGACGGCAACTCTGCTTCCTTAGCTGTACAACAAGGAAAATAACCTTAAAGGGAGCCTCAGGTGAGTGCTTTTAAGCTGTTGAGGTAGATTCTGAGAGCTGACAGCTGTAATCTATTCACTATACTCCCCGCAGCTGGGAAGCAAGTCATCCTTTATAGCTGGATCTGCCTGGCACATGATGTGCTAACTTGTGTGTGCTTTTCAGGGCTTGGAACCTGGAGTCCGGAGACTTTCAGGATTGGCTCTTACTGGCTTTACTATGAAACTTCTAAGCTTTCTCCCTTTGTGGTCTGTTTATGTTAGTTCTGTGACTGTTCCTTATGCTTCAGTGGAAGCCCGGAAACGGGTAGGTTTGTATAAAGCTACCCCACCTCACCGTTTCTGTGCAACTGATCATCCACCTACCAGATTCGGGAGCTCTATAAGCAGCGGCTGGATGAGGTTGAGATGCTGGAAAGACACATCATCGAAGCCCGAGCCAGGGCCCTGGCGGAGAAAGAGCGGGTCACACGGCAGATCCAAGTCGAGGCCACTGAGTCGTTCACCTTGCCTCCAGGTGAGTAGGGGTTCCCTGCAGCCTGGTTCCCCAAGTCTTACTGTATTACTCTCCTTGCTTCATTTCCTGCTCTTGGTTCTTTTGGAGGGCAAGTTTCAGACATACAGTCCTGTTAGCACAAAACACTATAGTGTGTATGTCTCCAAAACAGGAGCGCTCCCTTAAAAACCAGCTGTCTGGAAAATCAGTATTGACACACAGCACACCTCCACGTCACCGGCTGTCCCAAGGTGGCTTTCTCCTTTCTTGTCCAGAATCCTTTCTGGAAAGCCATGGCATATACTCATCATGCCTCTTTTTTCAGACTCAGTTGTTTGGAATTAAACCCTCCATCTTTTCCTGTCTTTCATGTTCTTGATAATTCTTTTCCATCTTTTTTTTTTTTTTGGTGGCAAAATCTGCCTAACAAAATGTACCACCTTAACAACTTGGACAGTTCAATGGTATTCTATTCAATGCATTCATAACGTTGAACAACCATCACCTCCATCCAGCTGTATGTCTACCTCCATCACCAAATGTTTTCATCACTCAGCAAAACAAACTCTGTACCTAGTAAATAATAACTTCCCAGTCATTCCTATGCCCCCGGCATAGGAATCATTCTGATTTTGATGACTTTACCTCATATAAGTGAATCATAAAGTATTTTGAGATTGGCTTAGTTTACTTAGAATGTCCTTGAGTTTCAACCATGTTGTAGCATATTGCAGAATTTCCTTTTTAAATGCTAAATAGTATTCCATTGTATATATGTATGTACAACATTTTGCAAATCCATCTGTTGATAGAAACTTGGGTTGTTTCCACATTATTTGTTATGAATAATGCTGTGTGAAATGGGTACAAAAATTTCTCTCCAAGACCCCGCTTTCAATTCTTTGGGGGTATAGACACAGAAATTTAATTTCTGGGTTATATGTGCAATATTGTGATTTATAAAAACATGTCTATTCATATGACCAAAATGTGTTTTTCATATATGTGATGTTCACTCACAGTTCCTGACTTACAGCTCACAAAGCCCTTTCCTAAATGAGGAGAGTAATACAGGTGTCTCTTGTTTTGTTAAAAAGGTAACTTGGGGGAAACACCTGAGGACAGGGTCTCAGATGTTGCCAGGGAAACCAACATGCTTTTCGAGGGGGGTGGGGGATGGGGCAAGAGGTTGATTTCAGTTGCTAAGGCCAGTGATAAGGTCTTTACTAAGTAATGAGGCCTCTGAAGAAATGCCACAGGAGAGGCTTTGAGGTCGGTTGGTGGACGGGTGGCGACTTGGTTAGTGTGGCCATCTGGAGAGGGCACGGAGACTCTGCCGTCCTAGCACTCCTGCAACTGGCTGTCCTATGAGTGAGTGAATTCCTGAGTTCTGTGAGCCACTTTAGCAAATTAAAGGAGCCCACGTTGGGTTACTTGGGAACCTCTGGTTCATAGCCAGCGAGTGAGACGCACAGCACTGCGGCTGGTATCTGAAGTGGAGACATCTCGGGCACTGAGCCCTTGACCTTGGAGCCTGACGCTGTCTGTGGGTAGGTGTCAGAATTGTGTTGAGGCCTCAGGTGCCTCGCCAGGGTCTGAGGATTAATTGTTGAAGTGGAGAATCTTCCACACACTCACACTGGAATGGGTCCAAGAACCATGTACATCTGTACCATTTTTAAATTCCTGCATAAAGATGTCACTTTCTCCATACCCTTACCAACACTTACTTTTTAGTAGCTGCCTTCCTAATGGCTTGAGTGGTATCTCATCGTTTTGATTCTGTCTCCTTGCTGACATGACATTGAGCCTTTTTTCATACGCTTGTTGACCATTTGTTTATCTTCTTTGAAGAAATGCTTGTTCGAATCCTTTTTGTTTCTAATCAAAAATAACTTGTGAATTTGGTAAAAAAAAATTTTCTGGCCATAATTTGTTATATCATGGCAAATGCTCTTAGCAATTTCTTGGTAGTTTTCTCAAGTAAATATTGAATATTGGCTTGTAACATACCAGTTTTCGGTATGCAGCATTAAAATTTGATTTCTGTATAAAATATTGCATCATGATCGCCACCAAGAGTCTAGTGTTCATTCATTACCATACAATTGACTCTGTCTATCCGGTTCACCTATTCCCCTGCCCATTTCCCCTCTGATAACCTTCAAGCTCTTCTCTGTATCTAAGAGTTTGTTTTTGCTTGTTTGTTTTTTTTTTAAATGTAATATGTTAGTGGAATTGTATAATCTTAGTCTGTATATCAGGCTTACTTCATTTAGCTAATACCCTCACTGTCCATGTAGGTTGTAGCAAATGGCAACATTTTATTTTTCACAGCTGAGTAGTAGACCATTGTACATAAATACCAAATCTTCTTTATTCATTCATCTGCTGATGGTACTCTGAAGGAGGTTCACATTCAGTGTGCTCCTTAAATTCTAAAGTTAGTCTGGTGACCTGTAATCTTTTTTGCTTTTAATATGTGTTAATAAGTTTCCTCTTAGCATCACTTTGACTATGCCTCATATGCTTTGGTATGTTGTTTTTATTTTCATTCAAATGTATTTCTAATTTCCCATGTGATTTCTTCTTTGATCTATTAGTTCTTTAAAAGATGATGCTTAGGGCCCTCTCTGGTGGCATAGCAGGCTGGCATGTACTAAGAAGCTAAGCCAAGCCATGGCAAGTTTGATCCCCGCCCCAGAGGTGATCACCTGGTGCAGCAGACCTCTCCTGTCTCGCCTGCTGCTCTCCTCAGCAGTGTACTTGGTCGATCTGCCTATTCTGCTCCCCACTCTGTCTCTGCTGAATCCTCTCACTGCCCCTGTACCTCTAGTCTATACGCCAGCTCTGTATGCATAAATAAATAAAATCTGAAAAAAAAAAAAAGATGCTTAACCTCCACAATTTTCAGTGAATGGTAATGGTAAGATGTTCCTGGCTCATCTCATGTAATTATTGGTCCAGACCTAGAATTAACTGTTTCTCCAAAATGTTCTGGTTCTTTTGACGCCCCCACTGACTTTGCTCTGTCCTCCTGCATCCCTGAGAGTGGTGTTTTTGGAGCAGTAGGCAGAGTGCAGGACTTTTAGGACCGGGAGACTTGACACATCTCTGCCCTCGAGGGGGAAGTGAAAGAGGTAGTGACTGGGGCAGGCATTGCACTTGCTCAGGTTCCTGCTAGGCCAGACTCTGTGAAGGGGGCTTTGCTCGCTTAGCCCATGAAATCTTTCCAACTGCCTGTGAGGTAGATTTTCTCTCCATTTTCTAAATGCAGGAACTAAACCTCAAAGATTAATTAACTTCCTTAAGTTCCTACAACCCCGAGAGTGGAGGGGTCCACATTTGAACTTGAATGTGTCTGCTTTCAAGACTCACCTCTTTCTTCTACTAGAAGGAGCAGGGGCTGTTGACCAGCAAGCGCATAGATGGCTTTCTTAGGGTGTGACTCTGAGTAGATGACTTCCCTTGGGGACAGTTCTAAGTGTGAGTCCCTCCGGCAGGCTGGCCCTTCAGGTCCCCTTAGACAATGAACAGTCAGCGTCAAGTCCAAGCCTTTTCCTGGCCTCCCTCCCCTACAGCAGATTCTCTTAGCTGCCCGGACCCCACCCTCCAGTAAGGATTTAGGCAGCGATTCCTGGTAGCAGGCTCTTACGAGGTTTTATTGGTTGCTGACATCCTCTGTGTCCTGGAAGTCAGTTACCGACCCTGCCATTCCTTGGCTTCTGTTTTTGTTTTTTTTCTTTCACTAGAGATTGGAGATGAAGGAACAATTTTTTAAAGATGAGCTGAAACATTGCAACTTGAAAACAAACACCACTCAGTAGTTTGGTTTTGGTTTTGGGGTTTTTTTGGTTTTGTTTTTTTGTTTTGTTTTCTTTTTTGATGGCCTTTGTTTCATTTTGTTCTCAGGACAATGTTAAGCTACAATCAGATAACTTCTGCCCTGGTTTCTGTCTTGTTCTGGAAAGGTTTCTTTTATTTCAAAAGTAGCACAAAGATCTCCCTCCGGGGCCCGGACGCTCTCCTCTGGCCCTTGCTTCTTAGCACAGCACAAGGCAGCCCCCAAACATCTGTCTTTGATGACTTAGAGGCTTGGTGGTAGGTACATCCCAGGGACTTTTCCTATTGAAGGCGCACAAGAGGCCTTTTTCTGTTTGCTAATACAGATTTCACAAGGTGGAAAACTTGTAAATTCTCCAAATAGCGGGAGGAAGATTAAAATTCTGCAGCACGCCTTGTGCTCTCATTCCACTCCCTTGCTGATAACTGGTCCACGTTATCTTTTGGGGGATGAGTCACTCAATCCCTCAGGAGCACGGGGTCAGTGTAGGAATCTGCCTGTCCCAAAGGGAGGAAGACAGTCACTAGACCAGGATTTGCCCAAGATCTGATGAATAAGCGGCCTCCTGCCAGTCCCTAATTACCACATCATGGGGGAGGCTGGCGAGAATGGTATCAGAAGAGAGAGGCTGCATCCTGCCGTGTGCTCTTTGCCCTCTCGATGGACGTTTTACCTTGTTTTTAATGTTTAAAATTGGCCCTCACTGGAGTCTCTAGCAACTGGGCTTCGTTGTCTCAGCCTGGCATTACTGCCATGCCCTGCTGAGACGTCTGCACTGCAAGGGAGACCAGGGACTGTGTCCCAGAATGTGCCTTCCCTCATGGTTCCAGCACAGAAGGCCACAGTGAGCCTTGTACAGGTCACTGGCCTCAAAAAGCAGCTAGGCAGATGATACAGCAGCTGCAGTGCTTGCAGAAGTTTCTGGTCACTTCTTCAGTGCTCCCTGCCTCAGTGCTGCTGGCTGGAGCTGCTGCTGGCTGGAGCTGCTGGTGGCTAGCTGTGTTGCTCCCTTCCAGACCGTCACCCCTGCATTCAAACCTTTCAACTCTGTGGCTGGCTTCACTCACCCTGCCGTTTGTTGCTGACTTTTCTTTGCCTGATGGAAATCTGACTGTCATAGTAACTGGGCCAAACCCCCAAGTTTCTAAATTAACAGATACGACGGGAGGAGCATATATGCCTCCCGTGTCTTCCCTATACCCTTTGTTTCAGGGACCAGCCAAAGGGCAAGGCCACGCTGGTAAATGGCGCAGCCAGACTTTGTGGCCTGCTCTGTTCACCTTGCCTTTGCTGCCCACTCATCCCATTTGTTTCTTCATTTTTATCAAGTTATTCATATACATGGTTTAAAAAGTCTGAGTTCAGAAAAATTTCTCATGCAATACGAAAGGCCTCTTTCTGAGCATGTCATTGTGAATTTGTCCAAATCCACAGACGGCACCAAGATTGAGCCATACGCTGACTGATGGACTTCAGTGAGAGATTGTCAAGGGTAGCTCGTGAGCCACTCTTGGGGCACTGATGAGGTCCACGCCAAGCAGTCAGTGTCAACTCTGATCTTTGCCCGTCCCTCTTCCCCTCCAGCAGAGTCTTGTAGCTGCGAGTCTCCCTTCTCAAATACTGGCCTTGCTTACATTTCTCCCCTGGCAGATGGAACCCCTAAACAGCAGGAGCACGTCTGGCTTGGTCTTGTATCCCAAAGAAGGGCACACAGGAGTCTTCAGTTTTATTGGCTAATGATATGTGAGGGTGGGAGGCATTTTCTCAAATTTGCTGCCAACCTAAAATTGCTCCAAAAAACTGAAGTCTAGTTGGAAAAAAAAAAATCTCACACCTTCCCTCTCAACCTCAGTTCAAAGGTGGTCATTTATAGCTTTCATTTATCTGGGAACCTCTAAATATTAGGTCTTTTCTACTGTCTCCAGGCTCATCAACTACAGAAGTTCATGATCGACTTCCCACTCTGTTAAACACGATTTCTCCCCTGTGTGTTGGTGGCTCAGCTGGGGGTTTGCTGACTAGGCTGCTGTCAAGGCATGGCTCCCGCTGAACTTGCAGGCTGGGCAAAACTCTGCTCTTTGTGAGTTCCTGCTGGGGTTCAAGATGGTAGGGTGCTTCTCAAGGGCAGCGAGGCCCTCACGCTGATGGCAAAGGCCCAAGAGGAAAAGTTCAGCCACATGAGCACATTTCAAGCCCCTGCCGATTTCTCAGTGGCCGAGGTCCATCACGTGACCAAGGTCAGGGTGAAGAAGTACACCCTGGTTCTATTTGCAGGAGCTGCTAGCCACGTGGTAAAGGGCATGGGAACAAGAAGATAAAAGAATTGGGGCCGTTTGTTCAGTCGGCCGTTGTTGTGGAGCAGCCACAACAAACAGCAGGCCAGGGTCTTTGAAGGTGGGAACAGCATTGGCCAGCGGAGGTTCACAAAAAGGGAAGGGGGGCTGAGGAGTGAGAAAGACACAGGAACCAGTTTCGGGTAAAAGTGTCTCCGGCCCTCCCTGGTGGCGCAGCGGGTTAAAGCACAGCACTAAGAAGCTAAAGCCACTTCCGCGTGAGTTCGATCCCCGCCTGCCCCGGAGGTGACCACATGGCGTGGCAGACCTCTCCTGACCCGCCCACTGCTCCCCTCAGCAGTGTACTTCGTCAATCTGCCTGTTCTGCTCCCCCACTCTGTCTCTGGTGAGTCCTGTCACCCTCTGCATCTCTGGCCTGTACCCCAGAACTGTGTGAATAAATAAATCTTTAAAAAAAAAAAAAAGTGTCTCCTGCTCGATTCTGACCAGGACTTTATTTATACCGTGCAGCAAGTAGTCAATCACAATAATGCATTTGGTAAGGTATATAGATAAGAATTCACCATTAAAGTCCTCAAGGAAGAGGGGGACAATGCATTCTTTCTTGACTCTTCATGGTATACTAAATTATACAGTTTTGATAATCATGTATATGGATGGTTAACCTACAACTCAAATGACAAGGGTCTTGGGAAAGGATGAATTTTATATTAACAAAGGGTTGTGAGGGGTCTAGGGAAGAAATACACTTTGTGTTAGCAGAGAGTCATTAATGATTGTCTAAAGAAAGGCTAATGGCTAATTTAAGGTTAGCAGAGAGTAGTTAGTGATTGTTTAAGGAAAGACTAGTTTAAGGCTAGCAGAGAGTAGTTAGTGATTGTTTAAGGAAAGGCTAATTCAAGAGGAATTTATACAGCCATACATTAAGCAACACCTGTTAAAACTTTAGGAAACTGCCCGAGAGTCCTTACCCCTGGGGATCGTCTCTCTGGAGGTTTGCTTTTTGTCTCAAAAGACAGAGGCATGGGGTCAGGCAGCCATTTTATGAGGCTAAAGCAATCCAGTTGTAAGCTGATGGTTGCTCAGAACATTTTTAATATTATGATTATATGAAAAGGGAGGCCATAACATAAGCCAGCAGTGGAAATTTCCAATCTTTCAGTAAATTTCCTTCTCTGCCCAGAATTTGTCCGTCGACAGGAATTGCGTAGCCTGTGCTTGATTCTGTTCTACACCTCTCTGTGTCAAAGACGATGTTCTATCTCACAGAATCTCACAGCACAGCCTTGCCCAAGGGGAGGAGGCCTCTTTGAAGTGGCCAGTAAACATTCACTAATGTTACTTCAATCTCAAAATTACCAGTGTTCTGAGAAAAATGTTATTAGAGGGTTTAGGCTTGAGGATGCAAAAAGTGTGGGTGCAGGTGCTTCAACGTCAGCCTGGCTTCAAACGCTTGTCCTCGTTCCCTTTTGTGTAGTGAATTCCATCTTCAGATGGTGTGTGGACAATGAGCTGCTACAGAAGCATCACTTGATCTCTCCAGACGATTACTACACTGATCCAGTGCCCTTCTGCTCTGCACCGAAAGGTAACGCCCCGTGTGCTCTGCCGGTCTAGTCTCACTGCAGGGAACTTCTCTAGCAGCAGGACCACCCTGACCACCTTTGTTTCCACTTCCGTGAATTTCCCTTCAATTCTGATAGTCACTGTGGGCGGGTCAGCTCTGAGTGTCCCACTTCCTCACTGGCTCCCCACCACCTGCAGCCCAAAAGTTTCCACAACCCAACATTGCCAGTTGCCCAAGATCAAGAGGTATGGAAATGTTTCAAGAGGTAGTTGAATGAACATCGGGAGGGAGGGTCTGCAGACCTAGCTAAGCAAAAGAACAAGTTCGTAATGGTGTCAGTACAGAGTCTGAGGGGCCTTCCCATCCCCTGTGCAGGGAAAGAGGACTGTCCATCACTCAAGTATGGAATCAGGAAGTGGAGAAAGAGACATACATGTCTGTGCTCTGGCCAGCTTCCCTGCTTCCTGTCTGGGAAGCAAGATCTGAGAAAGTGTGGGATGGGAGTCGTGTTGTGGGCTTAAACAAAGCAGTAGACCTTTGGAAGAGTCGCTGTGTGGATCTTGTCACCCAAAATCAGGACGGCCTTGCAGTGCCAAGCTCAGAAGACAAGCTTGTCCACAACCCAGTGGCTAAGATGCTTAGATCTCTGGCATTCAAACTGAGAGGCGTTGGGGTGGGAGGATTGGGCCCAGTGAACTGAGGGTGTTGATTAGGAAAGATTTTGCCTGACAAGTTGAGCCACAAAGAAAAGTAAGGCCAGAAAGCAGTAGCAGAAGCAAGAGCCCGGGGATACTGGTCATTTGCCGTTGGCTGTTCTAAAGGTTGGAGTCACGCGATCTCGTGCAGATGGATAAGGATGGCGGTAACATGTGCTAAGCGCGGACCCTGTGCTCGGACATGTGTGAGGGTCCTAGCAATGAATGTTTTCATTTCACCTTTTGGGGATGATGATACAGGTGTAAAAAAGCTACATCTTTGATTCATGTGCTTGCATTTTAAAAAGCATATTCAGGGGGCCTCCCTAGTGGCACAGCATTTGGGGACATGGCATTGTCAGGCTGTCACTAGCCACTGCAAGATGAGTTCAATCCCCAGCCAGGGCAGGTGACACACATGGCACAGCAGACCTCTCCTGTCCTGCCCGCTACTCCCCTCAGCAGTGTGTTTCAGTCCATCTGCCTGTTCTGCTCCTCACTCTGTCTCTGGTGGGTCCTCTTACCCACCATGCTTCTGGCCTACACCCCAGTTCTTGCATGCATAAATAAATGAATCTTTCAAAAAAAATTTTAAGTGCATTCACTCAGGGCATGTGTACACACATGCTTTTGTGTGTGAAGACATTCTACTCATGTTCTTTTACCATGCTCAACAAGTGAGCAAACATCTTAACATTCAAACTCTAAGTCTCCAGCACACAGAATAAGTTCAGGAGTTGTTTATATGCCAAAGAGCAATTATATGCAATGCAGCAAACAAGAAAAATCAGAAAAAATTACCAAGCTAGGTGTGGCGCAGGCGGTTTTCTTTGGCCCTCCTGGGAACGCTGGTTCACCTCCCCACCTGGTGTGCTCCGTTTGTCTCCTTGGTGCTGCAGGCAAATTTGCCCCTCGATATACCAGGACGACATTTAGCTATGAGATGCGTACCGTCCCGAAGAAAGACCCGGCCAAGAAACCTGGCCCCTCTAAGAAGCTGCTCCCTAAGTTAGAAGAGTCAGACTACACTGTGGACAGCCTGACGTGGGGCCCGCCTTCAAAGGCCAAAGTCGGTACCAAGGAGACTGTCAAGGTGAGCGCTGAGGCCTGGGCTCAGCAGTGTGTGTGGGCAGGAGGCCGGCAGGTAGTGAGGGTCACAGTGGTTGTGACGAAGCCACAGCAGGACAGGGCGTTGGTGTGGCCACCCGTGCATCATGCCATCCGCCGAGGTGTCAGCCCACACGGTCCCTCCTCCCGTCACTGACTCTGGACATCGTTGTATTTTTTAAAGAGCTTACCTGTTTGTTTAGAGCTCTTGGTGCTTCACATGGCTTTTCTTCTATTTCAAAAAAGGCAGGTCCACCAAAGAATAAAAACTGGATGAATCACTTACGTATGCCCCAGAGAGAGCTGGAGCGACTTCTGCTTGCCAGGATGGAGAGCCGGAACCACTTCCTGAAAAACCCTCGTTTTTTCCCTCCTAACACTCAGTATGGGGGCAAGTCTCTTCTCTTCCCTCCCAAGCCGCCGGCCCTGAGGGGAGCATGCCAGAGTGTGGCGTCGGGCCAGAGGTGTGTGCTTCCCTGATTCGTATTCTCAGAAAGTCTAATCCTTAGAGTGAAACCCAGAAGGTCCTGGGTAGGCACTGGCATGTGGAAGATTCCAGATTTTTGGGGTAGGGGCAGGGTGACAGTATCAGAGTAAGGTAGGGGTTCTGAGGCCCCCGTAGTCCTGTAGACATCCCCCAGAGTCCCTGGGCTGTGCTTTCCTGCCCTGCAAGGGTCTTGAGGAGCGGGGTTTGGCCCTTGGTTTACAGCCGAACACTCTGGGTGAAATGGGAGGAGTCTCTTAAGCCATGTGCACCTTCCATCAGCTCCATGTCTTAGATTCATATGTCTCAGATCATGAAATGTTGAATGTGGTTACAGATAATTGGTATCAACTGTGATTTTGCCTTAGGTGTGTGCCTTGGCAGCATTTTAGTAATGGTCCTTAAGAAGGGTGTGAGCTGCTTCAGACATTCGTAATTTTAATAGCCTTAAAGTTATTAGCATTCCTTATTAGACAGATTCTTTTTATTGACAAAACTCAGAAGACTGGTGTTTGCAAAGAGAAGCAGCATCTGCATTAAAAATTCAGTTAAGATGTTAGTAGTAACATTTCGGTTTTTCCTATGTTGAAAATGAAATACGTCGCTTCGTATATCTGCACAAAGTTTCGTTTGTGCTGTAAATTTATATTGTAGTCTGCGTTAACAACAGCATCAAAACCTGTAACAAATCTCTTATTGAATGGCTGTATTTATTTTACATGAATCGATCACTGCATATATTTCATCTCATGGATTAAACTAACCGCCTCGCCCCTCTCCTCCCTCACAGTTGTGCTGACACACCAGTGTTTCTGGCTAAGCCATCAGTTGGATTTTTCACAGATTATGAAATTGGACCAGTGTATGAGGTAGGACTCATTTCTTATATGCCCCATTGCACTTGAGTTCTTATCTTTTTAAAATCTTTATTATTTATCCATTATTCGTAGAATTTTAGAACCATGCACAAAAGTAGGGAAAAACCAATGTCTGTCACCCTTTTCACCATTTATTTCAATTCTGTGAATCTGGTTTCAGTTACCCCCCAATTCTCACACACACACACACACACACACACACACACACACCCTTTCTTTCTCCTTTTATGTGTCTGTGTACATGGACGAACACAGGAGTATTTTAAGGAAAAGCCTAGAGGGCGTGTCGTTTTTCAGTTAATACTTCAGTCAGCATCTTGGAAATAGAAGGAACTGTTCAAAATCATTATCATCCCCACAAACATTAACCATCTTTCCTTCATATTAGCTATTACCTTCTATGTCTGATTTCCCTCATTGTTCTAAAGGTGAATTTACCTTGGTTTCTTTGAATTAGAATTCAGATGTTGCCTTTGGTTAAAATATCTCATTTCTCTTTCAACTGATGATAATTCCTCCTCCTCCCCCTGCTCTTTAAAATCAAATTTTTGGATAAATATGTGTACGACTTTGAGAAAAAATCAAAAACATCATTAAAAGAAATATTAGAGGAGATCCAGATAGATGGATAGATGTGGGAGTGACATGGTGAAGCCAGGGCCTGTCAGCTCTCGAGAACTGACCCTCCACGCCCCTTCCCAACTTCCTGTTCAGTGATGTCACACTGGCATCTTGAACGTGATCATAACAGCAGTATTGACATCCAAGAAATCAGTGAACATTTAAATTACCAAATCAAGAATTAGTTGATAAAGTAACCGAACGGCCTCTCTCCATGGATTGGAGACTCATTTATAAAGAGATGCTGTCAAAGATAATCCAGAGGAGTCAGTTATCTGCATGCTTATATGAGGAATAAGCAGCACTCTACTGGTGTCAGTAAAGAAAGGTAAAAATAGACTTGCTGTCTGTCTGCTGGTTAATGCTGACTCAGTTCCTGTACCCCTGGGCCTCTCCCATCAGCCTGCTCCCCTTCCCTTCCTTTTCCTATCATCTCTCCCTTTCCTTTCCTTCCTCACAGCACAGTGGTTGTTTACCCCAAATCTCAGAGAGAAATACAGTGTGGGAGTCTGTTACAGAAATTAAATTAAATCTAGCACTGTCAGTTCTCCCTGGCAGCTCAGGGGTTAAAGTTTCAGCTCTATAATGCTGTCACAGCCTCTGCAGCATAAGTTTAATCTCCAGCCAGGGAGCTGACCCACATGGAACACTCTCCTGTCCCGCCCACTGCTCCCCTCAGCAGTGTATTTCAGTAGATCTGACTGTCCTGCTCCCCACTCTGCCTCTGGTGAATCCTCTTACCTCTGCACCTCTGGCCTACACCCCAGTTCTTGTATACATAAATAAAGAAAATAAATCTTAAAAAAAAAAAAAGAAATCGAGCACTGTCTCCTAGAAACATGCCTTGTCTCTGTTGGGTATACAACTATGAATGGCACAGTTTTTTACCCAGCTGAACCTAAAGTTTAAGAATAAAAACATTTTTAGGGTTCTTTAAACAGTTGCGTCCATCCCCCACCACTTGCAGAAGAGAATAAACCCAGGAAGAAGGAAGGCATGGCAGGTAAGAGGGAAAGGAGAGCCCCAATACAGGACAGAAGTGAAGGAAATCCCCAGGTTATGGGATTTTCCAGTGACTGTTGCTGCAAAGCAAATTTCCCCAAAGCCTAGTAAGTTAAAACAACCCTCTTGTTAGCCTTGCAGATTCTTTGCATCAGCAGTTCAGGTCGGTCTCAGTGGGAATGGCTTGTTCCATGGCATCTGAGTCTGTGGCTGCCATCACCTTTGGGTGATTTGAAAATTGGCGCTTGGAATTTTATCTGAGGCCCATTTTCACTCACTTGGTAGCCAAGGACGGTCATCTGTAGGCAGCACCCCCGTCAGCTTCTCCACATGGTCTGCCCTCCCGGGGCAGCCGGGGTCTTACATGAGCCCCGAGGATCAGAGCTGCTCAGAGAGCGTCCCTGCAGGCCAGATGGAGCTCACGTCTCTGTGATGATGTCACCTGGTGGGTGCTTGGAGCAGTGGACAAAGCAAAGCCACTGCTTCCTTGTTCTAGGTTACTAGTGAGCCACTAAGTTTGGCCCACATTGAAGGGGAAGATGCACAGACCTCTCCTCTCCATGGAGGGGTATCAGAGGGCTTGTGCACATCTAAATCACGACGAGGCTTCTCCTGGGTGAGAGCCGTAGGTGTGCCCGGCGCTCCGTCCAGCTTGGGAGAGGCGAGAAGGCTCTAGCAGCGGTTTATGTTTGGAGGCAGCATTGAGGAGTGCCCGACCATCTGCACGTCTTTGGTAGAGGCTGCTGAGGAGTGGAGGGGGTTGAATTATTGATCGGTACATAGCAAAGAAAATAATTGGTTATTAACTCCCAGAAAATAAAAAATGAAGGGATAATTTCACGTTCAGCTGTGGATCGCGTTTAATGTACCGTAAGTAAGCGTTAATTTCTGATCTAACAAGTAGTATGGTAGAACATCTAGTGGGAAGGTGAGGGACAGCAAGGATGCCATGTGGTGAGTTGGATACTGGAGACAAAACAAGAATGTGCATGTTATCCATCCCTAATTCAGGCCTGAAAGTGAACCTTCCTCCTCACCCCCAAAAAGTAACATGCTATTTGGAGACATGGAAATAAATCCCAAGCTCATCAACTAAAGGAAGAAGTATTTGCCTCTGGGCAGTGGAGAATGGTGGGAGTGGGGTACAGGATAAGATTTCAATGTGTCGAACCTTGCAGAACTCTTTGACTCTTTAAACTATGTGGCTTTGATGAAAATAACTAAAAAATTTTCTAGAAAAATATATGCCACTAAACATTCAAGCTAATCCCTGTCACATATAAACTTTCGAAGACTAGCAAATGAAGGAGCGTATCCCCATTGCTAGGTGATGTGTCCGCTGAGGTGGACTGTTTCTGTCCCCCTCCCCAAATTAGTTTTTTAAAATTCTGTTTATTTGTGCATATCGAATTGGGGTATAAGCCAGAGGTGCAGGGGCAGTGAGAGGATTCACCAGAGAGTCTGGGGAGCAAAACAGAGAGAGCAATGAATTACACTGCTGAGGGGAGCAGCTGGCGGGTCAGGAGAGGTCTGCCGCGCCATGTGGGTCAGCTCCTGGGCAGGGACCAAACTCGCACTGAAGCGGCTGCGACTAGCTTGCAGTGCTGCATCCTTACATGTTGCGCCATCAGGGAGGGGCTCCCTCTCCCCAAATTCTTACCCTTGTGGGTGATGGCATTACAGGCATGAGGGTGGCACCCCCATGAATGGGTTAGTGCCCTTTGTAAGGAAACTCCAGAGAGCTCCCAGCCCCTGCACCACTTCAGGGCAATGGGAAGGCATTGGCTATTTCCTGGAAAAAGGACCAAAAATGATGTAAAAATAAACTTTTTAATAAAAAAAAAAAAAAGGACCCTTAACTGAAACATGACCCTGTTGGTACCTTCATCTTGGACTTTTTCCAGGCTCCCAAGCTGTGAGAAATAAATTTCTGTTGTTCCCGTTTGTAGTATTTTCTATGCCACACCAAAGCTGTGGGTTGGAATAGACCTGTGTTTTGTAAGTCGGCGGGTTTATATATCTCATGTACTATTGTGCTTTTTCTCTTTTGTTTTCATTCAGTGTTTTGGTAAATTAAAGACATTTTTTTAAACACAGGTACAGAAGTACTGGATGACAACAGCATAGCCAGTTGAGACAATGGCACACGCACACATACACATGCAGACACAACACACCCCAGTAACAAATCGGTGTAACCCCGGAATGCAAGGGATGTAAGCAGTATCTTTGCAGCAGGCTTTGAACTGTCAAGTCTCCCAGTGCTGTTACAGAAAGTCAACCCACTCCCACAATCCTCGTAATCATTGCCCTAGCCTTTGCAGCCCCATATTTTTTTTTAAAGATTTATTTATTTGTGTATACAGAACTGGGGTACAGGCCAGAGATGCGGAGGGTGAGAGGATTCACCAGAGACAGAGTGGGGAGCAGAAAAGGCAGATCGACGAAGTACACTGCTGAGGGGAGCAGGCGGGTCAGAGAGGTCTGCTGTGCCATGTGGTCACCTCCGGGGCAGGCGGGAATCGAACTCACGCGGAAGTGGCTTCAGCGTCTGTGCTTTAACCTGCTGCGTCACCAGGGAGGGCCCTGCAGCCCCATTTTTTAAAGCCCAACCTCCGGCTTCACCTCATTTAAGTGGACCCTGGGTGAAAGCCTTGGTGATTGTGATGCCACTGCATTGCCAGAGGTCATACACCCCACTTCCCTGCAGCCATCTTCTAGGTGCCAGATAGAAAAGAAAGCCAGAACCGCTTCCTAGGGGTCAGCTGCTGTAGGACCCGCCCATTAGGGTCACAGCCTGGCTTCCCTATAAAGCTGAGCTTGAGGTGAGATTTTTGTGCTGTCATTTGTAGTTGTAGAGAGGAATAAGCGAAGGTGGGAGAGCCAGTATAAGAATGTATTTTCGGCCCTCCCTGGTGGCGCAACGGGTTAGGACGCAGCACTGCAAGAGGGCGATGGCACTTCAGTGTGAGTTCAATCCCTGGCCCCAGAGGTGACCCACATGGCACGGCAGA